TTGTCAATGGCTTCTGGTGTCGTAGGCTGTTACAAGAGCTGTAATAAAAGTCCGTTGGCGAGGCTTTAGGTAAGAGTTGGCGAGGACTCGAACCTGTAGGATCAGGGGACATTGTAATGATTTGTACAGGTTACGTATATAGTTTCTCATTCTAATTTTAGTATCTAGAGAACGCTGTCTCCTTGAGGAACACGGAAAATCTTGAGCAAAGAGCCAGTCAGGGAAAATACGTTTCGGAAATTTCTTATTGGGTGATCATCTAAGATTCTAGGAAAATATGATAAAGTGAATGTACTCCACAGAATATCGGCTGAGAGAAGTGAGCGGAGAACATTTTTATAATATGGATGTGGAAGATATATTTTTCCTGTAGGTGTTACAAGGTGGTGGAGACGCTGGTCATATGGGTGGAACGTGGTGGTGGGGACGGCGAGTACGGTACTCTTGTCATGCACAAAAATGATTACAGAGGGCACAAATGGTCTTAATTAGACCTCGGCTGAGATTTTCAGATTAACAATTACATCTGATCTCCACGCCTAATAATTATAATGTCAACTACTTACAAAAGAAATAAATTACCATATTAATCTACTGACAATAAATTATTGTACATTGATGTTAGTTTTTTGCTAACACAAAATATATTAGATATTGGGCATTATTGGATCACAGAAAAGCTGCCGTTTATCAGACTATATACTGTACAGTGTATATAGTGTATATATACATACATACATGCATGCACGCGCGCGCGCGCACACACACACACACACACACACACACACACACACACACACACACACACACACACACACACACACACACACACACACACACACACACACACACACACGCGCGCACACGCACACGCACATACATATGTTGGGGGGGGGGTGCTGTAGCTGAGTGGACAGCGCTTGGGACTCGTAATCCTAGGGGTCCGGGTTCGATCCCTGGCGATGGCGGAAAACAAATGGGCAATTTCTTTCACCCTGATGGCCCCCTGTTACCTAGCAGTAAATAGGTACCTGGAAGCTACAGCTGTTAGAGGCTGTTTCCTGGGGGTGGGTGTGTGTATGGGGAAGTGGGGACAAAAAAATAAGTCGATTGACAGATGAGAGGCAGGCCGAAAGAGCAAAGCTCAACCCCCGCAAGCACAACTAGGTGAATACACACACATACACAGTAGAATTTCTGGTTGCAATTCTTTTACCATGTCGTAGCTCAGTCGATTAAGGCAGCGTCTGGGATGCTCTCGGACGTAGGTTCGAATCCTCGTCACGGCCCTTGTGGATTTGTTCATTTGATACATCACGCTATTGTGATTTCTGTGTGTAACTCTCTCCCTTAATTTTTCTAATGCTAGACTAAATCAAATTTCCCCCTCTTGTTTCTTCTCCAGTTTAGTGTTGTGATTTTTAGTTCCTTTAACCTGTGTGGCGATGGGATCGGTGTTATTGTGGGAAATGTGAGGAGGAGAGTGAGCACGCTTGGCTGGGTAGACCTGCAGTAGCCTCTCCTACCGGCGGCGTGGCAGGCCATCCTTGGTGTCTGATGTCCTGCCCAGCCAGCTTCCCTCGTGACTCACCCCGCCCTCGCTCTCTTCCCCTGTCCTCTTCCCCCGCCCTCTTCCCCCCGTCCCCCGTCCTCTTTTCCCCCGCCCTCGCCCTCTTCCCCCGCCCTCGCTCTTTTCCCCCCGCCCCGCCCTCTTCCCCCGCCCTCGCCCTCTTCCCCCGCCCTCGCCCCTTCTCCCGCCCCCGCCCTCCTCCGCCCCCGCCCTCTTCCCTTGCCCCATCCTGCTTCTCTGGTCTCCCACGAAAGATTATTAGAGTAAACAAAAATGGAGACAATTGGGAAGAAACAGAACAAGAGTAAAGGAGTACCTAAAGGATTGAAAATAAAGCGTCACATTATTGAAATATAAAAGTAAGAGGAATGCGACATCGTTCCCAAACATATTTCGGCTGGGTAACCAACTTGGTCAAGACATCTTAAACAAATAGGTAGAGTATTCTGAAAAGCAAATGTATCAACCGGTTATATGTAACAAATATTTGCATGGAAGAATTTACCTGACACGAGAGTGTAAACTGAACGAGCTAACAAAATAGAAAAAATCAAAATCAAGTAATGATGTGTAGTAATCACATTAATGTAAAGATAATTTGGCAACTACTTGCATTTGCAAGAGTCCCATTAATGACTCCTGCAATATATATTTTTGTATACTCATAATACTGAACATTTCAAGCAGGTAGAGCAGACAAGTTTTTCCATCAGCCTGTTTAGAGCAGACTGGGCCTGGAAACAGGTGAGGTGAGCATCAAAATAAATTAGACAAGTGACATCTTCAGTCCTTTTTAATTTTTTCATTAGATTTTATTCATAACAGTACCGCTCCTGTCCCAGGTAAGTCCACTACGGGCTCACCATAGCCCGTGCTACTTGGAACTTGTTCCGAGTAGCTGAATCTATACCAACCAACCATCTTCAGTTAGTCCAGTTACAGCCCCCCGCTCCTGTACCAGGTAAGCCCACTACGGGCTCACCATAGCCCGTGCTACTTGGAACTATTTGTTCCCAGTAGCTGAATCTACATCATCATCATCAGTCTAACTCTACCAGTGGTTGGGTGACAAAATCACCCTTGATAGAGGGGACTCGCTATCACACATTTGTGACACTGGACTAGGCGCCACGCTGTCTCACCAGTCACCACCACTCTCCATCATGAAATCATTGTATACCATATTAGTGCAAGTATATATATATTTTTATATTAAATTACCATATTGTGTTTTTGTCACCAAAACGAACGTAACGATAGAATGCTACATGTTTAAATTCGATACTCTTTCCGACCAATAAACTACCACTCATAGAATGGGTATGGGATCCACTACCACTCGCAGGATGGGTATGGGATCCACTACCACTCGCAGGATGGGTATGGGATCCACTACCACTCGCAGGATGGGTATGGGATCCACTACCACTCGCAGGATGGGTATGGGATCCACTACCACTCGCAGGATGGGTATGGGATCCACTACCACTCGCAGGATGGGTATGGGATCCACTACCACTCGCAGGATGAGTATGGGATCCACTACCACTCGCAGGATGGGCACTGGACGCATAATCAATGAACTATATTGTCAGTCTGTGATCAGCGGAGGACCGCCCTCATCCTGTACCACACAATTGACGTTTAGCTGCCTCATTGATGAGTGTTCATTTGTGCGTTTATCTGGAGCTGTTTAATGTTCTGATTTAAATTAATAACGTACGTAGGTAGATAAGATAAACAGCTGATACTACTGACTGTCTTATCAGTATGTGTGACTGTCTTAATCAGTATGTGTGGAAAGCTGCGCACTTAGGTGGTGATTAGGGAGCCTTAATTAGAGATTAGGATTAGGGGGTGATGGTGTTAATTGGAGTCCTGTCACCCTTAGTCTGCCCGTACACAGGCTTTCCTCAACACTGCTATAGTTGAATATACTCCCGCTTGTAGGTAGTAGTATATACTAACTAGTAAGGAATTCTTTTAAAATAAATGAAGCTAAAAAACAAACTTAATTATTCCTAGACATAGTATAGCACACACATATGTACTATATTAGGCCTAGGAAGGGTAGGTTAGTTTAGTTTGTCAAAGCAACACAAGTAAAAAAATAGTTTTCCGGTTTGTCCACCTCAGTAGTTCAGATTTCTACTTTCTAATTTCATTGTACGTCGGTATATATACTATGGGCCTCATCATTATTGTAAGTACTACCAAAACAGAAGGATGGGCTGGTATGATTCCTTCTTCCTGTGAGTGTTCAATGAGCCTGAATTAAATCATTATCTCTAGAAATGTTCATGGTATATGCTCTTAGTCATACCAGGCTGTAGTTCAGTGTTTTATTTTTCCAGTGTATGTTGGTGCCACATTTGCCATTTTTCCAAGACTGGTATATAGGGTATGTCTATTCCAGAGAGGAAAGTAATACTGTGTAGAAAGGAAATCTACGTAAGGCTTGTGTTGTATATTACATGTGCTGTACAGTATTCATATCTACATTTAAATATTGCCTGGTCTTGTGGCTTTCATTGTCTTCTTTCTTCTTAGCACTTACAATTTCATTAAGGGTTTCATATTTTTTTTGGGGGGGGGGCTCTTAGCTCAAGTTACAGGTTTAGTTTCAGCCAAAGAGCTTCCTAAACACACTCATTAAGTACTTGACATACCTGCTTATCACTCTCCTCCTCCCCCCCGGATCTTCCATAAATTTGTATAGCACTTGACAGACTTCGTTATCACTCCTGTGTCCCGCCCTCTCACACTCTTATTTTAGTGTAGTGTGTTCATCTACAATGGTGACTGTGATATTTGCTACTAAGTAGAGCTAAGTAGAGTATTGCCAAATTGTTGATGTGCCAAAACTAGGTACAGGTGTTTAATTGTTGATGTACCAAAACTAGGTACAGGTGTTTAATTGTTGATGTACCAAAACTAGGTACAGGTGTTTAATTGTTGATGTACCAAAACTAGGTACAGGTGTTTAATTGTTGATGTACCAAAACTAGGTACAGGTGTTTAATTGTTGATGTACCAAAACTATCTTCTTGAGGTTATCTTGAGATGATTTCGGGGCTTTAGTGTCCCCGCGGCCCAGTCCTCGACCAGACCTCCACCCCAGGAAGCAGCCCGTGACAGCTGACTAACACCCAGGTACCTATTTTACTGCTAGGTAACAGGGGCATAGGGTGAAAGAAACTCTGCCCATTGTTTCTTGCCGGCACCCGGGATCGAACCCGGGACCACAGGACCACAAGTCCAGCGTGCTGTCCGCTCGGCCGACCGGCTCCGCTAACTAAAAGCTAGCTATTGTTTAATTGTTGATGTACCAAAGCTAGATATTGTTTAATTGTTGTGGTGCCAAGGCCAGGTACTAGTACTACATAAATATTTTTTAGAAGATTCTGTAATGTGATATTTTCTATTTCAGGATGATGAGTAAATGACCCGGTGAAAGCCCAAGTGGTGGAAGGTGGCTGGTGCCACTGGAGGGCTACATGGACCACTCTGCTTCAGAGCTGAACACTTCTTGCAGCCCTTCTGAGAGCAGTAATGGAAGCCCAGCACACAAGAGAGCCAGGGGACGGGTTCGAGGGTTGCCTCGGCTACTGGCAATTAATGCACTGGTGTGCGGGGTTGAGATTGTCTCCAGTGCTGCCTTCACATACATCCCTCCACTATTGCTTAAAGCAGGATATACAGAAACTGTCATGACAATCATCCTCGGCATTGGTGAGTTGTTTATTATAATAATGAATACTAGTAATGTAATAAATCCAGTACTGTACATTAATTTTTTATAAAAATACTAGATTAGTGGTTTTCTTTGTAGGTACTGTAGTTGTATGATGATTTATAAAGCCACTAATTATGCACAGAATTTATGTACAGTACTGGTAACTCTTAACCTGTAGACTATTTAATTAAATTACACTTTTCAATTAAATAGGAGTCTCTCCAAATGGACTACTTTTGAGATAATCTTAACTGCAGACTTGTTGTTTCATGAATTCATTGGCAGAACTAAATTTTACTTATTGACATTACTGTATCCATGTCACTTTATAAAACAAAATGGATAGTAAAGTATGCCTACCAAAAAAAAAAAATTGTTAACAGTCTAAGCGTTAATGATTAATTTTCCTAAATGTTATTGACAAACATGCCTCTCTGGAATTGTAAAGAATAATTGATGACAGAGTTCGCGAGTCATTCCATTGGCTTATTCATTTTACATCCCATTTCCTGGTACCGGAGGATAGGTACAAGGAGAAGGGAACTGTTAGGGAAAGTGACAAGCCATTATGACTATAGCAGGATGAGCACAAGAACTTGACATTCTTAAAACATTTGTATATGCCTGTACCCTTCTGTTGTGCAAGCTCAGTGTAATGTACAAAAAAAATTCCCCCTTAATGGATGAAGCCTTTTTTTTTTTTTTAACCTATCCCTGTTCTGCTTGAGTTTGGTTCATCCTTTTTTGATCAGAGATTTTGAAGTATGGTACTCCCCTTTTCACACTTTCGAGCTGCTCCCAGTTGCATCGGCTCTCGGCTAGGGTTTTATCTCCAGTGCTTCCCATGAGTCATCCGTGATGGCCTCCTCAACTACAACAATTGGCCATCTCTGGTACAGCAATTACAGCAGCCTCCCACAGGCTTTTGCCCTATTTCTTTATGATTCTGTTCTGTTGTTTCGATGACTCAGTGGGAGGTGGTTTAGTCCATTTCTTTTCCCCGTGTGGCTGGTAATTACCCAAGTGTAAGCCTGATCATAGGCTAGTAAGTGTGGTCAGAGGGTAACTGTGCTTCTGGTTTCTCTAGTTCTGGTCCTTAGTGCAGGTTCCTTTTGGGGTGTGTGGATTGTTTTCATGGTCACACTCGCCTGGTGATCTGGCAGGACCTCCTTTCTCGAACTTTGCAAGCCATTTGGTTTTCTGTAGTTAGCAAGCTATATCCCCCCCTTTGTGGTATAGGCAGCTTCCATTTTATGGGGCACAGTACGTATCTAGATGGCATGACTTTTCCTTTTCCAGCTGCTGCTTCCTGTGTTGCCTGGGCTAGTGCCCTTTTTGGGTCTCTTTTTATGGAAAATATTGTGGCCATTTTCCCCTCCTTTTTCTTCCTGAGGCTCCATTTAAAGTATATAAAATGTTTTCATGTCTAAAGACTTTCATACAATCGACTTCAGAACCACATGTTTTTGGTATGAGCTGCATTTTTATATCTATGTGCTTTTAATGTAGTTTAAACCAAAATTATTATTATGTATCATTCCTCACTCCAGCTCCCTTCCTGGACATGATGACTGTGCCCCTCCTTGCCGAGTGGAGTGACAGATGCACCTCAGTGTTGGGACGGAGACGGCCGTTCATAATGTTTCTCTCTATCGTGTTACTTCTCTCCCTCATCCTTGTCCCGTATGGACCCACCATCACCACCATTGTCACAGGAAATAGTTCTCCCAGGATAAAGTAAGTAAAATAAAAATATTTGTCTTTAAATTATTATAGAACTTTAGCAGTATTGTTTATTGTGCAATATTTAATACTGGAGAGTTTCTTTCACTTACCACATGCAATAAGCTCTGTTTATGGAGCAAATGTACCATTAACATTAATTTATTTGTTTGCATGTGGTTGTTAGTAAGATTCAGTACTGTAATTGCATTATTATGTATTAGTTGAATTTGTGTAGATGTTTGATATAAAATATAATAAATGACAAGATATTTTGGTGTTGCTTCACTCTTTCATGGGACACTGCATTTTGTTGGCTGCTCCATCCATTTATTTGACTATGGACAGAGCAGCCAGTCACATATTTGACTACACAGTATTTGACATTTAATATGAACTACAGTACCTTTAGTCTGTCTTCAACTAACATTTGTATTAAATGAATCAAGAGTGTTTCTATTTGTCTAATTCCTTTGTGCTATAGTACCATAAATAAAACACCGTTTTTCAGTATGGTTATTTTGGCTGTTGGAGTAATACTTCTGGACTACAGTTACCAAGCACTGTTCAATCCCTGTGAATCTCTCTTATCTGATTTGATGGCCACTGCACCAGAATGGGAACAGACTCGAGGCTTCACTGTTTACTCGGCTGGTATCTCACTCGGATGCATCTTGGGATACCTCATTGTATCTATCGACTGGTCATCAGCTGGTTTTCCTCTCTCACAAGAACAAACATCATTTTCAGTAATATTTATCATGTTTTTGCCATGTCTATTTCTGACCCTATTTTGTGCTAAAGAAAAGCCTTACCGTCGGACTATAAATTTTTCACTTCAGCCCGGTGAAGGAGGGATTCTACTCCGAAAGGCTGTGACTTCTGACAATGATATGTTATTGGTGAAAAAATTGAATCCGTCAGTTACTATCCAAGATGAAATGACAGTTCTTGATTTGACTAGTGATAGTACAACTTATACAAAAGACCATCCTTCAGATGGAGGTTATGAGAGTGGTTCTAGTGAAACGGATGACACGGCACCGCTCATTCTTCCCTCCTCCGAGATGTTCAAGTGGAGGTACCAAATGATCATTCATCATGTCAGCCGTTTACCTAAGATTACTTTACAAAAACTCTTTAATAGTGTACTTCGTTTATTATGGAAAATAATAAAGATTTTAGTTTATTTACCATATCAGGTCAGTAGTATAATGTTATAGTATTAATGTAATATTTTGTCCAGTGATGAAATAAAAAGTGTTGAATAGATGCTATAATATACAGTACATTTAATTTCATCCATAAATGACTATTATGATAATTTATATAAATATCATGATGATTTTATTATGGTCAGATTGTAATTTGATTTAACACTGTTGCTCCTCAGATAATTAAATTACCATTGGACACGTGGAAACGAGTCAGCAGTGCTCCAAATGTCCTACGCCGTCTTTTCTTATCGGAATTGTTTGGATGGATGGGATTTATGTGCCACAACATGTTCTTCACTGATTTTGTAGGGCAGTACATGTATGGAGGCTTGCCTGATGCCCCAGAGCACACTACACTGGCAGTTTTATATGACGAAGGAGTCAGAATGGGATCATGGGGCCTTTTCCTCCACAGCCTTACTGGTGAGTTTTATTGTAACATTTATATTCATTATACTGCCTGTTATAAGACAATGGCATCAACAAAATTCATAAGTAAAGTTAGCAAAAATATGGTAAGGAATAATATTCAAGAGATACATTATTTATTATTAACATCTGTATTAACAAAATTATTTACAATTTAGTCTAATCTGAGGATTTCAATTAATTCTTATTAAAGTGAGGATAATACTGGTATTCACTGTCACGCAGGACAGAGGGTCATACACAAGACAACAACTCTAAACTGTAGGCTGAAGCACATGTAGATCATGGTTCAAATAACATTTTGAGAGTTAGAACACAGAGCTGTGAAGAGAAATAAGCACATTTGATAGAGCAATACAGTGGAACCACCAAAATCTGGTTTGTATTGTTTCAGACCTGATCTGGATTACAGAATACTGTAATTGGGTTATTGGGTTAATGGTGTAAGGGTTTGTGCTATTCTTCATTAACTCGTCCCACACAGAGGCACATCAGAGATTATAATAAATATCACAGCCTTCAGGAAAAGAACATAAAATATGCCTATGCACTCTGTTAAGGGTGTTGTAACTGGTAATGTCTCACTTTTTTATTTATTTATATGTTCTTACATTCTTGAAAAGCCATTAGCACTCATAGCATTTGGGGATAAGCATGACACACAGATATGCTACTTACATGATCTACCAAGAGGTCTGCACTCCTACAGTGAGTGTGGAGGGTGGCCAACCTCGGACATGTCGACTAGCTGATGTGTTCAGTTACTCTGCTGATGTACCCCATGGCTCGACTGGTTCATCCATCCAGTCTGGCTGCAGAACAGAACTGCCTATACCCCACCCACTTGAGCCAGTCTCAACTCCCAAATCCACATCTAGACACGTGTCCTCTGCCCTCCACACAATAAGCCCTTGTGCGTGCTCGCAGCTCACTTCTGGTCACCACCGGAGATATCAGAGTTGCTTTGCCGGCACATTCTGAGGAGCCAGACATCTGGTGTGCCAGATATCTCGACTAGCCTGTTTCAAACCTAGGGATCCATTCATGCTCAAACACTTCTGTTGCCCCATATGTTTGAGAGAGAACTTTTTAATTTATTCTTATACATTTGGGTCACAACAAGCGACCAAGTTCCTGGAATTCATTACTGTATTTACAAATAACTGCAAGATAACATTAGCATGGGCACTTGGCATGATGTGGAGGAAAGGCAGACCATAAAATCTGCAGACATCACCTCATTTCACAAGGAAGGTAATAAAGCACTGGCTAAAACTAGACTAGGTGCACTGACATCAGATATTATTAAGGTTTTTGAGAGGTACTAAGAAGCCAACCTAACAGCTATTTAGAAAAGGAGTTATAAAATCCTGGTCAACATAGTCCTAAGTCGAAAAGATAGTCTTTTGCCATTACTACACTTCGCCTCTCTGTCAAGAGTAGACACATTGGAAGAAAACCAAAATGCAGATGCTGCTTAACCATTGCACTGCACACTTGGTTTTGGCAAAAACTTCATAGTGCAATTTTCAAGGACATACTTTTGTTTTTATGAATGTTCAGGTAAAGTTAATGTCAAATTGTTTTCAAATTCAACCATTTTCATTTCAAAACACAGTGATGAAAACATTAAAAACATTAAAATATAGTCTAATTAAAAAAATAGCACAACTTGCAGAGTGCCTTGCGGTGCTCGGCGCAGTACAGTGGTTAAATAGATTTTCCAAAGCATTTGATAGATGTAACCATGGAATAATAGTTCATAAATTGAAAACCTGTTTGGGCAGGAACTGCTCTCGATCGACAAATTCCTGGAACTCTGACACAAATTTCTCAGCAACATCTTTATCAGTGTTGGCAGCCTCCCCATGTCGCACAACATTGTGTATACCGCTCCTTTTCCTAAAGTTCTTAAACCATCCACAGCTTGCCTTAAATAACTCCTCAACTTCAGACGACACACCTAGTGTCTTCCTGACAAGGTCCACATACAGCACCCTTGCCTTAGCACAGACAATAACTTCAGAGGCACTATCGCCATGCAATTGCCATTCATTCATCCAGACCAGTAGTAGCTTTTCAACATCATCTAGGAGTTTTGGACGTTTCTTGGTAACCTTGGTAACTCCTTTAGCTACTTCAAGCGTCTTAAATTGTTCCTTCCTCTTCAAAATGGTGCAAATTGTTGAGGAGGACCTACCATATTCCCTGGCGAGATCAGTCACACAGACACCACGCTCGTGCTTTGCTATGATTTCGTTCACTTCCACAGTAATTGTCTCTTTTTTCCCCTTGCCAACACTATCTTTAGCAAGCTGCAACCCACGAAAAGTACAATTATATGTGGAGGGATGCTCGTACTGCACAATGCCACAACAACACTGTCGTTGGAGGCGTCCGAGAATGTGCGAGAAGCAGCGAGACCGCACTATGTGGCGTTCTCGTTATTCAAAATGCTCATAAATTGAGGTGCTTGTCAGTCGTGGTTCTATTGTAATTCATTCAGTCGGGGGACAGAAAGACAGAGTGCAGTGTGTATTCATATACATTTAGACTTTTATCGAGGTTTCCACCCCCTTCCTCCCCCCCCCCCCAGGTCAAATTACTGACAAATTACTGACCCTGCCCAGAATGCAATCCCACAATAAGCTGACTAACTCCTGAGTACCTACTTGCTGCTAGGTGAAAAGATGCATTAGGTGAAAGGAAATGTGCCCAACCAATTTCTGTCCCGCCCAAGACTCGAATCCGGAATTCTCGATTGTGTGTGTCGAGAACAAACCAGATTGTACTACCCATAACACTGATGATGGTGACTGTAAATGGAATACACCTACTGTACTGAATACAAGACAGTGAGATCTCCCCTTAAAAAGAAGTGACTGACACAAAGCCCTTGAAATAATGCATTTTGAAAGACTGAATGTTTAGAAAGCATAATAAAACCACCAGGAAAATGAAAGGTTCCACTGAAAATCTTCAAGACAATGGATGCGACACCAATGGTATTCTGCAAAGCACTGATGCTATCTTATATGGAATCTTGATCGGTCCTCACAATTCCTCACAAGAGATCCTTTACTGTATGTATAGAATCATTGAAATATTTTGACTCAAAGCACTCGAACTGTATTCTTTGCAATGGAGATGAGAGAGATTTCGTGAGGAAGGTCAGGTTCCTAACCTGCACAATTAAATTACAACATACTGGAGTAGATGTGATAGGAAGTATAAGATAAAATCAATGAAAAGTAGGGGTGCCATAGGTACAATTAGAGAACACAGTGCTAACATCAGAAGCTGATGACTCTTCAATTTCCTGTCAACAAATATGAGAAATGTCACTGGAATAACAGTGGGAGATTTCAAGGGAACTGGAGAAGTTTCTCCTGGAGTTACTGGTGACATCAGCATGGCTGTGATGGTGTCAGCCGTCTGGCTGTAAAGACAAACAGCCTCACCAGAGATGGCAGGTTACAAGCCAGGTTGTGGGAGTGAAAGTACTCAAGACATTGTCAACCTCCGGCCGAGCAGACAGCGCAGACTTGTGATCCTGGGTTCGATCCCAGGCGCCGGCGAGAAACAATGGGCAGAGTTTCTTTCACCCTATGCCCCTGTTACCTAGCAGTAAAATAGGTACCTGGGTGTTAGTCAGCTGTCACGGGCTGCTTCCTGGGGGTGGAGGCCTGGAAGAGGATCGGGCCGCGGGGACACTAAAAAGCCCCGAAATCATCTCACGATAACCTCAAGATAACCTCTGCCAACCAAGACACCGTTACAAACTACCATATACCCACACCATTCATAATATATTTGTTGCGAAATATAACTAGCAATGGAACCAGAAATTGCCTGCCTTGATCGATTGCAATAAGAGACATCTAGTCTTTTATTTGTAACAGTTAGTATTTTATATAATAAATGAAATACTATGCTTCATAGAGTAAAAGAAAATATTCTTAGTATGTACATTAAAAAAGAATACATATACTGTGTATAATAATGGTTTTCTCAGAAATGGCACATAGGTAATTACATAATGGCTTAAATGTAAATTTCTTACTTCCTTTGGTGCTACTGTACCTTGTGTTTGCATTTGCTCGAAACGCTGTGCATATTAGTGGCTTCAGGCATTGTATGTACTAGCTCTATCTATCACTCCAACATTTTTTGTAACTCATCTTCTATGTACTTTTACCTGAATAAACATTTGATTTTGATTTTTTGATTTTGACCTTGTTCCTGGTTAACATTTAGGATGTTTTAGCATGAGCTAGTTTTAAATTTTGGAATATTAATTGAGGGTTTTATTCAATTTGAAGTACACTTTATTTTTGTGTTGATAAATTACTGTATTGTAAATACTATATATCATTTGTTATTAATATTAATAAATAGCAACATTTCTATTGTTTCAGCATGTCTGTATGCCTTCTGTATTCAGCAACACATTGTACGTCTGGTGGGTCACCGTACAGTGTACATTGGGGGTCTCTTCATCTTCACCGTCACCATGGCTGCAACGATGATATCTCCAACAGTTACTTTCCTTAATATTGTAACAGCGATGTCTGGGGTAGGATTTGCTGCTCTCACATCAACACCCAACATGTTAGTCACGCTCTACAATTCTGACAGACAGGTGAGTAAAAACAAATTAATTGTTAGGTGCACCGTTCAACAGGATTTCTTTAGTTTCATTCTATGTTATAGTTAAATATCCAGAGTTAGGATATCGTGGCAGATTTCCTTGCTCATTTTTTTTTCTTTCCCTGGCTTCTGTGTGGATAGACTTGCTGTGGTTTCAGGACCTTGCCTCTTCCTGGATCCCGCCTCTTTGGATTTTGATTCCAATTTCTTCTGCTTCATCTAAATATAAGGTTCAGTCCTCCTCGTGGCTAGTACTCTTCCATTTTTTCTTTGGATGCTTGGCACAGTATTTACTATTCCCAAATGCTGCAGTGGGGTCTTTGTTCCAGGTATTTCTTGGTGGTTCATCTTTCAAGGTACTTGATTCCTCCATGTTTGCACCTGCCCTGCCCTTGAATGTGGATGCTTGGCTACACACTGTAATTACCCCAAGTGTAGTTACAGGATGTGAGCTACGCTCGGGGTGTCCATTTTCCCAGTACTCTGTCATATAACACTTTGAAACTACTGATGGTTTTGGCCTCCAATACTCTTTCTTAACTTGTTCCATCCGTCTACCACTGGGGGGAAAAAAACTTTCTAATATTTTTTGGCACCTTTGTTTCCTTAGCTTGAATCTATGACTTCTTGTTCTTGAGGTTGCCAGTTTCAGGAATTCCTCTTTTCAATTTGATCAGTTCCCATTATTGTTTTGTAAGTGGTGATTATATCAACTATTTTTTTATTCTGTCTTCTAGCTTTGGCATATTTAACACCTCTAGTGTCTCTAACTGTTCCTGGTTGGCTTTGCAAGCAGGTGCTTGGTAGGTGTACCTGAACCATCGGGTACACCGATGGAAATCGTGTTTGTGCACGATTTTTTTCTTCCTGTGACTGGCTTAGGTATGGGGGTGTATTTGCTGCTGCCTCTGCATTCTTCTCATTGGTTGCTTCTGGCACCCAGGTTGAAGCAGGCTATGGTCTCCATCTTTTGGAGATCTGTGTTTTGGCCTACCTTAATGATTGCTTGGGTTGGGCTCCCAGCCTGTCCACTTGTTTACAAGCCAGGGATCTGGTGCCTTTCCAGTTGGCAAGGTTCAGATTCATGGTCAATGGGTGGAAGTCCCAATTACAGTAGTTCCATCACAGGGCTGGACTTGGGCTGGACCAATGAGATTGCAGATCAGTGTCCATCTCTACATCTGGTGGTTCTGCTCCGTCTTATTGTTTGCGTCAGTCCTGTGGTGGTAAATGCTTGGGTTTCCCATCTGCAGCTTGAGCATGTATTGAAGCCTGAACTTTACCTATGTGGTTTACCTGTTTGATGGGGGTATGGCTATGGGGGTCCATAAAGGTTTCCCCATAGACTGTCTGGTTTGGTCTCCATTTGCTTTTTGGCAGCTTGTTTGCCACTGCTTTTCCTCTTCAAACTTATCAGAATTCAAGTCTGTGATTCCTTCCTGCTCCTGTGCTCAACCTGTTTACAGATGACTCGTACCTGTACTAAAGTTTTGTAACCAGTGCTCACTAGGTCACTCAAGGTCATTGGTTGGGTCCTCTATGTTGGTCACACAGTACAGTTCACGAGTTAGCTGCAGTCTGGCATGCTTTCAGATCTTTGTTTCCCTCCAGGTTTTGTAATTCAGCTTTTCTCAAACTGAGTGACCAGTGGTTTGATGTCTATTGCAGGGAGTCTTCGTTCCTTTCCAGTTCATGTGTGCTGTGTGTTGATTGTGCTTGCAGAGGGATCCTTTTGTTTCCATCATGTCACTATGGAATGGACGGTCTTAGAGACATTCTGTTGACTGTGCAAGACGTTCGGTTGCCTGCAGATGAACCTCTTCGCATCTGCATGGAATTGAAGACTTTGTTTGCGTGGTCTCGTTTTTCAGATACAGGTAGATGCTTTTTTACAGTGGATGCCCTTCGCTTGGACTGGGGACAGTGGGATTTCCTTTATATTTTTCTTCTGGTTCGGCTCCTCCCTATCCTCTCCAAACTTGAGACGTTTTCCAGTAGGTTGGTCGTTTTGGTTTCTTGGTGGCCAGTTCAGCTGTGGTTTATGGCCCTTCAGCCTTAGTGTCCGAACTGTCACACTTTTCTGTGACCCCACCTGTTCTAGAGGCTTGGTCTAGAGATGTTCCTTGATGGCTCAAGGCTCTCTGCTATTCTTTACATTTGAATTTTCTGAGTCTGGTTTAATGCCAACTGTTTGATGTTGCATTTGGGACTTTCTTCAAACAACAGTATGTGGGTTGCCTGGCAGTCTGTTGTCTTCACCACCTGGCATCAGTGTTACTTTCTTTCATCTTGTCTTTTCATTCTTTGCTATTTGTTGGCCATCTGTAAAGGGGGTAAATTGGCTGTATAGGTTTGAAGTAGACACCTTTTACTTTACCTCCCGCTCTCTGGGGACAGAAAGTAGCCTAGCGAGTTTCCAGAGGTGCTGCAAGGTCTTCGTGTTTTGAGGCTGGTATACACAGGAGTTAAGTGTCGACTTCATCACGAGGGAAAGTGGGTACAGAACCGGCAGTAAGAATACTGTAAAGAGCACTGATGGAGTGCCACCAGTGGAGCTCGGTGAGGCTCTGCCCTTTGTAATCCGCTGTGACGGCATTGATTTTTGGGGGTAAATTGCTGCTTCTATCCTCTTTCCCTGGTGTTCCCTGTCTTCCTTTTTACCATGGAAAACAAAAAACTTGGAGCCACAAAAAAAAAAAACTGAAATCCAGTATGAAATGTAATGAAACTACTGTACTTTCTGGTGGGTCCCTTTGGTGGTTTCCTCTTCATGCATTTCCCTCCTTTCCAGGTGAGTTGATCTAGTATCCCATCCCTTGGCCCTCTTGAGGGGGGGGGGTGGTCAGATTGCGGTTCTGGTCCCCACTAGCCCACTTGTGATTCACATGTTCCTGGTGAAGAACGTTACGCTTAGAGTTTACCAGGCAGGTAGCTTAGCAAGTTAACGAAAAGAACCACCAGAAAGAAGCATTTCATTAAATTCGATGCAGGATAATATTGAATAAATTTTGAAAAGAATATTTAGTTTGTAATTAGACTGTTCTCTACTCCACAGTTATACCTGTGGGATGCTACCACTTTAGAAGGCGGCGAGGAAAGAGGACTTGGTACTAATGTAGCCGTGTTGGACACTGCATATTTTCTATCCCAATTAGTTTTGTCAATATGCGTCGGGCCTTTGGTAGATTTGACAGGTTCTGCACTGCCATATATGATAGTGGCAACATTATCTGGAATAGTCTCTGTGTACTGTGGTTCACGTGTGGTCTTCACCGATGTTCACTTGAAGCAACTCAGGGCTGGAGCCTTTTAATGTGCTGACTTTTGTGGCCTTAGTCTTTGTGATTAATTAAAAAGTTTTGAACTTCACTGTAATTACTGTTGTGCCATTTTTTCTTGGGTAGCATACAAAAAAATGTTATTAAATATTTGTACCTGTATTTAAATAATGCCTGAATAAAACGTGTGAATATTTGCACTGCGGAACTGAATTTTTTTATATTTATGGTTTAAAAACTTTGGCATGTGCAAGATTTCACAGTGTAAGCATGGAATTAATGCAGTACATTAACTTAATTGTATAATTTAGTGACGATAATCACAACCATCTTTCATGTAATGCATTTTATAAGCACAACAAAAATATAATCATGGAAGTACACTATTGAACTGCACTGGTTAACAAAACAAAAAGTTGCCTTGTCTCTCTCTGTTAAGCAGGTGGCTAAGTGTATCACACTAACATTCTACTCTTCTTAAGATTCTCTGAAACTCTTGACAATCAAGTCCTCTTTTGCATATGTCATTGTGTGATTCTGGTCATGCACAGCCAGCATTCACTTTTCATCTTTGTTTTAATAAATATGTGCGTTAAATGCTGCTACGTATCATGATAGCTGTGCATGTGCAGTACACTCATTTCATTGGCTCATAATTCATACAAATTTTGTTATTCATACTCAATTTTTTTTTCTGTTTAAATCCATATGACAATTTTGTTAAAAGACATTTAAGTTGGAATATTTTATACCGTTGGTCAATGATAAAACTGCAAAAGTTCTATTTTTGTTTTAAACTGTGTTGGTTTATATTAAATATTCTGGCTCTAATTAATTGTTGGTATTATAAAGTAAACTTTGGCTCACATTTGTTTTTGTTGGATTATGACACAAGGTGTTAGTTCATTGGTTAATTCTACCACACTAGTTTGTTTGGTTGAATTATATACTGTATTATGCTTTATTTTGATAGTTCATGTTGTTGGATATACAATAAGTTTTGCCATAATAGTTTGTTAGTTAATTATTCAGTAAGCTCTGCCATAGTTCTTCTTTAATTAAATTATTAAATTTGTTCTGCGTCATTGTATTTGATCAAATTATGCATTAAGTTTTACCAAAACAGAACAGTTATCATTGTGTATTATTTGTGTATTATAATATTACCTTTTCTCTACATTTTTGGCATATGTTTTTTTACTTAATAATTATGGCAACTAGCTGCAGTGTGATGATAGTTTAGTTTGCCTAATTAAGAGTTTAAATTAAAATTCTTTCTAGTCATATCTTGTACTGCTGGCATTAATATTATCTTACCCACACCCACTTTCTTACTCCAGACACACTCGCACACAAAACCTCACATGGTGTATGTTGCATATTTTCAGATTTGTGTCGCATCTATATGTCACACATTTTGTTTCATCTTTTTCCACTTTCAATAGTCTTTTCAGCTTATTCAGTACAGTGCTGTACCTGGGTAACCTTCATTTATTTTTACATGTTAATAAATTACCTACTGACCATTGTAAGTGAATGTCTGTTGCTTTATTTTTTAGGTAGCTAAACTAATTCGTAACTCATAATGTTGGATCTTTGAAAATGAAAGGTAGCAGAAGAGAGCAGTTTTAGATATACAATCCTGTGTAATGTATTCGAGTTTGGGTGACATCATTCAATGAGTTTAGTGTTTTTTATTTAATATAGGCTTGGTTACAGCAGTTATTTATTGGAAATGTTATGACGTATCATGATAACTGAGACAAGGCCTGGAGCAGAGTGTTCGAGAGAGGCTTGGGGTAGAGAGCTCGAATGCAGCAGGATCAGTGAGCTTGAATGCGGGAATCCTTTATGCTGCTACATTAGTGTGTGTAAGCATCATTATGCTTCCACATATAAACTTCTCCACCCACCACTAGGTACATTTCATGAAACTGCAAATGTTCAGCCAGGTAAATATTATGAAACATTAAGATATTGGAAGGGTTTTGAGTAAATGCTCGGGTACACTCACAGGAAATAATGCTGGGCAGACAGTAACATTTATATGTAAATGGATATTATTTTTTACACAACTTGATAGGCTTTATTACTGTTTGTGACTATTTTTAATTCTGACAAATTTACAGTATCTGCAAAATCATGTAAGTTTTTATCTTTTGATGTGTTCAATTTGTTTTTCTCCTGTGCCTACCAATTTTATGAAGCCTCTCATCAATGAAATCTTTTGAATCTTGCTCAGTTTGCTAGAGAATGAAAACAAAATTTTCTTTATGATCACTAACCATCAATTCACAAATTAGTAACATTTGTAAAGATTTTAATGATAAGTTTTAATTGCTTCTGGAACTGTTCAAAATTATTTAATATTTTGTCACCTGTAGCAGAAATTCCTGTAGACCTATAACTTAACACATTCAGTTGAATTTACTGTAATTATACAAAAGTACTACTATAATTTTTTTTTTTTTTTATAAAACCATAAATTTGCTGTCATAAGAACATAAAAATGAAGTTAACTGCAGAAGTCTTTTTGGCCCATACAAGGCAGCTCCTATTTCTATCTCCCCAATCTCGTTCATATACATGTCTTAACCTACACTTGAAACAATTGAGGGATCCTACTTCTATTATGTTATGCGGTAATTGGTTCCATAAATCAACAACCCTGTTACCTAGCCAGTATTTACCCATAATTTATATTTTTGTCATAATTTAATTTTATATTCACATGATACACTTGTTAATACTTTGAAAGTATTAACATAACACAACCAAACATTTTTTTAATACAGTACTCAGCAAATTATTGCCCAATTTTATCTATTCAATGCTCTTATCATTAGTACTTTGCAATATAAGCCTGCAGTCTTTAAAGCACATCATTATAATTCATATATGATAATTTTTGAAATATATAATAAATACATGATTGAAAGCTTATGGCATCTTTTGGTAAAATTGGAATTTTTAATATCCAATGTGTAGTTCCAAAATACAGTATATCTTTGTTATTGTTGTACATTTTGTATTAAGATAAATATATATTTTTTTGCTGTGAGTTACTTGTAGATATGAGATGTTAAATAACTAATTCCTTGGATGATAGCCAATGAAGGCAGTAAGGAATTACTGTAACTGTATGTAGCATGCTGAATGTTAGTCTTCCACAGGTGTCAAACATGCTTTCTCTGTACTGGCTGGCTTAAAACCTGTAAATACTATGTTTTCTGATAACTTTTAAGCTGGTGACTAAGGAGCATGTGATTATACAGTAAAAACATATGTCTGCAATATAGTAGCCTAATACATTATTTCTCAAGATATTTCATTTTATAGCATTTTGTTTTGGTAAACTGGACATAACTGAATTGAGGTTATACATTAACAGAGTACTGTACATGTTGTTTCTTATGGGATTTCATATTTATATTATGCATTGTTAATTGATAAATCATGTTGAATTTGGGGTCATCTATCTAGTGATGGAAACATTGGTCACCAAGCTCTTTTAAATACATTTTTTCCAACCACAATGATTAGCAAGGTTGAGAATAACTCTTCTGTACATCTCGCATTTCTTAATACATCTTTCCTGTATTCCCAGCCATCACAAAATATACTTCTGCCTTAGTGATAAAACTACTTTAGATACTAGAGAAGCAAGTGTCATCTTATATATATTGCCAACATCTTCCTATAGGTTTATCTAGATTTCTACAGTAATTAGAATTACAAATTGAGGAATGTTAATCTACCTTTTTCTCTATGTACCTGCCCAAAAATGGGAGGTAGACCTAAAGTATTACTCCATGTTCATCCATTAATAGTCCATCTGTACAAAATTTAATTAAAAGATGGTAATAATAGCTTGATGCATATTTATGGGGCTTGATACTGCGAGAGGCCTGGAATTCAGAGCCTGGCAACAAATCGGAGTACTCCAAATGAATTCATTATTTTATTTTTTTTAATTCAGATAGAAATGAGGACTAAAATGTTATACCAAGCAAGAAACCCAGATTTATTAGTTTGTGGTTGACTTGCCAACTCTAATAAAAGTTTGGGTTTGAGATTTCTGACGAGTGAAAAAATCAATTTGGTTAATTTTTTACTTTGAGTAAAAAAAAAAAATTGCCCAATTCAAATGGGAGTGGACTCCATGCAATTTCGATTACTAAGTGCAGACAGTACTTACAGACAGTAGGTATCCCAGCCAGACAAGGCCTGGCTGGGGACTACATTTCAGCCAAATGACTTCATCCATTGATATTGTTTCTAATTTGAATCTGTTAAATATACTGTACCATTGAAATTGGCAAATTTGTTTTGCAATTCATTCTGAAAATCTTAATGCTCTTCCTAATCTTCCAGATTAAGGAAGAGCTTGTCAAGGAAGAGCAAAAATCTTCCAGATTTTTTTGTGACATTGAAGCCATAATGTAATGTAGAAAGTTTATTTGAACAGAGGGAATAGTTGTGCTCTTGAGAAAGTTACACTTTAGTTCAGAGACTTTTGAAGGTGTTATGTTGGATCACAGGTAACAGTTGATATAGTTAAATTTAATGTGAAATTGTTGTTTATCTCCCTGATTTTTTATCAGTTAGGTTGACTAGTTTTTGGAGTCTTATCAAACCTGTGGACTGAACGATCCAGTGCCCTTGCTTACTGAATCTTGTTTCATACCTCCTAGGGTGTGGATAGGCAAACACTCCTCCCAGTACTTGGTGCTAGTCTCTGGCTTGGTGCCTTCTTTTGATAATTACTTACTCTTCCCTAGTACATATTGTCTAAACTGAACTATGGTTGCCCCACATACTCATTGGCATTGTTTTAACCCAATATCATCTGTATACTTTGTATAATACAAGCTTGGGCTTCAGAACAGGAGGCCTGTAATTGTTCATGAACCCAGAGCTCATTCCATAGCGCTTTCCCAAGACACCATTTCTTAAAATATTTGAAGTGCTGTACTTTTTTTTTTTTAATCAAGAATGCAATCAGGGCAATATTTAAATTTTAAATTATGGAAAAATATGAAAATAGACAAACTTTTTTTTTTTATGTGTTTATGTTTAAGCTGTACATATATATAGAAGCACTGTACACCAACAGCTATGTACTGTATTACTAATGTATAAAGTATAAAAAAAAATGGGTTGCCCCATAAGATTGACAATTAGATGTTATACTGTTACTGTGTGAAGACATGTTATTAAAAGGCATGTTAATGTGGATGGAGATATGATGACCAAACCACAAATCAGAAGATGGAGAAAAGACATTTCAGTCCATCCTGGACCACACATGACTTGATAACTGTCCAGGCCAGACTGAAACGTTGTCGTTTCTCCATCTTCTGATGTGTGGTTCGGTCATCATGTTAATGTGGATTTGTTTCCCTGTGGTTATTTATAAACACAACACACCACGAGGCTATTTTTGTATTGAATATACTGTACATACAAAAATATTCAGTTCAGAAAATGGTAGTGAAGATAGCTTTCTTTTAACTTATTCGTGTAAATTTATGGTAACGGTGATGAATTCTGACCTGACATTGTTTTAAAGCTGCTGTCTCAGTTCATTAACTTTAAAGTAAACATACTTTACACATAGTACATAACTTCCAAGAATCTCATAATCCAACATCGATCAAACAAACCATGCACTTGAAAATAGGCAGCTCTCGATGCTCTCATTCTTCTTGAAACCGATCTTGATATTACCTAATCACCTGAAGATAATATCTCTTCATTACTCTTCTTGTCCCTACTACTTCATCTCGGTATGGAGTAGGGTATTGTATAGTACATATTTCATTTGTTTATATCTTCAGTTACTCCCATATCTAAACCTCCACCTATGTGATGTGCTTTCTGTTCTATTGTTTATCTAGGTTAATTGAAACTTCTCACTTTGGAATCTATGCCCCCAGATAGTAGTATATATTATAATGGTGGCCAACATTGCAGTGAACAAAAAAATTCAAGAACTTGTAGGAGCTTGGGTAAAGATATGGGATGTAAAGGAGTAATTAGGTAGAACATGTGGCAGACATTTGGCCGCCATGCAATGTTAAACCGATGGAAAGCATTATCCAGTATTTGTTGTTCAGACTTGGGCTGTATTGTGGTGCATCATGTTTTTGTTTACTCTGGATAGGCTAAACTGGTCTATTTCTGTATCTGTTAGATATTTATAATGTCTTGTGTAGTAATAATGTACTTAACTTTTTTAGTTATTGACAGGCATTAAATATTTTAGTTCTTATAGTGCACTTTTAGATTTTATTTTCAAGGCACAATTTTTCTGTGGAGACTCAAGTTAAGTGTACGTGTTTGTGTTTTAAAACATTCTAGAATGTTCATCAGTTTCTTTAAAAAGCTTTTATAAATTAATTGTTTTTGTTCTTAAAAGGTTGTATGTGTTAGGTAATAATTTCTGCAAAATTTGTTTAATGTTGACTGCTGTTTTTAAATGTTAATTTTTCAATATTTTACAAATTAAAGAATGAAAAGTATAATATATAAAATGTAGTTTTTATTTAAAAAAGCCTGTAATATTGTTAGGACAATCAGATTAGTAAGTGCAGCAGAAGTGTATTATTTTGACTAATTCTAAATAAAATTTATTAGCAGCACATGGTTTTATTTAATTTAGTGGAGTAGTCTGGGAGTGGGCAGAATCATGCTATTGGTGATCACGTGGGTGTTCATGGTGCAAGATAACACTAACTTCATCAGTAGTCTTGATTGAAACAATGTTGTCAATTCAAGCAAATTTACTTTCACAAGCTGCCATACTAAATGTGATAGTAATACTGTGATACATACTGATGATCATGCTAGTGATGGTCAGTGTATTCACCTAGTTGTGTTTGCGGGGGTTGAGCTTTGCTCTTTCGGCCCACCTCTCAACTGTCAATCAACTGTTTACTAACTTCTTCTTTTTTTTCACACACCACACACACAACCCCCCCCCCCGCCTAGGAAGCAGCCCGTGACAGCTGACTAACTCCCAGGTACCTGTTTACTGCTAGGTAACAGGGGCATTCAGGGTGAAAGAAACTTTGAGAAACTTTGTTTAACTGTATTAATCATTGTTCAAGCTACAGTATATAGTGTGGTCGTAGCAGAGAGAAAATTATCGTCAAGTTGAGAAAATTGTGCTGCAAAACAAAATTTGAAGAAAAATAATTTTTTTTTTTTTATAACTTATTGTAATTCTGAATAGTATTCATCAGAAGCAGAATTAGTCTATACTGTACTAATAAAGAACTGACGAGGAGAGGATGTGGCGTGACACGTCATGAAGCTGTGCCGCAGACACTATTCTTTTGAGTTAACAATTGGAGTATATTTGGTATTACAAAATCTGATTCTGAGCAGCCATTGTGATGCTTTTTTTTTATCTTTTTGCTATCTGAAATTGGTTAAAATTTCAGATAGCAAAAAGCGTGTCGTGTTGTTTCGTCCACGTACACCGTGGTGTCCAGGAAATTTATTGTGTTACTAACGCTTTGATTAATAAATCCCAGTGTCCTATTTGCCTTATTACGAACATTCATGCATTGATCCTTTGGTTTTAAATTCTTACTAATCATAACACCCAGATCCCTTTCGCAATCAGACTTCGCAATCTCAACACCATCCAGCTCTTGTTTTTTAACTATCATCATTACCTAGCCTCAGAACTTTACATTTATCAGCATTAAACTGCATCTGCCAATCTTTTGGCCATTTCAAAACCCTATTTAGATCAACTTGAAGTGATAGCGAGTCTTCTTCCATGTTAATTTCCCTACCGATTTTTGTATCATCGGCAAATTTGCAAATGTTGCTACTCAAACCTGAATCTAAATCATATATATATATGTCGTACCTAATAGCCAGAACGCACTTGTCAGCCTACTATGCAAGGCCCGATTTGCCTAATAAGCCAAGTTTTCCTGAATTAATATATTTTCTCAAATTTTTTTCTTATGAAATGATAAATCTACAAATTTCATTATGTATGAGGACAATTTTTTTTTATTGGAGTTTAAATTAACGTAGATATATGACCAAACCTAACCAACCCTACCTAACCTAACCTAACCTATCTTTATAGGTTAGGTTAGGTTAGGTAGCCGAAAAAGTTAGGTTAAGTTAGGTTAGGTAGTCGAAAAACAATTAATTCTTGAAAACTTGGCTTATTAGTCAAATTGGGCCTTGCATAGTAGGCTGATAAGTGAGTTCTGGCTACTAGGTACGACATATATATATATAACTGAAAACTCACACCCCAGAAGTGACTCGAACCCATACTCCCACAACTGGTATGTACAGGGACGCCTTAATCCGCTTGACCATCACGACCGGACTAAGGAAGTGATAGCCGAGGCTATTTGAACCACTTCCCCGCCGGCACTCGGATAGTAATCTTGGGCATAGCATTTTATCAAATCACCTCATTCTTTGGGGCACACGTGAGGAACACAAATGCAAACAAGCCTGAATGGTCCCCAGGACTATATACAACTGAAAACTCACACCCCAGAAGTGACTCGAACCCATACTCCCACAACTGGTATGTACAGGGACGCCTTAATCCGCTTGACCATCACGACCGGACTAAGGAAGTGATAGCCGAGGCTATTTGAACCACTTCCCCGCCGGCACTCGGATAGTAATCTTGGGCATAGCATTTTATCAAATCACCTCATTCTTTGGGGCACACGTGAGGAACACAAATGCAAACAAGCCTGAATGGTCCCCAGGACTATATACAACTGAAAACTCACACCCCAGAAGTGACTCGAACCCATACTCCCACAACTGGTATGTACAGGGACGCCTTAATCCGCTTGACCATCACGACCGGACTAAGGAAGTGATAGCCGAGGCTATTTGAACCACTTCCCCGCCGGCACTCGGATAGTAATCTTGGGCATAGCATTTTATCAAATCACCTCATTCTTTGGGGCACACGTGAGGAACACAAATGCAAACAAGCCTGAATGGTCCCCAGGACTATATACAACTGAAAACTCACACCCCAGAAGTGACTCGAACCCATACTCCCACAACTGGTATGTACAGGGACGCCTTAATCCGCTTGACCATCACGACCGGACTAAGGAAGTGATAGCCGAGGCTATTTGAACCACTTCCCCGCCGGCACTCGGATAGTAATCTTGGGCATAGCATTTTATCAAATCACCTCATTCTTTGGGGCACACGTGAGGAACACAAATGCAAACAAGCCTGAATGGTCCCCAGGACTATCTACAACTGAAAACTCACACCCCAGAAGTGACTCGAACCCATACTCCCACAACTGGTATGTACAGGGACGCCTTAATCCGCTTGACCATCACGACCGGACTAAGGAAGTGATAGCCGAGGCTATTTGAACCACTTCCCCGCCGGCACTCGGATAGTAATCTTGGGCATAGCATTTTATCTTAGCCATTTATTTAGCCATTCAAATAGCCTCGGCTATCACTTCCTTAGTCCGGTCGTGATGGTCAAGCGGATTAAGGCGTCCCTGTACATACCAGTTGTGGGAGTATGGGTTCGAGTCACTTCTGGGGTGTGAGTTTTCAGTTGTATATAGTCCTGGGGACCATTCAGGCTTGTTTGCATTTGTGTTCCTCACGTGTGCCCCAAAGAATGAGGTGATTTGATAAAATGCTATGCCCAAGATTACTATCCGAGTGCCGGCGGGGAAGTGGTTCAAATAGCCTCGGCTATCACTTCCTTAGTCCGGTCGTGATGGTCAAGCGGATTAAGGCGTCCCTGTACATACCAGTTGTGGGAGTATGGGTTCGAGTCACTTCTGGGGTGTGAGTTTTCAGTTGTATATAGTCCTGGGGACCATTCAGGCTTGTTTGCATATATATATATATATATATATATATATATATATATATATATATATATATATATATATATATATATATATATATATATATATATATATATAAAACAGAGGTTCCAATACAGAGCCTTGAGGCACTCCACTTACAACTTTTTCCCCACTCTGACTTAACCCCATTTATACTGTTTCCTTTGGAATAGCCATGCCCTAATCCATCTTAATATAGCACCTCCAATGCCATGAACCTCTATCTTTTTAATCAGTCATTCATGTGGCACTGTATCAAAAGCTTTGCTAGAGTCAAGGTACACAACATCGCAAACCTTACCACTATCAACTGCCTCAACTATGCTTGAATAAAACGATAGCATATTTGTTAAACAGGAACGGCCATTTGTAAAACCATGTTGTGACTCGTTTATTAATTTATGTTTTTCAAGATGCAAATAAATGGTATTTGCAATTATCGATTCAAGTAACTTTCCCACAATAGACGTTAGGCTAATTGGCCGATAGTTTGATGCAAGTGATCTATCTTCTTTCTTAAAAATTGGTACCACATTAGCAACCTTCCATGACTCTGGCACTCTGCCTGACTCTATTGATTTATTAAATATGGTAGACAATGGATCGCAAAGCTCCTCTTTGCAGTCTTTAAGCACCCTGGCAAAGAAGTGCGTCCAAATGGTTGGACGCACTTCTTATCACCTGATACAACTGTTCACCTAGCGGTTAGCAGATACCCAAGAGTTTGTCAGCTTGTTGTGGGGTTACATCCTGGGGTTGTGGGGTCAGTAATTCAATCTTGTGGGGAGGGGTGGCGGACCTCGATATGTCAATTATGTATAAATATGATGACCAGACCACACACTAGAATGTGAAGGGACGACGACGTTTCGACTTGAGAATGGTCCAGGACGGACCGAAACGTCGTCGTCCCTTCACATTCTAGTGTGCGGTCTGGTCATCATACTTTAGCCACGTTATTGCGACTCATCGCCTGCATATGTATAAATACACTCTTGCTGCCTGTCCCCAGTTGCCTGCCTGCCAGTTGTTTATCGAGTTCGCTCTTGAACACTTAAGAGGCCGGCCATTTGTGTGTGGCGGGAATGTTGAAAAGTCTTTGGCCTTTTGATATAGTTTTTTTTTTTTTTGAGATATATACAAGAGTTGTTACATTCTTGTACAGCCACTAGTACACGTAGCGTTTCGGGCAAGTCCTTAATCCTATGGCCCCTGGAATACAATCCCCTGCCGCGAAGAATCGTTTTTTCATCCAAGTACACATTTTACTGTTGCGTTAAACAGAGGCTACAGTTAAGGAATTGCGCCCAGTAAATCCTCCCCGGCCAGGATACGAACCCATGACATAGCGCTCGCGGAACGCCAGGCGAGTGTCTTACCACTACACCACGGAGACTATGCTACACCACGGAGAGTTCTCTCAGCGTACATAACCCAAGCTCTTGGGCTGGACGGTAGAGCGACGGTCTCGCTTCATGCAGGTCGGCGTTCAATCCCCGACCATCCAAGTGGTTGGACACCATTCCTTCCCCGCGTCCCATCCCAAATCCTTATCCTGACCCCTTCCCAGTGCTATATAGTCGTAATGGCTTGGCGCTGTCCCCCCTGATAGTTCCCTTCCCTTCTCAGCATACATATTGCACCTCTACATATCACTGGGGCTATTTTGCACATCCTGCCATGCCTCCTAGTTACGGGTGATTTGTTCGTGTGCAGTTCGGAACCGATAAAACCAGTCCCTCTAATTTTACCCCACGTTTAAATTATGTCTCGCCTGTGTTCTAGATAATGCAGCTTTAATCGGCATTTTAATCGGTTCCAATAATTTAGATTATTAAAGCAGGGGCCTGACAGCTGAGCAGGGACAGCGCTTCGGATTCGTAGTCCAGAGGTTCCGAATTCGATCCCAGGCGGAGGCGGAAACAAATGGGCAGGGTTTCTTTCACCCTGATTCCCCTATTACCTAGCAGTAAATAGGTACCTGGGAGTTAGACAGCTGCTACGGGCTGCTTCCTGGGAATGTGTAACAAAAAGGAAGCGTGGTCGAGGACCGGGCCGCGGGGACGCTAAGCCCCGAAATCATCTCAAGATAACCTCAAGATAACCCCTGGCACAATGAATTATTAATCTAACAACGTTCGGAAGGTTATGAGCCCAGCTCATCTTTGCAGACACATGTATGGGCGAGTATATACCCAACTTGGGCACAACACACGCTCCACACACTAAGAAATGTAAGGAAATAATCGTACCCTGTGTGAGAGATCAATATGAAGCGAAAGAAGCCGAGGAAGCCACCTCCATCCACAACTTAAGGTCAGATTCGACGTCAAACGTCAGAATAGTCAAATAATAACGCAACGGGTTCAACAAGACAAGAAGGCTGGGCCTAAAGAACTAGACCACACTTCCCGGCAGTCACTGATAGGTAAATACTGGTAGGCAAATACCCGTGGACCACCTGAGCCTACACATGTGTAACCTCGTTACATCATGGCTCCAGACAGGTGTTACTGGCGCCACGCCTCCCACTTGTCGCCAGCTATTTCACCAAGCTTATGACTCAAACAATGAATAGTTGCGTTAAACTACCTCGATTTCCAATTAATTCAAGACGCATTAACAATAAAACAATGAATAGTAACAAGCCACAAAGACTAATCACTACTATTGCCTACCAACGAGGAAGGTCTGGCAGCGGAGTGTGTGCACAAGTGTCGCTACGACCAGAATTTGGTCGTTCAGTTACACCGGTCATCAGGGAAGTGTGTACAATACTGTATTGAGGGTCTTAAGTGAGGTAAGAAAGTAAAAGAAAAGGTATTCTAGTGTGAGAAAAGTGTGTGTAAATTATAATAGTTTGGCCAAACAGGCACTGTACTTTTGAAGGTTTGCAAATGCTGTTAATCACCATAAAGACTTTTCACTGCACACATTAAAATGGATTTATATAGCAGCAACCGTATATAGTTAACTCCACCTAGCCAAGCGGGAGACAAAGAAAAGCGCAACTGGTAAATATATAGTGTTGGAATGGCGGCCACGTGTAATTCTCTCTTTATAGCAGGCAATTATAATAATAAATCGAGTACAAGTGAACTTCGTATAGCACTGAATATATATATATATATAAATATATATATATAAATATATATATATAAATATATATATATAAATATATATATATAAATATATATATATAATATATATATATATATATATAAATATATATATATATAAATATATATATATATAAATATATATATATATATATATATATATATATATATATATATATATATATGCAAACAAGCCTGAATGGTCCCCAGGACTATATACAACTGAAAACTCACACCCCAGAAGTGACTCGAACCCATACTCCCACAACTGGTATGTACAGGGACGCCTTAATCCGCTTGACCATCACGACCGGACATAAGGAAGTGATAGCCGAGGCTATATGAACCACTTCCCCGCCGGCACTCGGATGGTAATCTTGGGCATAGCATTTTATCAAATCACCTCATTCTTTGGGGCACACGTGAGGAACACAAATGCAATTTGCATTTGTGTTCCTCACGTGTGCCCCAAAGAATGAGGTGATTTGATAAAATGCTATGCCCAAGATTACCATCCGAGTGCCGGCGGGGAAGTGGTTCATATAGCCTCGGCTATCACTTCCTTATGTCCGGTCGTGATGGTCAAGCGGATTAAGGCGTCCCTGTACATACCAGTTGTGGGAGTATGGGTTCGAGTCACTTCTGGGGTGTGAGTTTTCAGTTATATATATATATATATATATGTCGTACCTAGTAGCCAGAACTCACTTCTCAGCCTACTATTCAAGGCCCGATTTGCCTAATAAGCCAAGTTTTCCTGAATTAATATATTTACTATAATTTTTTTCTTATGAAATGATAAAGCTACCCTTTTCACTATGTATGAGGTCAATTTTTTTTAATTGGAGTTAAAATTTACGTAGATATATGACCGAACCTAACCAACCCTACCTAACCTAACCTATATATATTGGTAAGGTTAGGTTAGGTAGCCAAAAAAAGATAGGTTAGGTTAGGTAGGGTAGGTAGACGAAAAAACATTAATTCATGAAAACTTGGCTTATTAGGCAAATCGGGCCTTGCATAGTAGGCTGAGAAGTGAGTTCTGGCTACTAGGTACGACATATATATATATATATATATATATATATATATATATATATATATATATATATATATATATATATATATATATATATATATATAACCATGCAAACCATGCTCTGAAACTCTCCCTGGACAGATGTAATAGGACCCATTATCACCACACCAGAAATAAATATCTCTTTGATATCCCCAGGGTCAAACTTAATCTGTGTAAACACTCTATGCAAATTAAGGGACCTAGTTTATGGAACTCACTCCCTAGTGAATTGAAAAACTGCAAAACTTTTGCCTTATTTAAAAGCAAAACCAAAAAGTACCTAACTTCATCTTCTTAGTTTCCTACACTGAGCTTTAAATTTGCTCTGTACCTAGTGTTACCCAATCTCCTAATTTTTATGTAATTTCAAACAACCTTATCATTGTGTTCATTGCTGTCTTCTTTTATGTGCTAGCCATATGCTGTATTGTGACTACCAATTTTTGTCAACTACCATTCAAGCTGTCATTGCAACCAATCTTATATTGTTTCTGCTGTATTATGCCTACCAATTTTTTTGTCAACTACCATTCAAGCTGTCATTGCAATCAATCTTAGCTACCTATGTGCTTTAGTATACTGTACCTACAATTTTCTCTCATCTTTTTTTTCATTTCATGTAATCTGTTATCATTTTTTGTCTATAATTTTGCAAGTATTTACCTCCTTAAAATTTTCTTAGATTAAGGACCTGCCCGAAACGCTGCGCGTCCTAGTGGCTTTACAAGACTGTAATTACCATATTTGTATCCTCACATTCCTTATGTACATTCTTGTATATGCATAAATAAAATAAAATAATATATATATATATATATATATATATATATATATATATATATATATATATGTCGTACCTAGTAGCCAGAACGCACTTCTCAGCCTACTATGCAAGGCCTGATTTGCCTAATAAGCCAAGTTTTCCTGAATTAATACATTTTCTCTAATTTTTTTCTTATGAAATGATAAAACTACCCATTTCATTATGCATGAGGTCAATTTTTTTTATTTGAGTTAAAATTAACGTAGATATATGACCGAACCTAACCAACCCTACCTAACCTAACCTAACCTATCTTTATAGGTTAGGTTAGGTTAGGTAGCCGAAAAAGGTAGGTTAGGTTAGGTTAGGTAGGCTAGGTAGTCGAAAAAACATTAATTCATGAAAACTTGGCTTATTAGGCAAATCGGGCCTTGCATAGTAGGCTGAGAAGTGCGTTCTGGCTACTAGGTACGACATATATATATATATATATATATATATGTCGTACCTAGTAGCCAGAACGCACTTCTCAGCCTAATATGCAAGCCCCGATTTGCCTAATAAGTCAAGTTTTCATGAATTAATTGTTTTTCGTCTATCTAACCTACCTAACCTAACCTAACCTACCTTTTTCGGCTACCTAACCTAACCTAACCTATAAAGATTGGTTAGGTTAGGTTAGGTAGGGTTGTTTAGGTTCGGTCATATATCTACGTAAACTTTAACTCCAATAAAAAAAAATTGACCTCATACATAATGAAATGAGTAGCTTTATCATTTCATAAGAAAAAAATTAGAGAAAATATATTAATTCAGGAAAACTTGGCTTATTAGGCAAATCGGGCCTTGCATAGTAGGCTGAGAAGTGTGTTCTGGCTACTAGGTTCGACATATATATATATATATATATATATATATGTCGTACCTAGTAGCCAGAACGCACTTCTCGGCCTACTATTCAAGGCCCGATTTGCCTAATAAGCCAAGTTTTCCTGAAATAATATATTTTCTCTAATTTTTTTCTTATGAAATGATAAAGCTACCCATTTCATTATGTATGAGGTCAATTTTTTTTTATTAGAGTTAAAATTAACGTAGATATATGACCGAACCTAACCAACCCTACCTAACCTAACCTAACCTATCTTTATAGGTTAGGTTAGGTAGCGGAAAAAGTTAGGTTAGGTTAGGTAGGTTAGGTTGCCGAAAAACAATTAATTCATGAAAACTTGGCTTATTAGGCAAATCGGGCCTTGAATAGTAGGCTGAGAAGTGCGTTCTGGCTACTAGGTACGACATATATATATATATATATATATATATATATATATATATATATATATATATATATATATATATATATATATATATATATATATATGACAGTGTCAGACCACGGACGAAAATTGAAACCGTTTCAATTTTCCTCCGTGGTTTGACACTCACATTTTTAATTACGTTTATTTTCGTGATACACACACACACACATATATATATATATATATATATATATATATATATATATATATATATATATATATATATATATATGCTTAGCTCGTGTGCTTAGTGCTTAGCATAATTCAGTGCTTAGCTCGTGTGGAAATCGTGAAGCTGTTTAGTCAGTTGATTTTTTTTCTATTGAAGCAGGTATTTTCTGCCCCTATTCCGTGTATGACTAACCATCCTGCGAGATGGGAATATTAGATGAACTTATAGCTAGTTTTTTATCTACACTGTATAATCTTTCATATAGAATAGGGTAGCAGCACATTGCTGCGTACACACAAGCGTGTTAATAATAAAAAAATCTGTATATAAAGAAAAACACTGGGGCCATATATAATCCACATGAGAATGCCGAGGAAAATGTCGACCTGAAAATGCTACTATTGAAAATGTCTACTACTGGAGACAAGCAAGAGAACAATTGTAAAAGGTACCAGTTACCCTGACATGTCTACCCCGGCAGTGTTGGAGAAGATCCCTCACAAGAGACTCATTCAAGGTAGAGAACTAGGATGGTGTACATGGACCAGTGTTAATTTAGTTGGGTGAGCGAGACGTGTCGAGAAAGAATCAAAGGATCGTATTAATGTTTGCCGATATGACACTAATGAGAACAGCCAGAATAGAGGGGGAACTGTGCTATATTGCAGTAAAATTAATTTTAATCTGTAATAAACAAACACTACTGTATTTACAAATAAAATAAGAAACGCCAGACATTCTAGATACATATAGATCACACAGAACGGAACATGAACACCAACATACAAGCATCATCAAAATCAAGTGAGTAAAAATTAAATTAATCAAGCACATTACACGGAACATAAAAATAAGTAGCAAAACAATTATATCCACACAAGGCGAAACAATAGAGACCCATGAACACAAAGACTAACCAACACACAGGCAGTCACAATACACCTGAGCTAAGCACAGATGGGCACAAAAAGTTTCATTGAGGAAAAGGGACAATGATAATTAGTATGGATCTTAAGCCAACAAATCAATATACAAATGTTCGAAATAAAGCAAATAAGATTCTAAGATTCATAACTCTGAGTGTTAGCAATAAGGCCTCTAATGTCTCTCCTCAGCTCTACCTTATCCCTGCTAGCTCCTATTTAGTTTATACACTTCAGTTTTAGGAGCACAATATTGCACAATATTGCACATTTTATTTTATATATTTTTTATTGCACAATAGTTTCCACTATTGTGCAATAGTGGAATAGACAATCGCCCTAGATGTGAATAGCAAAATCATTAGAAGAAACCAATCCGGGAAGACTATGTAGCCCGAAATATGCAGTTAATTGTTAATAAATGAAATGTTAGAAGTTTGATTTAGTGTTGGTGCTCAAGTCCTATCAACTTTTCGAGGGTAAGGCACCTACAATAGCTTAGTGACCAACCAGCAAGTATACTGTTCTCCTGTACATAGCTCAGAACTAAGGTGAACTCTTACTGCATATACACGAGATCATATGAATTACGGTTGACCAGTGTCCAGTATGCGGTCAAGTATCACGTATAATTTCAGAGGCTTTTTATTATTTTACTTTTGATTGGGGCGACTGGCCAGGTTATCAAAGATATTGAATAGCGTGATGCATCAAATGAACAAAATCCATATGGGCCGTGGCGAGGGTTCGAACCTACGTCCGAAAGTATCCCAGACACTCCAGACGTTCGAACCCTTATGGATTTGTTCATTTGATGCATCACGCTATTGGGATTTGTGTGTAATGCAGTAAGGGCGAAGAGGTAGAACAGCCTATTGACATAGCTTTTTTTTTCTTTTTTTTCAGATATATACAAGAGTTGTTACATCCTTGTACAGCCACTAGTACGCGTAGCGTTTCGGGCAGGTCCCTGGAATACGATCCCCTGCCGCGAAGAATCGTTTTTTCATCCAAGTACACATTTTACTGTTGCGTTAAACAGAGGCTACAGTTAAGGAATTGCGCCCAGTAAATCCTCCCCGGCCAGGATACGAACCCATGACATAGCGCTCGCGGAACGCCAGGCGAGTGTCTTACCACTACACCACGGAAACTACACCCTCCTGCACTCGGAGCTCGAGTGCAGGAGGGAATTACGTAAAACCCTGGTTTGTCTCTGAGACTGCAGGAACCGTTGGTAAATCAGGATAATTTCCCGGTTACAATTCTTTTACCATGTCGTAGCTCAGTCGATTAAGGCAGCGTCTGGGATCCTCTCGCGAACACTCATCACGGCCCTTGTTGATTTGACGGTGCCTCTAAATTCACTTTGTGTACAACTACAATTCTCTCGGTTGCCTTATTTGTTTTGCTTAATCGCATTCTGCATATAACAAGTTAAATTTGTTTTAAGGACTATGTTGACAAGAAGTTGTGTGTATTTATTCTACAGATGTCTTGCTGGTGGCGGTTGGTGTTGTTGGTGGTGTTGGTGGCGGGGAGTGGCGCCATGATGCACCAGGCGCTCACCGGACATCAGGTACAGTGTTTACCTCACGTACACTGCTACAGTTGTCCTGCCCAGGCTTCCCGTTCCCGGCAGGACAAGCCCTTCACTACCTCATAGGGTAGGGTAGTGACCCTTATGTTTTCTGCCTGGTCTTTCATATTTTTTTTGGGGGGGGGGCCAAATTTTCCATTACAGCCGCTGCTGATTACAAAAAATTGAAAATCACCGAATGGTTCAGACGACCTCGTGCGGTTTCCGTTTATTTTCAGTCTTAAATGTTTTCTCTCTCCTAAAGTATTACTTTTGCTTTCACGGGAAGTCCTTGGTGTTGCAACACACACGTGTACATTAACACCACGGTCATTGTTGGGCATATTTCGAGCTGAAGCTGTAGTAGAATATTAGTTGCAGATCTACCATATAGACTAGGCTTCACTTTGTCTCTTGTAGATCAAATTTGCTTGCTTTAGTATTTAACAAAAGCAAGCATAAAGGTCTAGCACTTTCCTTTCAATAACTAGTCTGCACACGAGAAAATCATTGAGGTAATGGGCTGACTTGAGCTAGCGTACTGGTGATTCCCAGACAACTGCCATAACCCATTGGTTGGTCGGCTTTTGTCCTATCGTGGCCGAGTGGGTGAAGGCACGTGTCTGGGAAACACCGGAACGCTGGTTCAAGTCATCCCATTGCTTCAAAATAATTTTCTCACACCGATACATCACGCCATTGTAATTTCTTTGTAGTCAGTACAAATGTAATAAAATACCCTCTCAAACCTCCAAATCTTGGTAATTAAAGAATACCTTTGTAGGGGCGTTGCCCCGCCTAATAACCGTCCTATCCAAGAACTAAGACTTGCGATTGGTCACCCACAACTTCTAATTGGTTCTATTTTGGGTAGCATGGATACCGTCTGTTGCTACATGGGTCGAGATTAGTCTTGGCTACAGTTATTCTAGGTAACTAGTCAGAGATTGGTCGGTCTAACTCTTTCCGGTGCTGATCCAGGGACGGCCGGGTGTCTTCTGAAACATTTATATATACAAGAGTTCTTACATTCTTGTAATGCATAGCGTTTCGGGCAGGTCCTTAATCCTAATTTTCTCTGGAATACATCCCAACAAATCTTTTTAACAACCGGAATACATCCCAGCAAATCGTTTAACAACCAAGTACCCATCCACTGCTGAATGAACAGAGGCATACAGTTAAGGATTGGCGCCTAGTCAATCCTCCCCAGCCAGGAGACGAACCCAGGTCGAATCATCGAAGCACAGGGAGTGCATGTTACCACGGCACAGCCTGTCCTCCAAATAAAGACCCAAAAGTGATTCCATCCACCCGCCAAACCCCCCGTTTATGAATGAAAAACGGTTTACACACGACTCACAACTGATGACGTTCGAACACTTCCGGAACAAGTGCTTCACTGACGAATTTTCTTCGAACCACAACGCTGTAAATGCTTCACCCACGTACTACAAATACAAATAATCGCCAACAGAACCCAAACACCTAACCTAACCTACCCTATGCTTATATATACACAATATGTTAATATATTATAATATTAATTTATACTTGAGAAAATTCCCGTTTTGAATGAACAGCATGTTCAAATTTATGAATGCGTCTGTGGGGTTGACCGCTGGGTGTAATGGACTTGAGTCGAGGACGGGTTGCATCGTGTTGCTACTTACTTCCTCGTGGTGGTGGTGCTATATTGACCTCCCTAGACCCCCGTGGTGGTGGTAATGTTACTGACCTCCCTGGACCCTGTGGAGGTGGTGGTGCTACTGACCCCCTGGACCCCGTGGAGGTGGTGGTGCTACTGAGCTCCCCAAGGCCCAAGCTGGGGAACGGGAGGTTGCCAAGAAATATTTTCCCAGGCTTGTTGTTACAATATTAATCTTGTGTAATTTATTCTGTTTTTTATTCTGTATATTTATTAATATAATGTATTAAATATTATCGAGACGATTTATATCTAAAATTTCGGTAAATAATAATTTTGCATAATTGCAAATTAACGTACCTAAATTTTAAATTGTCGCGGGAATATCCCAGTCATACAGATTGATTAAAATTAGGTGTAAATAGTTACAGCCCCGCTCCTGTGCCAGGTAAGTCCACTACAGGCTCACCATAGCCCGTACTATTTGGAACTTTTTGTTCAGAGTAGCTGAATCTAAAACAACAAAACTAGCTAGAGGTGTTGTGTGGATGAGGCGGCGTTAGGGCGATCAGGACATAGACCTCCACGTGGGAACGCTCGCGAGAACGGGCTGTGTATCTTGCAGGTGTGGGAGGTTGATGAGTCGGGTAGAGTCCTCACGACACGATTGCTTGAGGAGGGTCTGCTGGACGTGCTGGACCACTCTAGACCTTCCCGGACCGTGCGGGTCTCTCCTCACGCCGTCCACCAGGTCAAGACCGCCCTGCAGGAGGCTGCCATTCCCTACCGCGTCCTTATCTATGACCTGGCCACCTACATCAAGGTGAGGCATTACAGTGTACTATCTCGCTACCTACATTCGGAAGAGACTGTGGTAACTACGACTAATGTATTTTATCTTTAAACTCCATACACTCAACAGTTGCGACAGGTGAGGCAAAACTCACCACACACTGCTCCCCGGCGCTCATGGCTTGAGGCATGCATAGTAATTCAAGACCGTTGAATTATTACACTGTTGTCATTAGATGTTGAGATATAAGTCTCGTCCTAATCACACACTTAGATCTTGATAAAGTACTCAGGAGAGTGCGAGAGACTTGGTGTTAATTCAGCGTTGAAATAACGTTACTCTTGGATATTGTGGCCACTGGGAGCGACAGCATCTTATCTATTGTATCAAAGACAAATTAGGATTAGTGAAATAATGATTGCTTTGGTGTGAATAAATCTGAACATCTACATATATCTACAAAAACACACTTATTTGGGAAAGTCATTTTTTTATATATTTCCGCACAATTTTAAAATATTTCCATTAATTGTGCAAAAATACTGAAGGAATGTTTGTATTTCACTTATAATTAAAAAAACTTTCAATTACACTGAAAGTTGGGTTTAACACCTGGGGCCATTATTAAATTGAATGACGTCTTCTATGTGCCAAAAGATATTGCTACACGTAGTAGCAGAGTACATGTAGAGTACACGGGCCGAGTACATATTGCTGTGTTGCAGGAAGCGAATAAAGGGGGTCGAGAGCCCCGGTCACCTGTTGACACCTGCACAGCCACCACCTGTCCCGCCCCTCTCAAGACCCACTACATGACCCTCTCCCAGGTGAGTACCACTTGTCCCGCCGCCCTCTCTCTCCACAGATAAACAGCGTGTGCCCAGTTCAACCTCTAAGATTATATTCTATCTATCTAAGAATATTTAGTAACGGGTAGCCTAACAATCACAAGCCTAACAAGCTTCCTATCCCCCCCACCCCCGCCGATGGGAACTAAACCAAACACAGGTATTCGATTGAACGATGTGTGTTGTTAGAGCAGTGACCTCTTACTTAAACTAATGACCTGTGATGTCATTTTCAGTATTCTTCTTTTGTTCAATACGGTAGTATACTAAGCAGTAAATGAACACTTTAAAGAAGAGCGTGTTTGTTGTCGATTTAAGGGATGACGACAATCGTGGGATCGGATGCGCCCCGGCTTCTTGTTTCTGTTTTAGATTTAGCTACTCAGAATGAAATGTCCATGTAGCACGGGCTATGGTGAGCCCGTAATTCAGTTCGGTTATTCGCGATAACCTTGTTACTGTGATATTTGAGTCAAAGTTTTAAATGGAGGTGGGGTTTCCTCCCTTTTCCGTTTTTTTTCGCTTCTGTTTTAGTGCACTGGTTTTAGTCTTTGTTTTAATAACATTATCTAGGAGGCGGATGTAGATGCAGAATGTTCACTAGTGAGTCCCATTCCTCAACTGCTTTTCTAATCGTTGTAGTCTCTGTAGAATTTGCATCTAATGCAGCTGCTGTCGTTAGAAAATGTTGAGTTTGATGCGAAGGGCTTTAGTCGCTTCACATTCCAGTAAGTAGTGCAATAGTGGCGCCTCTGCTTCTGTTCCACAGATATGACACTCTTGGGTTTATTACCTCCCAGCAGCACTTGTAACCAAGTCTGAGTCTGTGTATGGCTACTGCAGTGTCTCTGGATATCTTTCTGTCAGGCTTGAAATAGTAGTACCCAGTGGCTTATTCGTACACAGTGGATCTATCTTCCGCTACTTTGGCTCTGCACCCCGGCGTACCCGCGAAGCCTAATGACGAAATGAATGTCGCTTATCAGCTGAAACTAATAGGCTTCGCGGCAAATAAACGCACAGACAGGCAGATGATTGGGGAGCCCCAAGAGTCCCTTAGAGTGACAAGCACCGGAAAGTAGAGCATTTCTTAGTCAAGTAGCACATGACCTAAACTTTTAAAATATGCTTAACATATTTAAAGCTTCATACTTAATCAGCAATTCAAAGTTTAAATAGGACTAAAAGTTTAGTCGTTTCATGGCATTGCTATTTTTCATTAAACCCAAACCTCTTCTGACCTAACGTAACCTAACTAAAATAAAAGGTAAATTTTTGCATTAAATATATACAGTGCGAGGTATTACTGTGCCTCTGGAACAGTGCTGTTTCCATCAGCTTGCCTCTGGAACCTTTTTGGATACTTCAGATTCGAACACGCCATGTTAATGTATTCATATTTTTCTCCTGTTAACATCACTTCCAACGCCATGCCCACCAAAACAATATCACGTGGTTGCATGCAGATGGAATGGTACCTTAAGGAGATGAACCGAACCTTCCCCAGCAGGATTAGCGTCAGCTCTATAGGAAAGTCTGTAGAGGGCCGCGATATCTGGCTGGCTTACCTGCCGGCAGCCAACTCATCAGGCAGAGCCATCTGGGTGGAGGCTGGTAAGTTGATGCTCTTGGTGTACTTGCCACCAGAATCCTTCGTGCGAGATTGTAATTCATGTTTCGATCTTGTAAATATGTAATTACAACTTCAAACTTCCGCCCAGCCGCGTGTATTATCAAGGTACACGAGTTAGCCCCCTTGAACTCATGCCTATAAGCGACCACGGGCTTTTGTTTATTTTACATGGTGCTGCTCATAAATAAATTACTCAAAACTGTATCTCAGGAACATGTAATTATCATATTCAATACCATTGCATCAATCGTCAATATATTACGATAATTAGTTATTTATCTACCTCCTTCAGATATCCTTTGAAATTATTATACAATTTATCTTTCGCGATTGTATACAGTTCATCAATTAAAACTATTACCCGCAAATCTAAGGCCAAGAGAGATCATTAGATTTGTGTATTCGCTTGCCATTTGTTTTGTGGGTTTGTTGTGTATTTTAATGTGCTGATATACAGTCACAATGTACTGATTTCTATATATATGGCAGGTCTTCATGCCAGGGAGTGGATCTCGCCGGCAGTGGCCTTGCACCTCATCGATCGCACGATACACAACAGGTCAGCCATGGCCAACATGGACATTCTCGTGGTGCCCATGGCCAACCCTGATGGCTATGTTTACACCTGGACAACTGATCGCTTTTGGCGTAAGAACCGGAGAATCAACGCCGGTACCACTTGTGCCGGCGTCGACCTTAACCGCAACTGGGATTACCATTTTGGCGTTGGAGCTTCCACCAACCCATGCAGCAATGTGTACAAGGGTCCATCGGCCTTCTCCGAGCCGGAAACTCAGGTCCTGCGCAATGCTATGCTCAAGCGGAAAGATAATTTAAAACTAATATTGTCGCTTCACAGCTTCGGGCAGAAGCTGCTGTACCCATGGGGCTGGTCTAGTAGCGTCAAAGCACCAGACACCCCTCAGCTCGTTGCTCTTGGTCAGGTGTTCGCGCAGGCCATCAAGAACGCGACTGGCACCGAATACAATGTCAAGAACTCTGCGGGAGGTTTATACTTGGCATCTGGTGCTACAGACGACTGGGCCACAGCAGTGCTCAAGACCAAGTATGCGTACACACTTGAGTTGAGGGATCTAGGCCAACAAGGTTTCCTGCTGGATCAAAGGAACATCCTCCCTTGTAGTGAAGAAGTATGGCACGGACTCACTGAAGTCATCAAACATATAAAGTAACACAGTACCAGCAACCTATCCTCTTGTTTAGATAATACCTGTTGTGACGATTGTCAATAGTCAGAATTCGTACCTTCTTAGCTTTTAGATTTTATTTTATTTATTTATATACAAGAAGGTACATTGGGTTTGTGAGAATGCATAGCATAGTACAGTAATTACACTCTTGTAAAGCCATTAGTACGCGCAGCGTTTCGGGCAGTATAATAGTATAGATAATAGTATACCGACTAGTAAGGCATTCTTTTAAAATAAATTATGCTAAATCACAAACTTAAATATTCCTAGGACTAGTATAGCACACATATGTACTATATTAGGCCTCAGATATCGTGTTAGGCCTAGGGAGGTTAAGACAGGTTGGGTTAGTTTGTCAAAGCAACACAAATAACAAATAGTTTTCTGGTATGTCCAACTCAATAGTTCAGCAGATTAGTAAACATTATATCTCTGACAAATATTATCATCATTTAAGGATAAAATTAAATACAAAAAGAAAATCCTACGAGGCTTAGTTTATCTTTAGTAGAGTAATTAGTAATGACTGAGTACGTGAGTCGTACTGTGAGACAGTAACGCAGTCCAGTTAATAACACACACACACACACCGTAGTCGTACGTGAGACAGTAACGTAGTCCAGTTAATAACACACACACACACCGTAGTCGTACGTGAGACAGTAACGTAGTCCAGTTAAAAACACACACACACACACACCGTAGTCGCACGTGAGACAGTAACGTAGTCCAGTTAATAACACACACACACACCGTAGTCGTACGTGAGACAGTAAGTACTATAGCATAAGCGTTCGTGAAACCTCCACATTCATGTCTGGTGAATTATTTAGTAAGACCCTATTTTTTTTTAATTCATAACCACTGTCTGTGGAGAGGAAAGTATACATATATATAATTATAAATATCATGGCCCAGTATTTTTATTAACACACACCCAATGAACAAATTTGTTTCCTTTTCTAGCCTAATTTTAACCAGGTGTAAATACCCTACATCTTGCCTTGCAGACTGTTCTTTGATTGTACAAATGCACAAAATTTAACCTAATCTATCCTGAAACTTGCTAACCCAAGCAACCCACCTAACCTAACCTACAGATGCACAAAAAAAACGTAGATATTTGTGAGCCGCAGCAAAATCTCTTCATTTGGAACTCAAAATATTAACGAGTCAAACACATCATCGCTTTTAATTATATCCAGGAAAGGTGCGAAAGGTGGCCATTGACCTTGTCACAGGGGGCGGGATGTCTTTCCCCAGGCATAGCAGTGGCCCAGCTCGTTAATAATCCAGTTGACTTTTCAGGGTCACAGCGTCGATTTGGTGAGGTTATGGGCCTGGTTATTTTCACATCAGGGGTTAGGTTTCCACAGCAGCTGCCTGGGTTTCCACAGCAGCTGCCTGGGTTTCCACAGCAGCTGCCTGGGTTTCTACAGCAGCTGCCTGGGTTTCCACAGCAGCTGGCTAGGTTTCCACAGCAGCTGGCTAAGTTTCCACAGCAGCTGGCTAGGTTTCCACAGCAGCTGCCTGGGTTTCCACAGCAGCTGGCTAGGTTTCCACAGCAGCTGCCTGGGTTTCCACAGCAGCTGCCTGGGTTTCCACAGCAGCTGCCTGGGTTTCCACAGCAGCTGCCTGGGTTTCCACAGCAGCTGCCTGGGTTTCCACAACAGCTGGCTGGGTTTCCACAGCAGCTGCCTGGGTTTCCACAGCAACAGTCTGGGTTTCCACAGCAGCTGCCTGGGTTTCCACAGCAGCTGCCTGGGTTTCCACAGCAGCTGCCTGGGTTTCCACAGCAGCTGCCTGGGTTTCCACAACATATGCCTGGGTTTCCACAACAGCTGGCTAGGTTTCCACAGCAGCTGCCTGGGTTTCCACAGCAGCTGCCTGGGTTTCCACAGCAGCTGCCTGGGTTTCCACAACAGCTGCCTGGGTTTCCACAACAGCTGGCTGGGTTTCCACAACAGCTGCCTGGGTTTCCACAACAGCTGGCTGGGCTTCCACAGCAGCTACCTGGGTTTCCACAGCAGCTGCCTGGGTTTCCACAGCAACTGCCTGGGTTTCACAGCAAGCGCTATATTTACTGATCCAATGTAAAAACAGACTAATTTTACAAAGCTACACAAAATGTATTTAATTTTATTTGTATGCGTTTGGTGAGAACAGAAGCGGCATTAAGTTAATTAATAATTAGGTGGAGCAGGTGCAGCACCATGTATCCCTAAGGGATACCTGCCTTCTCACTCTCACAGGCCAACCAACTTTAAGTATACACGACTCATTGTAAACTGCATGGCATTTAATCCCCTTCTCTCATTAGATCAGACCTATAATAACATGGTGCCAATGTTGCAGACATTGGGCTGGACAAAAATAAATTTAGACAAAATTACCAAACCAAGATGGCTATACAGCACTGAAGGTTGACAGTAACGTACTAATATTTTCTAACCTTAACGAACCGAATGGTCCTGGTGTAATGAATTGTAAGGAATTTCTATTTTACAAATTTATTATTTTTAGCACGTTTGAACATGTTATTTACCAGACAATTTACATAGCTGATACTGCACTGGGAATTTCTTTTATTGCAGAAAGGTAGAGAGCAAACCAGAACTGTGCATTATATGGAGTACACACTCCAAAATACTGTACTAGATACCTCGCTCTGGAGTCAGCGCTACGAACACCATTTTCATGCCATTCCAGACCTCCTCACTCGTGGGAAGTATCTGATCAGGACTCAAGAAAAAGGTCTTTTTATCTCTGAGCTCGAGTGTGTACGCAAACTTTGTCTTGAGCTCCCCTTTGGCCCAGTCATCCGTGGCCCCGGACGCATAGTAAAGTCCGGCAGCAGAGTTGGCAACATCGTACACTGTACCGTGACTTTCCTTGGCACTTTTGGCAAATATATCGCCCAGTCGCTGCATGGCTGGCGTGTTGGGTGCCGAGTCTGTAGTGTGGCCAAACGGGTACATTAACAGCTGACCATAGCTATGCAGTACTAACACTAGCATCAGTTTGCCTGTTCTATTTACCTGCAACATAACATTGCTCAGTGCCTGTGTCTCCGGCTCAGAGAATGCATGGGCTCCCTGATAAACTTCGCTGCAAGGGTTATGCGAGGCTCCCACTCCAAACTGAAAGTCCCAGTTACGGTTGAGGTCGACGCCGTCACAGTCGGAGCCGGGAATCTGCCTGCGGTTCTTGCGCCACATGCGGTCGTTGGTCCAAGAGTAGACGTAGCCGTCAGGGTTGGCCACGGGCACCACGTAAATATCAAGAGCTCGTCCAGCACTGCAGTCTTGAACAATATTATGAATAAGCTGTAACGCAACAGCGGGTGCGATCCATTCACGGCCGTGGATACCTGTTGTTAACATACTGAAATATTATGCATGATCATACACGCAGGTTCCAAATATACAAATTATAACATTTTAGCAAATTTGTACAAAAACGAACACGAAGATAGATTAGTTAAAATGTCTATGATGCATAAGTAATAAGATAACATTCTAAAGATATAATTTAATAATTAAACTACTGTAATTTGATATTTAGCGTTTTATGAGTTTCTCGTACGCAGAGAATTCGTGAATCCTAGCATCATTGTCAGCCAATATTGCCTTCACCCATGACGGGGTCCTTACGGAGTAATGCTGCCTGGCGCAAACTGTCTCTTTAGTGTCAAACTGGAGCAAGCAGAGGATTGTACACGTCACCCACAGGAAAGTAACCTCTTGAACATTTTTTTTTTTTTTTTTTTGAGATATATACAAGAGTTGTTACATTCTTGTACAGCCACTAGTACGCGTAGCGTTTCGGGCAAGTCCTTAATCCTATGGTCCCTGGAATACGATCCCCTGCCGCGAAGAATCGTTTTTTCATCAAAGTACACATTTTACTGTTGCGTTAAACAGAGGCTACAGTTAAGGAATTGCGCCCAGTAACTCCTCCCCGGCCAGGATACGAACCCATGACATAGCGCTCGAGGAACGCCAGGCGAGTCTTACCACTACACCACGGAGACTATGTATACCTGTATATGTATACCATGTATACCATGACATGTATACCATGAGAGTTGTACTCGATGAAGATGAAGATTAAGCCACCCAAAATGTGGCACGGGCATGAATAGCCCGTAAGTGGTGGCCCTTTTGAGCCATTGCCAGTATAGATGATACTGGAGATCTGTGGAGGTGCGACTGCACCCTGCGTGACGGGAGACGTCTCCCGTCCGAGTTGTACTCAGTTTGTCGGGGCTTATACACTGAATGTATTTTAGTATTGAGCCCTATGTAATACTTACAGGCTGGTCAGTATGCCAGTGTGGAGGCCATAATAACCCTCCCTCGGTTGATAGGCTTTAAACCCAGTACCAAATGGGACCTACCTGCCTCCAGCCACACGGCGCGGCGACGCTTACTCTCCCGCGCTGCCTTCAGGCGTCCCAGGAACGCTGATAGGCTTCCGTCTCCTGCAGTCACCACAATTTTTTTAATACTATGCCCTGACCTCACCACACATGTCTTAATATTGTGCCCTGACCTCACCACACATGTCTTAATATTGTGCCCTGACCTCACCACACATGTCTTAATATTGTGCCCTGACCTCACCACACATGTCTTAATATTGTGCCCTGACCTCACCACACGTCTTAATATTGTGCCCTGACCTCACCACACATGTCTTAATATTGTGCCCTGACCTCACCACACATGTCTTAATATTGTGCCCTGACCTCACCACACATGTCTTAATATTGTGCCCTGACCTCACCACACATGTCTTAATATTGTGCCCTGACCTCACCTCACATGTCTTAATATTGTGCCCTGACCTCACCACACGTCTTAATATTGTGCCCTGACCTCACCACACATGTCTTAATATTGTGCCCTGACCTCACCACACATGTCTTAATATTGTGCCCTGACCTCACCTCACATGTCTTAATATTGTGCCCTGACCTCACCACACATGTCCTAATATTGTGCCCTGACCTCACCTCACATGTCTTAATATTGTGCCCTGGCCTCACCACATATGTCTTAATATTGTGCCCTGACCTCACCTCACATGTCTTAATATTGTGCCCTGACCTCACCTCACATGTCTTAATATTGTGCCCTGACCTCACCACACACGTCTTAATATTGTGCCCTGACCTCACCACACGTCTTAATATTGTGCCCTGACCTCACCACACACGTCTTAATATTGTGCCCTGACCTCACCACACACGTCTTAATATTGTGCCCTGACCTCACCACACACGTCTTAATATTGTGCCCTGACCTCACCACACACAGGTGGCATGATGAGCACTCACCTCTACACTCAGGTGGTTTGATGTGAACCAGCCACAGGTCGCGACCTTCAACAGATTTGCCAATGGACGTCACCTCAACTCTGGGATGACTCGCTAGGTGGGTCAAGTACCATTCAATCTGTGGCAGGTGGTGGGTTATAGTGGGCTGTCAGTGGCAGGGTGGGTGGTCTGTGGTAGGTGGTGGGTTATAGTGGGCTGTCTGGGGTAGGTGGTGGGTTATAGTGGGCTGTCAGAGGCAGGTGGTGGGTGGTCTGGGGTAGGTGGTAGGTTATAGTGGGCTGTCAGTGGCAGGTGGTGGGTGGTGGATTATTGCTACACGGCAGGTGGCGGGTTTTTTCATACATGGTTGACTGTAAACTGATGTATGCTGTACGGTGAACTTTTAACGTTTATATTTTAAGTTTGAAAGATTTTTTTGCTCCGAAGGCGACTAACTCCTCGTCTAGTCCATCGTATGGGCCGTTGTAGACAACTGCATCACCAAGATAGTGAACAAATGGAATGCGCTAAGAAGTGAAGTGGTGGAAGCAAACTCTATACAAAGCTTTCACAGTAGATATGACGGAACCCAATATGATCAGGAATTCCGGTTGAGAGGCGGATCCCAAGAGTTAGGATCCAAGAGCCGTAGCCCATGCGCCCCTCCCGTAAATACAACTAAGCAAGTATCATCTGCTTGGAGAGTCAAAATTGCCATGAAATTCTGGGTAGTTAAGGTTGTTTCTTGGAAATGATTATTGTATAAGGCGAGTCTTGCTGGGTGATTGGGATGAAGATTGATTTCAGATAAGAAGTTGAAGTAGAGGGTTGAGAGGTGTTGTGGACTGGTTCAGTTATGACGGGGGGGGGGGAAGTGAGGCGGTTACACCGATCAGTGACGGAAGTGTTATAGCCTAGCTATAGGCTCAGATGTGGATTGTTTAGGATTGGTTTCTGGTGTAGTTTCAGCTGGAGCGTTGCAATTAAATAAATATTCTGGAATTTCCATTGAAATTAATCGGTTTTAAATTTGGCATTATTTTGTGAATAAATGATCCTGGCTCCCTATTGGAGAAATACAATAATATAAAATAAGTCCCAACTCTCTAGGGCATGGAAGCAATGAGACGGTGCCTTGGCCAGATACCACAGGCTTGCCCCGCCACGCTCCTCATTGTAACTCCCCCATACCACACACCTGGTGTCGGTTGTGGTGTGGCTCTTGCCCTGTGACCCGAGGTGATGACCTACCTGCTGGAAGGTCATGTAGGAGTCTATGAGAGGAGCGGGACAGCTGGAGGAGACACATACTTCAGCTCTGTTTCTACGTGGCGCGCGTGTTGTGTCCTTCTCCTGCAGTAAACAATCACGTCACGCTATTAGTCGACATACAATAAAGAAAAAATGCATAAAACTTTATCAAGATTTTCCAAAACAGTTTTAACTCTTTTTTTCTTTGGGGGGGGGGATGCAGCAGCAGTTTTGAGTTGTAAAGTTTGTTGGGTTGCTGCAACTTTTTGACACCACTGTACCATCCCCACAATGTTCAAAAGTATAGTGAAAAAGTCTGTTTGCAAATAAAACAAAATTATTCTTTTGGCAAATTATTATATGGGTGTTTTAGCTTCGAAGGTATTGAGGAAAACACTTACAAATATGAAGAAAAAATTATATATATAAACGTGTGTGGGGCTGATCGACCAAGTAAATTTAACACGACGTTGAGGCAGTGAAAGCCACATTCCTCGACAGTTACAAGCAGGTGCGATACAGCACTAGCAACCGGGGTACAGTAATTCAACCCGATATTTGAAAACTAGAAAGCGGGGCCCAGGAGCTGGATCTCCTCGTCTACACAGTAGTAGGCTCTCACCCGTAGATAGGCGGCCAGGTCGTGGATGAGAACGCTATAGGAAATTCCAGCCTCGCGCAGGGCGGTCTTGACCTCCTGGACGGTCTGAGGAGAGACCCGCACGGTCCGGGAAGGTCCAGAGTGGTCCAGCACGTCCAGCAGACCCTCCTGCAGCAGGTGTTTTACTGCTCCGCTGCTCCCTACCTCCACCACCAACACCTGTAGGGAGTCAATCTCTGCATCAACACGGTTGTCACTCGCTTCATGCCAGTTAACTCCGTTATCAATGTTTAGTGGTCAGCATTTACCTCACTTTGAGAGGTGGTGTTATGAGTGCTTTCTGTAGGGCTCGGAAGTGTTATACAGTATATATCTAAAGCTCCTATATAATCTTGAATGTCACTTTAATTGCTTACTCAACACATTAATATTAGTAATAATAACGAGAATGAATACAATAATAAATAAAATTAAAATGCAATCACTAATAATACAAGTTACTGGTTTAATCATACAAAAATCTGCTACAGAACAATAAAAAAAACTTTTCAGACAACACTCAGCCCGCCCCCCCCCCCCTCCCCCTTTAAATCCCTAAACATGCTAAACAAACTCACTCCACACATTCTCTTGTGCCATTTACATGTACAAAACCTTGTTCTTAAATGCAAATTCTGATCTGAAACTCTTCCTTGATATATGTAATAGAACCCATAATCACCACACCAGAAATAAATCTCTTTGATTTCCCCAGAGTCAAACTAAATGTGTAAACACTATGCAAATCAAGGGACCTAGTCTATGGAACTCACTCCCTAACGAATTGAAAAGCTTCGTCAACCTACGCCTTATTAAAAAATAAAACCAAAAAGTGCTTAATTTCATCCTCATAGTTGCTACCTTGTGCCATAAACGTGCACTGTATATTGTGCTACCCACTCACACCCCCCCCCAATATAAGTGCCTAAGTTATTCAACTTCATCATTATAATCATTACAATCATCTTATATCATTGTTGTTATATTGAACGCATATTTTACATAATACCTAGATATACCTAGATCCTCAAATTATGCTACAATGTACGTGTTGATAATCCTCAAATTTTACTATAATGTACCTACTAATCTTTCTCAAATTTTCTTACAATGTACCTGTTAACATTTCTCAATTTTGCAAGAAATTACCTACTTAAAATTATGTTAGATTAAGGACCTGCCCGAAACGCTGTGCGTGTTAGTGGCTTTACAAGACTAAAAACATCAGTGCTATGTACTCTCATAAACCCAATGTACCTAATTGTATATACTTAAATAAATAAATAAATAAATAAATACATAAATAAATATAATAAAATATCGTCCAGTATTCGCGTGCGTGCGTGTGTGAAGCAATTACAGAACTAAAAGTACTGTATTCATACCATTTGGTCTGAAATCAATTACAGACATAGTACTGCCACCTGCCATGGATATCTATATCCCAGCCTAATTCTGGAAATTATAATGTCACCTGTCTAGTGGATGTATTGTGCTGTCCGTACATACATATACTTCTCGGTTAAGTATATGAACAAGTATAAACATTTTATACTCGTGCTCTTCCGCCATTTTCTGAATATTGGTGATTTTACAATTGAGATTGGAATGCCTAAATATAACTCAGTTTCAAGCATATCACATCCAGCTTTAGCTGCCTTGTCCGTATTATCATGCAGGGCAACACCTATGAGAGATAGTATTCATCCAAATGAGACTTGTTCTATGTATGATGTTTATAATGGATGTTACATTCATGAATGTTACATGAATACATTCATGGATGTTATATGAATACATTCAATGGATGTTACATGAATACATTCAATGGATATTACGTTACTATGTAGATCTTGTTCTATGATGATGTTTATAATGGATGTTACATTGTTGGTATCTCTATTTTGCATGCTGGGGTTTCAAGTGCTTGAAGAGCTGACTTTGAATCCTACAAAACTACTTCTCCACTGTTTTTCAGTGCGTTAGTGGCAAGTTGTAGCGCAGCTAACTCTGCATGTGTGGAGCTAAGCCACATTCAGTCTCACACTTGTGGTCTGTGTACATGTGTTGTCTTTGTATATTCTACAGGCTGTTGTAGTATGACCTGTTGACATTTGTAGACCCGTCAGCGCAAGCATAGTACTCTTGAGGGCGTAATTAGTTATAAAGGAATCGATTGTCTCAAGTATTGTTGCTTTGAAGAGTGCTAGATTTCCCTTACTCTTTTTGCTGATGGGCATACAAGACACTTGTATGTCAGGGTACATGTATATAGTGGAGTATCATTAGTTAGTACATTGCATACAATATGAATATTTATTTTGATGAGGTTAGCAGCATTTGTACTCAACCAGTTTGCATATAGGTAGCTCGCTGGTGCGTTGGTTGCACTTTTCCGCCTACAAAATTCACCGGCCAGTTTATCTTTGATGATGTTGGATCTCTCAATAGTACTGATGATGTTGGATCTCTCAATAGTACTGATGATGTTGGATCTCTCATAACTCTTACACAAAAGATTGTACTGAGCTACTCAATTCTTTCACACGTGATTAGGAGTTTCAACTCCGTCATGTTGTTGACTCTTTTGCATCTGGGGGGCTCTTAAGAATTTTGTTTATCTTGTCAGTTTCATAATTTCTGTAAAAGGCTATGCCCCTGCCCGAAACGCTTTGCGTAATAGTGGCTCTAGGCATTGTATGTACTAGCTCTATCTATAAATCTATCAATTTTTGTATAACCTCTTGTATGTATGTACTTTACCTGAATAAACATTTGAATTTGAATTTGACCTGGTTTTGAACCATTAAATGGTGCTCACCTGGTGTCCTTCAAGGTGCTGGTAGTTGTCAGAGACGCAGCAAGCGACGCTGACGAAGACCAGCAGCAGGACGACGGGCCGCCATTGTTGACAACACCGCGGCTCCTGCAACACAAGCACACATTACACGTTGCTAGACTCGTGTACAATGTTTATTCTTGGATTCCATATAACCAACCATCCTTTGGGATGTGGGATATTAGATGAACTTTTAGTTTGCCCCTTGATCAAATAAGTTTGAGGTATAAATACACGCAAAGGAATGAGGTTGTTCAAGTTATTCTCACCCCGTTCAGTACAACGTGTTATATATATACATACATACATATACACACAAATTATTATTATTATTATTATATATATATATATATATATATATATATATATATATATATATATATATATATATATATATATATATGTCGTACCTAGTAGCCAGAACGCACTTCTGCCTACTATTCAAGGCCGATTTGCCTAATAAGCCAAGTTTTCATGAATTAATTGTTTTTCGACTACCTAACCTACCTAACCTAACCTAACCTAACTTTTTCGGCCACCTAACCTAACCTAACCTATAAAGATAGGTTAGGTAGGGTTGGTTAGGTTCGGTCATATATCTACGTTAATTTTAACTCCAATAAAAAAAATTGACCTCATACATAATGAAATGGGTAGCTTTATCATTTCATATGAAAAAAAATTGAGAAAATATATTAATTCAAGAAAACTTGGCTTATTAGGCAAATCGGGCCTTGAATAGTAGGCTGAGAAGTGCGTTCTGGCTACTAGGTACGACATATATTATATATTATATATATATTATATATATATATATATATATATATATATATATATATATATATATATATATATATATATATACACACACACACATCACAAGCAACATATTTCGGGACATTCTGAGTGATAAATATATACATATTCTTATTTACAGTGTGAAGTTTGTTACCGGACGTACACACAGATACTTTTATGACTAGATACATAGACTACTTGCAATAGACAATCAGACAATTCAACAAAAGTTTACAATCTTGGTGCAAAATTCTTATATCTCTCCAGAATATCACCAACCTTTCCGTTGTGACACATCCAGGCTATTTGTTCAGGAACAGTCCGTAACTCAGTGTTTCTGTATACATTAATCAACGAGCAATCAAGAACAGAGGGTGTGAGACCTTAAATTAACATTCCACATCGTTTACACTTGGTGTCATTATCATTAACACCTATTCCATATTCCCAGTTGCCCTTGATATGTCTACATACAGAATATGGTAGCAGCACACGTATGTGTATTATAAACTGATAAATAATAATATGAAAAAAATTGGCCAAATATCCCCAGTTTGCTAACTGTACTCACCTAGTTGTGCTTGCGGGGGTTGAGCTCTGGCTCTTTAGTCCCGCCTCTCAACCGTCAATCAACAGGTGTACAGGTTCCTGAGCCTATTGGGCTTTATCATATCTACACTTGAAACTGTGTATGGAGTCAGCCTCCACCACATCACTTCCTAATGCATTCCATTTGTCAACCACTCTGACACTAAAAAAGTTATTTCTAATATCTCTGTGGCTCATTTGGGCACTCAGTTTCCACCCAGTTTTTGTAGGTAATAACTGAGTGACTGTAACCTATCCACCGCTGTCCACTAGATGGGGGGCGGTGTGTAGGATAAACATATCAATTGCGACACTAGCTCTCCACATGTCAGTTGCTTAGATTAGAAACTGTACTTGTGGCCGGTCTCGAACCCATTGTTGATGTGACGATGTGCATTGAATTTTGTAACTAGCTCATCACGATTGTAACTTGTTTAGCTAAATGATTTGTGGGGTTCAGTCCCTGAGCCCATTATGTGCCTCTGTAACTTTCCAATATCGCCCCCGGCCCGGCCTCCAAAGACCAAAAATCCATTCCATGCACCCGCCTAACCCCTTGTTTATGAATGAAAAACGGTTTACACACGACTCCAACCCGTTCTCACGCCAGGCTGTTTAAAGCAGCGGCCGTCCTCCCCAGACGCATTCATCAATTTTAACATACTGAGCATTAAAAATTGGTTTGTTCTCATATTTAAATTAATATTCTTATACATAAAAATTGTATATATATTTTGGCGTAGGATAGGTTAGGTGTTTAGGTTCTGTTGGTAATTATTTGTATTTATAAGTTCGTGGGTGAATCATTTAACAACCCGTCCCCGACTCAAGTCCATTACATCCAGCGGTCGACCCCACAGACGCATTCATAAATTTTAACATGCTGTTCATTCAAAACGGGAATTTTCTCAAGTATAAATTAATATTATAATATATTAGCATATTGTGCATATATAGGCATAGGTTAGGTTAGGTTAGGTGTTTAGGTTCTGTTGGCATTTGCATTTGTAGTACGTGGGTGAAGCATTTATAGCGTTGTGATTCGAACAAAATTCGTCAGTGAAACACTTGTTCCGGATATGTTCGAACGTCAGCAGTTGCGAGTCGTGTGTAAACCGCTTTTCACTCATAAACAGGGGGTTTGGCGGGTGCATGGAATCACTTTTGGATCTTTGTTTGGAGGACGGGCTGTTGTATGCGAGAACGGGTTGACGACTCAACTGTTGACGTTCGAACACTTCCGGAACAAGTGTTTCACTGACGAATTTTGTTCGAACCACAACGCTGTAAATGCTTCACCCACGTACTACAAATACAAATAATCGCCAACAGAACCTAAAGACTTAACCTAACCTATATATGCACAATATGCTAATATATTAAATTTATATTTGATAAAATTCCCGTTTTGAATGAACAGCATGTTCAAATTTATGAATGCGTCTGTGGGGTCGACTGCTGGATGGAATGGACTTGGTCTGAGGACGGGTTGACCACCCACAGGATGGGTATGGGGTGCACAATGAACTAATCTAAACAATATATGCTCGATCTGCAAGCTGGTTAATTATTAATGCAAATTTGCCATTGTTTAGCCCTTATTGCATAATATTGCTTAGATTACAATACTACGATTTTGAAGTTTGTCTTGATTTTACTGAGAATAGATAGATGCAAACGCAGAAATTGCAATTCAAAGTGCGTAAACTTGGTAAATACAAAACAAATGATTCAGTATTAAAAATCTTCATAGTCGATTTTTGAAAAACTGGAAATCAAAAGGTGTCTCGGGATAGAGTTGTAACCGTTCCACAAGACTACTGAAAATAAACAGTTAACATTTAATTCGACCTGTCAATGTTAGAAGGTAGAACACGTGTAGCAGAATACGTGGCAAACACCCTCACACCTGCCCCCATCACTCAGTGTGGCAATCAACCGGTGGAACACACTTCATCATAGAGGGCGACACAGGTGTACCCCAGGGCCAACCATCAAGGCTACGTTCAGTGTCTCGTAATTTATTTGCATTTTGAGTATTGAGTATTTTGTGTTTACAGATGCTGGTAGTTAATCCGTCACGCTGATTGCAATTCACATCAACCTTTATTTTTGGGTAAACAAATGTGATAAATTTTATTGGGTTTCTCAGCATTAATGAAGTCTTGATGCGAAGAAACTATATCGTACCTGTTTTTGTTATATTCATGATGAAATATGTTCAAAACAGCACATGGGTGTTATGCTACACTATATATATTTGATTTCTCAATGTTCGGGGAGGATTGGAAGCCAGTGTATATATACATGTAATGCTTATATCGAGGTCCCTCCCCCCCAAAAAAAAAAAGTCCAACGACTGACCCTCCCCATGATGCAACCTCACAACATGGAAACTCCTGCTGGGTACCCAGCCTTGCCTTAAGTCTTAAAACTTAAGTCAGCTTTAAGCCTTGCCTTAAGTCTGTTGATGTAAAATGCTAAGGGTGTAAATTTCTTTAACTTTATGGCATCATTTGTGTTTGTATTAATCTTCAAATTTACTTATCAACCTGATTTTATGATGCATGCTTTGCTAATATCAGTCTCGGTACCGCTCTAATTGTAAGCTGTTAAGTCTATGGCTGTAACAGCTGTTCATTCCAGTCATCTGTAATAATTATGAAATCACTTTTTGATATATACAGTGGCTTCTAAATGGTGTTTACGTTTTACTGGCGATTATCATTATTGCAACCCGTCCTCGACTCAAGTCCATTACATCCAAAAGTCGACCCCACAGACGCATTCATAAACTTTTACATGCTGTTCATTCAAAACAGGAATTTTCTCAAAATATAAAATAATATAATATATTAGCATATTGTGCATATATAGGCATAGATTAGGTTAGGTTGGGTGTTTAGGTTCTGTTGGCGATTATTTGTATTTGTAGTACGTGGGTGAAGCATTTACAGCGTTCAAACAAAATTCGTCTGTGAAGCACTTGTTCCGGAAGTGTTCGAACGAAATCGGTTGCAAGTCGTGTGTAAACCGTTTTTTATTCATAAACAGGGGGTTTGGCGGGAGCAGGGAATCACTTTTGGGTCTTTGTTTGGATTACGGGCTGTTACACACGAATCATAACTGATGACATCAGAACACTTCAGGAACAGTGATTAAGGCAGTGTCTGGGATGCTCCAGTGACGAGTTCGAGTCCTCGTCATGACCCTTGTGGATTTGTTCACTTCAGGAACAAGTGCTTCGCTCACGTCCTCTGTTCGGACCACAATTCCATAAATGCTTCACCCATGTATTTCAAATACAAATAATCGCTAACAGATCCTAAACACCTAACCTAACCTACCCCCAACTTTACACTGAATTTTCATGTATAATAATATTAATTTATATATGAGACTAAACCAATTTTTAATTAACACACAGTATGTTAAAATTAATGAATGCATCTTGGGAGGGGGGGGGCTGCTTTACACAGCCTAGTATATGAACGGGTTGTGATTGTGTGTAAACCGTTTTTAAATTCATAAACGGTGGGCTTGGCGACTAGATTAATGAGCATTTGGCTTTTGTTAATGATGTCGGGCTGATGGGTAGGGAACTTGAAGCGCCAAACCATTATGATTATACATCACTTGGAAGGGGTCAGGATTTGGGATGGGACGGGGTAAAGGTGCCCAACCACTTGAACACTCGGAGATTTTACGCCGACCTGCATGAAGCGAGACCGTCGCTTTACCGTCCAACCTAATTGCTTTCATGAGGACGACAATTAAGCAACGGAGACCACCGGAACACGTGACGCCACTTTACCTGTTGGGTCTCTATTATACTGCTGTCAACACTGATGAGCTAGTCTTCAAGCTGTTTCACTGGCTATAGGTATCTCTGGTATTTCATTAAAAATCTGAGCCAAACACCTCGAGTTTGCCATAACAGTTAGAACACATACTTGTATTAAGTTGCCAAGACAGTGCACAGGCTTACCATTGGGAACTACGGTACTGCTCTCCGCACCACGGCTCTCTCTCAACTAAGCTTGTCCCTGACTGGTACTCGTAGCGAGGACACAATCCACAATTCACTCCAGTGAACCTTTCGTCTACAATAGCATATTCATAATAATAACAACAATAATGTTAATTTATACAAAATGTACATTGCTTATATACATTGTATACATGATCGATGGTAGCCCTTGAGTTTCATGGCACGGTATTGAATTTTTATTAATTTTTTTCACACACAGTTACAGCCCCTCTCCTGTGCCAGGCAAATAAACTACGGGCTCACCATAGCCCGTGCTACTTGGAACCAAAAGTTCCAAGTAGCGAATCTTAAACTACTACTACTATATTGATTTTTGTTTCAAGGCTTTGTCACATTTTCAATAGCAGACGATGAGTCACAATAACAATCAATTCCTCATTTGTTTTCGGTCTTTTGTTTTGTTATTGATTTCAGTGAAAATATGTAAACAATACAATATTCGTACTGGTATATCCGGAACGTACAGTATTTTACATAATATTCTGCCGGGCGTACATCTGTTGACCCCAAAACCTCTTTCTCTTAACACTACTGTATATAAATAACCCGGACGCGTCAACAATTCAACTCTTTCTAAAAATATCAGACCTTTTCCATTTTTGTTCATTTCATCGATGTCTTTATTTTCAAACGAAATATCTCCTTGCGTAGTAGCGATGTAGAGCCCACTTAGGCTGGGCTTGTAACATGAATACATACTTTAGTACCAGTAGGCCTACTGCAGTGTTTCCACTTGTTATGAGCCAGTACTCTTAATGCAGTCTTCTTATGGGTGTTATTGCCTCATATGAGCCATTAGGTCTATGTTTCTTCCTTGTATGAGTCAGCAGGCCTACTTCAGTGATTCTTCTTCAGTGATTAAGCTAACCAAAGCCTAGGAATTATAAAGCGTACTTTCGATTAAGGAAAAGGTGGTGGTGATTCAACTTTATAAATATCTGGTGCACTTTGATTGTCTCGATGAAACAACCAAGGAGCAATGGTTTCTATCTCAACAAGCCACAATGCAGGACTGAAAATGGGAGATACCTTTTCATCCACAGTGTTATACACCCATTGAACTGCCTACCCACCAAAGCTGTAAATGCCAAAACTTTTTTTTTCCAGCTGTATTTTAAAATTTATCAGGGCAAATGGGGGACCATTGACAAGCTGCTGGCTTCCTGTCCTTGTCAAGGCCTCTAGAATTTTAATGGTCTTCTGGGAAATTCAGGTAAATAAAGAGGTAAGTTTCACTCCCCCATAATCACAGATAGGCAAGCACAGGGGAAAGGGGGTCCTGATAGCCGAGTAGACAGTGCTCTGAACTCGTAATCCTAGAGTCTGGAATCGATCCCCGGTGATGGCAGAAACAAAATGGGCAGTTTCTTTCACCCTGATGCTCCTGTTACTTAGCAGTAAATAGGTACCTGGGAGTTACAGTTGTTACGGGCTGCTTCCTGGGGGATGTGTGGGGAAAAAAAATTAGTAGTTAGTAACAGCAATTGACAGTTGAGAGGCGGGCTGAAAGAGCAGAGCTCAATCCCCGCAAGCACAACTAGATGAACACAGTATTTCTACCTCATATAAACCAGTTTAGGCCTACTGTAGTGTTTCTGCCTTGCATGAATCAGCAGGCCTACTCGAGTGATCATGCCTCCCCCGAGTTAGTAATTATCATAAGACGGAGCCTGAAGCTCCCTCACATCCAGCTGGAACTAGCCCAATTATATCTCAAAATTTTATTGTTACAGTATACAAATTTTCAGTTTTCCTGATATTCAAAAGTACCAACTGATCCTGATAATTGGGACTGCACTGTAACTTAATTCAGAGATCAATATGCACGAGTTTTGCTTTGTGGGGTTCACATGAACATAACCCCCCTTGGAAATGAAAGGCTGCTGGCATAAGAGTACTGTAGTAGGGGAATACAACTGCAAGGTCTCTCTCTGATGAGGTGCAGTTGAAGATAAACAAATATATATTTTACAGCAATATATTTATAATATCAATCTCATATACATGAACCTCAAGACATGTATGTAACATTCATTCACTCATGTAAAATATTGAATGGTTTTCAAATATTCACAAAATATGTCAATATGACTATCACAGAATATCTTGACATTTCCCTATAGTAAATAATTAAATGGTGGTCTGCAATGATTTTTATAATAAAGCAAAATTCATAGCTAAATATTCAGTATTGGTTTTCAACAAAAGTTTTATAGAATAAAATTAGGTTAAACTGTTTGAATAAAATACCGATATCTTATTATCGCATTTTGTGTGCAGCATACCAATGATATAATTATCATAATATCCTAAAAACCAATCTTCCATTTTTGAAACACCGATGGCATTATTAGCAGACATAACCATTATATTCCTACAATGGACAGCTTTCATTTTAAACTTGAAATATTACGCCTTTGACTAAATGATACACAATACCTCTTGATATGTAGTAAAAAGAGAATTTCCAAAAGATAAATAAGATAAAAATTAAAATACTGTGTAAATTAGGAGTGATGGAAGACATAATTGAATAAATTTATTTCCATTTAGAAAACACTATACAACAGCACAATTAACTGAATAATCTTTACATTGTGAAATAAATTAAATTGTTGAGATGTGTAGCTTTAGGAATTATTATATCAACAAAGAGAATAGGTCAACTGTAATTAATTAATTAATCACCGATATAATTTTTTATCAGTATGTTTGTACAACTTTTCCCTCCCTAAGATTTAGAAGAATCGTGTCCAGAAGGCAAAGTATTAGTTATAGAAGAGGTTGGAACTGCCCCTCTCATAGAAGCAGGGGATACTATCCGTGCCAACACTGGTTTTCCTGCAAGATGAAGAGAAAATGACAAAGTTAATACTTGAACAAATATCTCTTTATGGTGAACATTTTGGAACAAAACTACAGTATTTTTGTACATATCACACTCCTTTGCTCTTCTCCTTCTCCTATCCCCCCCAAGCATGAATGCACCTACACTTACTCGCAGTTTTTCAATGTCTTCTACAGCAGTAATTTTCATATTGATTTGTGTGACATCTGCAAATATGACATGAAGACAAGGCTTGTTTTTTTGTCTATATCTAATATAAAAATAAAGAAAAGCAGTTGTGCAAAAATTGTGCCCCGATGTATAGAGCTTTTCACTGTGCTTAGATTTAATTTTATTTTATTGACTGTTACTCAGTGTATTCTATTTGACAGAAAATTGAATATCCAATGCCCTTTTATAACTATTATTCCTACTGATCTTATTTTATGGGCTACCAACTCCATGGTCACATTTATCAAATGCCATTGCAAAGTCCAGGTACACCACATCTGAAGCAATGGAGTGAGAGTTAATAGAAAACCAAGGAAACAGAAGGAAAAACTGAAGTTTGAAACCCTAGCCAGTGTGAAAGACGTGGAAAACTTGGGGAAGCTGTCAGGAATAACTCAGAGATGGCTACGCATAAATAAAGTAATCTGACCATATAAAGACTGGCTTCACCTCTTAACTAATATGACTGTAACTTGGAAATTAAAGTTTATTCATACGGAAAGTACGGTATTAATAAGCCCATCAAATGAGTTACAAGGGTCAGGCTTCAGACGAGCTGATGTAGGATAACAGCTCTTAGATTGCAGTTTCATTATGAACATTAGTACCATTCTAATGAACTCTACTGTTGATTATATAAAAAAAATGGAGCATACTTAAATGCAAGAAACCTTAAAAGCAACAAAAATTGTATGACCAACTACAGGTGGTCATACATATCTAAACAGAGTTGGAATGATTAGTGATCATAATTTACAATTTGCATGGGCTAGGAAAGAAGAAAACAAAATGAAAAAGGAATGGATGAAAAAATGAAATCTCCCGAGTGAAATGGATGCAACAGGTACATCCAAAACTGAATATTTATGCAGGCTGGGTAACTATGAAGGTTACAAATGTCCGGGAAAATCATATTATGGATAAAATACCATGCATAATTATCCAAATAGGAAAAATGAAATGAAAATAATCTGAACACTTTTGTGATTCAACACATTGTCTAGGAATACAGCAGACAAACTTGTGATGAAGACTGTTCAGAAAGTTAAAATAGGTACAAAAATCATTTTTATTACAAGTATATGACAAGGAACAAAGAAGACAAAGATAAGCAAGGCAGTGAGAGGGTACACAGTACTGACAACATTGTACAGAAACACAAAGATGAGAGTGAAATTCGTTTTAAAGTTTCTCAACATCAGAGACAAGCATTTGTAGACAAGGCAACAACTTGATCCCAAATCACACAGTATGGTGCTTCCCTCAAGTCCCCCACCAACCTAGACAGCACGATGCCTTCCTTTGTTCCCAACCAACCTGGGCAGCATAGTGCATCTCCCAAACTCCACTGTTGACAATTGCAGGCGGAATTACAAACAACATGGGAGTTATACGAAAGGGAGCGGGAAGAAAGAGAAGAAAAAGAAAGATAAAAAGCAAGAGGTACCATTCATCACACACACACTCATTTGTCTCTGTTTTGTACAGATATATACCATAAACTTCTGTTTTCTCAGCAAGTTGTTAACATACAATATACTGTTTACAGCTGTATTATACAAGATAATTCCATGAACATCATAGCCAATGACTACTGTACTCAGTTTTATACTAACACAATAGTGGAAGACTAATGATTACAATGCAAATGTACAAACCTCTTTGTTGTTGTGTGACTTGTGATGCAGGAATAACTTTCAAAGTATGAAAGGCCTGAAGGCCTTTCAAGTTTAGCTGAGAACCCTGAAGCGCCGATGCTGGAAGAACAATTTGCTGTCCCCCCGCCCCGCTTGCTACGACAACTGCTCCTTGACTTGCTGTTTGTGCTCCCTGTGTGCCTTGAATTCCACCTTTTATACTGCCGCTGGTCAACATCACCTGTATTGCAATGAGAGAGAGAACATAAGCAAACTACAGCTGGCTTACTGGTCTCTACTAGGCAGGTCCTCTTTATATCTAACCCTTATTACTCAAGCAGCTGTCCAAACATTATAAAAAATATCTACAGGATTATGCTAATTGGCAGTTTACTATATCCATTCAGAACTACTGACAAAGCAAATCTTGCCTACAACTTTTCTCATAATAATAAGTAAATAAATAATTATATATATATATATATATATATATATATATATATATATATATATATATATATATATATATATATATATATATATATATATATATATAATATAATATAATATAATATAATATAATATAATATAATATATAATATAATATCATATAACATAACATATTGAGGTCCCCTCAAGGTCGACCTACTAATCTTTCCCCAGGGTGCAACCCCCACAATAGTTGACCAACTCCTGGGTACCTACTTATGGCAAGGTGAACAGAGGCATTAGGTGAAAAGAAACATACCCAACCATTTCTATCCCACCCTGGATTTGAACCCAGGATTCCTGATTGCGAGTTGACAAACCCAACTACTGAGACCCTATGAAATATAAATCTGTTTAGCTTGAATTCATTATTCTAAGTTCTGACATGATTCTATATTTTCAGTATCCATCACTGGGTAGAGCTAAATCCTAAAACAAAGACAAATAAATAAAATAGATAAATAGAGGAGGTGAAGGTATAAATGCCCAATCTAACAGATTCCTTGTTATTAGGCCCAGTGTTATTCATTTATCCATGAAGTTCTTTCTCAAATTCATGATGTTCATCAGTTGTGGCTCTTTCCACTTTGTTGACATGTCCTTGGCAGAGGTTTAGGGGCTCATGGATTTTTGGCACTCTCCCCATTTGCTTGTGGTACAGTTCTTGGTTGGTTATCTTGAGGTTATCTTGAGATGATTTCGGGGCTTTTTTTTGGTGTCCCCGCGGCCTAGTCTTCGACCAGGCCTCCACCCCCAGGATGCAGCCCGTGACAGCTGACTAACACCCAGGTACCTCGTTTACTGCTAGGTAACAGGGGCATAGGGCGAAAGAAACTCTGCCCTTTGTTTCTCGCCGGCGCCTGGGATCGACCCCAGGACCACAGGATCACAAGTCCAGCGTGCTGTCCGCTCAGCCGACCGGCTCCAACCGCTCGGCTGGTGTTCCTCGCCAATGTTGGATTTGTATGGTGTTGGATCACATAACCCAGCACCGTTTTCCTTTACTTGCTGCAGTTCCCATTCTGCTGGATACCTGCTGCTGTTCCCATTCTGCTGGATCCCTGCTGCTGTTCCCATTCTGCTGGATACCTGCTAGATAAGCAGGTATTCTCCACTGATAAGTAATATTTTTCTTTGTTCTCCATGACAAGAAAGCTCAGGAAGCCACCAAGGGAATCCCTCCCAGAAATCAGGCATTGAATGTAATGAAAAGCTTCTTTCTGGTGGCTCCAAATTCCTGCACTTCCCTTTTTCCAAGGTTCTTTGGGGTTACCTGGTTGATACCTGGTTGATGGGGTTCTGGGAGTTCTTCTACTGCCCGGCCCGAGGCCAGGCTTGACTTGTGAGTTTGGTCCACTAGGCTGTTGCTTGGAGCGGCCCGCAGGCCCACGTACCCACCACAGCCCGGTTGGTCCGGCACTCCTTGGAGGAATAAATCTAGTTTCCTCTTGAAAATGTCCACGGTTGTTCCGGCAATATTTCTTAATATTCAATCAATTTTGAATAAATTGTCAATTTGTCGGGGTCAATTTTGGAAGGCACATGTCTAAGGAGAGTAGCTGACTGGAGCTCCTAGTTGCCAGAGCTGCAATCTGGTGGTAAAGGAGTAACTAATAGCACTTGGGAGCAAGCTTTAAGCGTGTACATAGTTTGTGTCATGGTTACCAATGTTTTCCCCGTGAAGCTGCTTATTTTGGGATGCTCTATCCGGTTCTTTTCATCTTGGTTGAGAATGATGTAGTATCCCCTGACTTGTTTACTTGTACTGAGAGGGCTAGATTCTGGTTCTGGTCCTCAGTAGGTACTAATAACTCACAAGGGCCCGGTGGGGTACTTTAGGCTTGGCACCAATTAGATGGGTAGCTTGGAAAGCCAGTGAAAGACCCAACAGAAAGAGGCATTTCATTACATTCAGTAATGGATATTTAAATTCACTATTTAGAAATAAATCTGTCAAGTAAGGGATTAAGAGCATACATACCAATATATCAAATCATCTAAATTATTAGAGTATTTAAATTAGAACAAACAAGATACATATAGTTTCAATTGTTTTTCTAAGTACAATTACAACATTTATGCTTCACTTTCCATGCCACAAATGCTACATACCTGCTGCAGCTGCCCTTGTTGTGCAAAAGGCTTAGATGTCAGCAGCACCTGCTTCCCTCCAATAGTTATTAGGTTGCCAGTAGTAGTAGTCCCACCTGTAACTACCGTCCCTCCCCCAGCCCCACCCCCGGCAGGCTGGACAAGCCGAATTCCTCCACCAGATAGTACTGAAGGCTTTCCACTCATATTTAGGCCCTGAAAAACCTTAAAATTAAAAACAAGTACCGTACTGTAACTAAAAACTATTTAATTTCAACTCATTATGTACCAGCAGGTTACAACAGTAAGACTACAAATTAGCTTTTCTTTCATTCAACTCTCAAATATGCAGTCCAAACATGTGATGTAAATACTGTATACAGATGCCTATCAAACGCTCAATTAACATTTTAATGTATGAGGATTTATGTTGTGATGCATTTCACTCGTGCTTTAATTAGCGCGGAGGTGGTCCCCCACAAGAAAATATTTTGATTGTGGAATAGCTTATCACTATACTGTATTGACAAAGATTATGAAACTGGTTTTCATTTTGGAAATTATAAGTTTGACTTTGGATTAATGTTATTCATTAATCACAAATGTTATTCTGAGAACAGATGTGACCAAATTGCCTTATATGTAAATCAAATTTTTATCCATACGTGAAGAAGTAAGCTTTTAAGTTTTATCCATAAGTGAAAAATAAAAAAATAAAAATTATGGAACCTATATCTTTTAAACCCCATTTGTTGTTTACATGTCTAGCAAGAGACAATTAAGACATTGACTGGAGATAAGGAAATAATAACCAGGGGAGGAAGAGAACTACAAGCGCACCACAAATGCCTACATCCAGGAACAAATTTCCAAGGTAGCTCAGGAGGAGAACGGTTGAGAGGCGGGACCAAAGAGCCAGAGCTCAACCCCCGCAAACACAACTAGGTGAGTACAACTAGGAGAATCACAACAGCTCGAAACATAAAACTGACATCAGAGAAGAAAACTTCAGGTGACTAGACTCTGAAAGTTCCCAAAGAGCTGTGTAATGCAGGCAGAAGGCTAGGGGCTAAACAAAGATCATTCCCTCACCAACAGATGAGGAAGTGCCTGGACATGACCTGTTGTTCAAAACACAAGCACAGAGGCAAAATAAGTGGTAAACACATTGTAAACAGGCACAGAGGTAATTCTGAGCAACCAGCTATTGAAATTTCCCAAAGTGCTGTGTAATGCAAGCAACTTGGGAATGCCAAGCAAAAACCAGTGATGATGCTACATCACTTTAGTCCATTAAATACACAATGGGCTTTTTGTAAAAGAAAAACAAACGCACACAAACACATACGCACGTATGTGTCCATTACTGTAACATAAGCCAACTGCACAACACAGCAATGTTTGAATTACCAAGTTGTACATGCAAAGGCTTCACAGTTTATGTAAAGTTCTTTTCTGTTTACATTTCTGGCTGGGTTGAATACATTTCATTGTCTCCCTAGCACCAGTATAGCCCAACAAGAATGGTTTGAAAAGTTCCCCCACCACAGTGGCGTAGAATGTCAACATGCCTTGACTGTGGCAGAATCTAACCAGAGGCGAGTAGGAACTTTGCTTGGCAGCAACTGAATTGGATAGCACAGTAACAGTTTACATCCCAGAGACCTCCTAAAGCCTGTCTTTCCATCTTTCAATCAACTATAACACACCTTAACACCATTATATAAAGTTTCCAGTAAAAAATATTATACAATAATAACAGCACCAGTATTTGTTTGTTTGTTTTTGCAAATAAGATACAATGTATAAATTTACAGCAAATGTACTGGTATAGATTATGAGATTAGGTGGAATATATTTACACATAGTTCCTAAATACATGCAGCATCATGGGGGGAAGTCTTCCTAATGCCAACATTTTTGTCATACATGGACAATATGCATCAGTTGCAGGAATATACAGTTCAACAAAATATTTGGCTAATACTTATTACTAGCAGTTTCATATTATTTCATTTGTATTGCTGGTGATAATAAATGTAAATAAAACAAAAAAGTATAGTACATATGTACTGTACATGTACAGTACATATGCTTAAAACATGTACTGTACATGTACAGTACATATGCACAAAAGTAATACATAGTACATATGCTTAAAAATTAACAGATTTTTATTGTTCTAAAGGAACTAAAGGTACTGTTCTTTGCAACTGTTAATTACAACTAGCAAAAATAATAGCAGCAACATATTAGTTATGTACTGCATTATTAAAGCAAAAAAAAAATTGGTTATGTTGATCAGTCCAGCAACTAGGAGGCCTGGTCGACGACCGGGACGCAGGGATGCTAAGCCCCGGAAGCACCTCAAGGTAACCTCAAGGTAGGACTGGATTTAGACATGGTGAAGCCCAAAGCTATGGGAAGCTATAGGCCCTATTTGGCAATTGTTAATAGAGAATATGTCCGTGTAACAAATGAGCCCGGCAAGTGTGGAGTTGGAAGAAGGGTTGCTATATTAAATCTTTAAAAATATGCCTTCAATTAATCTGTTTCAAGACATTAATAGAAAAAAAACATTGAAAATACATTCCCAGTGAGTCAAATGACAAAGTATTTTATTACAGTATGTTTAATTATGGGAATTTGAGAGGCACTAAGCTGTAGTTTGTTTAGCTTATGCCTAAATCTGGCCCCTGATTATAGGGTGTACATTTTTTGTTTTTTCCAAGAGATATTCCTGCATGTGCCCTAAGCCTCTGGCTGGCCCGGTTGTACAATAGTTAACAAAGAGCCATGATACAAGTGTGTAACTCAAAATCTTCATAAATTACAAGATGAGTCATGGTCAGAGAAAATATTTGCGAGACTTATAAAAAATGAAGAACTAGATTGTGCAGTAACTCGTGTACCAGTGCCTACAAATCTCGTCTTGTACAATTAAATTTTGATAAGAAAACTGTAGCTGCAAATTCACAATGACTTAATTTTTCACAGATTGAAGAATGACTGCAATTTATGAAAATTAGTACATTATGTGATTTAATCCAACTGTGTCTGCAAATTTAAATACTTACTCTACATCAAGGGTATAGAGAAAACTAACAATAGTATTTTCATGGCTAATTAAAGCTATCCAATATACACACTGTACTACAGAAAAAATAATAAGTTACATACCTGCACAATAGTTTTTTGCTGTTGGCCTACAGAGAAAAATCTTGCTTGTGAGGTGGTTAGAGCACTGGGTGTTGAGGCAACAGGACCAGTGATGACCTGAGTGGTAGTACTGGTAATAGAGGGAGATGTGGTGGTGCTGCTGGCAGCGGAGGAGGCAACTGTCCCGTGGCTCGTCTGCACAACATGACTGCCGGGCTGCAACGTCTGGATGGTCTGAACAACTTGACCTTTGTTTCCAGACCCATCTAATTTTCCAGCCTGAGGTGCACCATGGGTAGATCCATGTCAGTGCTTTCACTTACATTGACCCAATGTATTTTTACTACAAAATTCTACACACACACAAAATTTATTGATGATTTAGCAACAGTGCGCCGAGCCAACATACATACTTCGAGGATTGAGAGCAAATATAGAATTAAAAATTACACAAGTACAAATGGAAAGGTTTCATTTTCAATAACTAGGGAATTTATACCTATATATTATGCTATTTAACAGCGAGTTGGAGTGATAGTCTCACTGTAGAAATGTTGGCTGCTTCACAGACATGAACAACAAACTTGTGTTGTGCACTCAACATTAAATAATTTATATCAGATCTACTGTACTTTGGTTATGAATAAACCTTCACTTCTAAGCAAATAGTAAAATAAAAAAAAGAAACGGTGGCCTCACAGTATGCAGACTAAGAGGGACTAATACAATATAACCAATAGCTGGCTAAGCAAACTGATTTTTTAACTTGTCAAATAACCCCATTTGGTAGCACCTGCCCTACACTACTTCATCACACAGTTATCGACATCTATATTCTTGGAGGAGCCATTTTCTACTATGCCAGCATTCAGGAGACTTAATATCTGACTTCACAGCTGCTTGGGGAAAATTAAAAACTAAAAAATCCAGCAAGACTTTTTTTCTATAAATCAAGCAGTTGGTGAGCATTAGTTGCAAGGTCAGGTTTGCATGAAGGATGATCAGTAGCCATAGAAACTTTGCAACAGTTCAAGTTTGGCATAAAGCATGGGCTCTTGTACCATTGTGACACATAACTAAGCCTTTGGTGAGAAGTCTGTTTTTGCCCTTTAAACAAATTATGTTGACAGACACCATTTTGGTACAGACACTGCAGCAGAATCAACGTTCCGATGTAGTCCTGAACACAAAACTAAACTTTATCAAAGCTTACATAAAACAGCCGTTTCCACACAATGACCCAAATGTCTCAACTTGGGTAATGTGTGTGTGTGTGTGGAGAAATGGTGTAGGATTGCTTCCAACACAGCAAAGAGCAAATAATAAACTTCAGCAAATTGCTTTACAAATTGTAAATCTTGCACAACTGTTTCAATAACCCACATTTAATACATTGGCTATCCTTATCAACAATGATCTTCCATTTAATAAACATATTGTGAATCCCCGATATTATCTTAAAACAAATCATAAGTACTTTCTAAATACATAAACAATTAAATTGTAACTCACAAGTTGTACCTGTGAACCAGTGGCCAAGACAAGCCTTTGACCACCTGAACCCAGGGGAACGTGGGAGCCTTGTGGGGACACTAGTGTTAGTCTCTGCACGCCCCCAGCACCGCCTGAAAGCTGGATCACATTTCCACCTGCCAATTTGTTGCCTGCCATCGTTGTTATTACACCACCTGTATGAAAATTATTTATATTTTTTTAACATACAGTACTACAATATAAACAATGATTCAGAATATATCAATCTTATAACCTTATGGTTGTACAAAATGATGCAGCAAACTCCTCTAATATTGTACAAGCCACACAAGTGTTTATATAATATACCTGTATTATGCTATCAGGTCATCACAAGAAGGATGTAGAACCTCATTAAACTGAACCCAAGAAATATACAGCTCCGTATTTATCTGTGCATTGCTTTTGCACAAAACAAACTTATATTACATAACTTGAAACAACCTAGCAGAGGTCAGGCACATCAAGGTTAGGATTATTTGCCTGCAGCAATGATTGTTTGCATTTTTTGTATGAAGATTTCTTTCTTTTTTTTCACACACATTTTATCTAGCCTTTCTGGTGGGTTAACTTGGCTTGGGGTAGCTCTCTGATCGCAAGCCTTCCCGAGCCCTATAAAGTCCAGATTTTGGTCCTAGCTCCTGGTAGGCCAGCATGGGTCTGAGGCTAGATAAGTGCAAGAGCTCTGGGAAGTTACCGAGTGGGTCTCCCAGAACGAAAGAAATAATTTAATTAAAAATTAAATCATTCAGTTGTCAAAATGGAAATTACTATACAATACTTGAAAGGTCCATACACTCACCTTGCAGCTGTGTAGTCTTGTCAGCCTGGCTAAGAAGACTCTCCACCGTTGCAATCTGTTGGCCAGGAAAAAAAACTGTAATGACTTGCTTTCCGGTCATATTACCAGTCATGATCACATTACCTGTGATAGCTTGCCTTACTAGAAGGAGCCAGATTGTAATTAGTACAGAATTATTTGTGACTGCTTCTATTTCTGATAGATGCTCATTTGTATAATTGAATGCATAAAACCTTAAAATTTAATGCCCATAGAAAAGTTCAAAGCAGCATTCAAGGAATAGTGTAAAAGCTAAAAGAAAATGACAGAGTAAGTGATTTTAAAATAAGGCTTCCAAGAATGTGATGCGCTGCACTTAGAAACTCAATTAAAAGGGTGTGAAGATAGTGAAAACCCGATTCAAAGGCTTCATCTCATGTAGGAAATTAAGTATGATCAGGGAATGAATTAGCAGAAAAAACTTTTGCTGAATTATCCCACACCATCTCACAAAAGAGCACATGTAATCTCATACATTCCAATCTTCAGCCACTTGGTTGCTTTTCCTTAACAATACCCTGCTTCCACAGAAACATTGTTAACTTGGTTAAGAGTTGGCGTGTGACCTTTTCATACTCAATACAGCAGTGGCCCTTATCTAGCATCAATGACAGGCCATGACTGGGAGAATGGGAGAGACTGAAAGAAACTTAAATCATCCCAGAATGACTGCCAGAACATACAAAATTATTAGCAGGTGGGATATAAAGTGTTAGACTTTATTTTCCAATAGTCACTTTTATGTAAGCACCTTCAAGTAATATTTTACTAATTGTACTTGAAATCAAAGAGTACCAAGTATAGCTCAACTACTACAGACTGTCAACTATTTGCCTAGAAGATAGTCACTACCCACACCAATTGGCAGCACAATCTAAATGGAAGGTGGGTGGCAATCCTAACTATTTTTGCAGGATTCCTCGTTTGTGGAACTCGTCGGTCAGTGAAGGATCACACCCAAGTGACAATTGTTTCATCTTGAGACATTATGTCTCTTATGTTGTGGGCTAATGCCTCCATAAATGCTTCATATTTATGTGTGTATTTACTGTCATTGTTTGTCTGTCAAACTTTTTCCAAATTGTCATGGGAAGAGTTCTCTTCTTTATCGATTCAGAAGATCAGTACCTTGAGCTATACTCCTCAAGTTCACTTTGCTCTCAAAAGCACCTTGTAATCTGATCTTATTTCTAGGAATTTGTGCTGTGTAAATACGTTTCAGGTGCATTCTGTAATGACATCACTTTGCATTAGCCAGTAGGCTTCGCTTATCAGTGTTCTGCAATTTTTTATTTTTGTTTATCCTTGTTTGTTTTTATTCAGGTACAGGCATATTCCCACTTTTTGTCAGTAGCTCACAGGGTTTGGTTAGGTTATACTGAGAACATAAGTCTTACAACCAGGTAAGTTCCTAAGAGTTTGCTTATGGGTGGTTTTCCTAAGACTTTCCTATGTTATTATCAAGCTTGCTCTCTACAATGTTGCAGGCATGGAGTATCCACTTGACATCGAGTCAGATTCTGCTTTGAGCATCATCGTTGGTTCTGAATTTTTTTTTTTACTGATAGCCATTCCTGTGTGTCAGGTTAAGGCAGAAGTCCTGCTCGAGTTGCTGTCCCATCAAACTGCTTATAACACTGTTTGTTGGCAAAAGGCTTGTGATTTGAAGTGATGTATCAGTGCCAACAGTTGCAATTCTCAGACAGTCTTGGGTTCTGAGAGGCTGTACCCTCACCAAGATGCTTCCGTAGCCAATGCTGAAGTAGTGTGCTAGTTGGTCACAGTTTTTGGTGTGTTGGAAGCGAAGGATTTATGGTCTTCCTCTCTGGAAGGTGTTTTTGATAGGCAGGAGCCTATTTTTGAGCCATATATTTCCCCTTCATCTGAGTGGGACTTGATATTTGGAAAAACACCAGCTCCGCCTTGCTGTGTTGTTCAAATTGTGATGTAAACCTGTTTCCATGCATCAACCACTACCACCTATCACAGCCAAAAGGTTAATATCCAACACTAGCATATCCATGGGTGATTGAGGATAAATGATCTAATGTTTAACCATTTCCAAATTTGTATTCTAGCTACACAGACATTAATGATAATAGCAACAAGGTGAAAATGAGGAGAATGTTAAGGTTAGAGAAAAGTTTATGAGATTTCTAAATCAAATACTGTACACAGGAAATACAATCTTTCTGAATAGTTTTAACTAGAAAAGTGACCACAAGACTTATATTCCCCAATAATTTATTATCCTGACCTCCTTTTGTGAGCTTGATTTTTGTTGACTCACCTACTTCTTGCCAACATATCATGAGGTAATACAGCATATGTTATTGTACCCTCAATGTGATACAAGAAAAGCTGAGGTGTTGAATGTTGCCATTCACAAACCAGATATACTAATTTCAACCCATCATCCGAATTGACAGAACGGTTTAATACTAAGTGTAATTAGTTCATTTCCTGACTGTTAGGAATAGTACATAATTACACTTACTTGTGCCGTTACATTTATCTCCCCATTTATTCTCTTGGTTTTCTGTCAAGACACTTATAATTTTAGGATGAATTTTTCAAATTCAATTTCTTATACACAAGTTATAAATATTAGGAATTTCTTTTTCAGTTTTATTAAACAAGAGAGATTTTATACAAAATTTGAAAATATCCTGAGTTACTTTACAATTTATTGTAATATTTCAGTTTTGTTTTACTAGTTTTATAAAACTGTAATATCATTATAACTATAGGTTAAGTACTAATTGTAATTTAGAAACAATAAAACGCTTGTCTTCAAACACTAAGGTTAGGTTAGGTCGTGGTTTTCTATTCAGCTTTTCAGGTAAACTCAAATATTCACAATATATTTGACAGTACAGTTTAATACTAAGTGAAAATAAGTACAATTCCTGACTGCTAGGAATAGCTTCATAATTACACTTGCTTGTGCTGTTACATTTACCTCCCCATTTTTGGAGGACGGGCCGACTCATTTGGACATTGAGAGAATATTCTCAGTGCCCACATGAGAAGAATAAAAATCTAAAGGTTTTGTTATTATAGGTCAATCCTCTCACCCAATAGGTAATTTTTAATGGAATCCATCAAGGCATTAAAAATAAGACCTGTATTTAAAAATTAAAGCACCGTTATTATGTCAAAAGACTGGATATTCTGAGAGAATTTGACATCAAGCAGAAAGACAGGCAAGAAAAAGTCAATGGCTCTTACCTTTCCTCCTTGCATCAACACTTTCCCATCAACCATTAATGTCTGTAACTTGGTAATGGAGTTCATCATCGAAGCTGAATTTGACCCACCCTTTCCTGGAAATAGAAGACCTATATGTAGGTGTAAAAAGAAATACAACAGATCAAATTCCTAAAAATACTTAATCCTAACATTAAATGGAAGACAAACGCATGGCAAAGTTTTTGTGGTTGTTTAGGGATGAACGAGCAGCTCACAGGAGTCGCCTACTGTATGGATGTATTCATAGACATCGCCTACTGTATGGATGCATCCATTGGCGTCGCCTACTGTATGGATGCATCCATAGGCGTCACCAACTGTGCAACTGCACCCACAGAAGAAACCTACTGTACCCACAGGATTCACCTACTCATGCATACAGATATGGCAAAAGCCAGGCCAAGATCCCAAGAAACAGAATGGATTATCCACAAGGCAGGATAAAGCGGAGATTCCACAACTGCAACTTAAAGGACAAAGTCAATCCACAGTCCAAAGAAGAGGGGTCAAGTAAGGAAGTGAAGGTCCAATCCCTCGGGAAGAGCCCAAAGAGAATCAACTGGGCCAAATATCGACGGAGAATGGGGAATAACTGCCACTCAAGCTTAAAAAAAGAACAGCAAAGGTATCCAGAGACCAAGGAGGGTTGAAGGGATATCCAATATCTCACATTGGGCCATTCCCTAGCTCTGGAAGCCCAAGACCCCAGGGCAGTGCCAAGTTCCATGCCTGATGACCTGATCAGACAGGAAGGCACCTCCACATTCCAAAAGGATCTAAGCCAAATACACCCCACAGACACACAGAAGGCTATGGATCCCTGGTGGGAAGTAACAGCTCAACTTTCCCACTGTTGACAGGGTGAGGACAATCCTCAGAGAAAGACGAGCTGCACTCACAGCATATTGCAGCCCAGAATCATAAAATCCCACCAAAAAATAGAATTCACTAAATGTTCCAACTCTATATCCCTAAAAACTTAAAAAGGGTCAACTTTGGAGCAACAACTAAAGCACCAAGCTTCAAACAACAAAAATGGTTAAATGAATCTGAAGAACCTGCTACCTGTTAAGCCTTGTCATTGCAAAAATAAAGTATATAAAATAAATAGATAGAGGCTCTAGCTAAATGAGACTCAGCGAACTCAAACAGGACATCCTGGCAATAGGGACACTTGCTGAAAGAAAGCAACAATAAATGCAGCCCTTAAGGAAAAATCTGCTATGAAGGGCTTATATGTAAACACTTCAAACACTTGCATCAGTAACCAATAAACTACAGAATGCCCTTCTCCCTCCCCAACCCCAGAGCCTTGCAAAGGAGTCAAATATCTTTACACCATTCAGGGTGAGGCACCCATTCACAGGAGACTGGCATCTATGGGACAAACACTCAAACCCACTAGGGAAGTAACCCTGTCAAAGAAGGGAAATCATCAGCAAGCACCTAGGGAAGGGCTGCCCTAAGCATGTGCATCTTGAGATCAACAGTTTCCAAAGTTGACACAAGTGAGGCATGTAAACATACACAAGTGATGCAAATACTAAAAGAAAGGCACGATACACAAGCAAATGGCCCCCCCCCCACAGGGTAGAGTCCATACGACGGCCAACGCTTGACTAAAAAATTCAGGATCCAAAGAGTTTGTGACTCTTGGAATAGTCAGATAATGTCCAACATCATGTGAAGAACTCATGATTGTTAACAGGGGGAGCTGGTAGCTCTTGTGGTGCTACCACTGATGGTGGCGAGCTGTTGCTAGGGGTGTATAACCTAACTACTCATTTGCTGTGTTGTTTACCTTCTGTGAACCTTGCAGTTGTGTTTTGCTTCACTTCCTTCCTGGGGGGTTTGATTCTTTGGTGAGAGTGATCATGAATCTCTTACTTCCTGCAACTCTGAGGGGACCAGGTTTTGGTCTCTGGAAGGCTTTTGAGGACTAGTAAGGGCTCATGTGACTTATAGGTGTGGCACTATCTCAGTGTGGTTAGCTCCAGGAAGCCACCATTTGGCCTCCACCAGAAAAGCTGCTATTGGAAACCCAATAACCTTGAACTATGAAACCTAACCTAGAGTATACTATACATGCAGAATTTACTATGCCATGGAGTTTTTTGAGCACTCTGAAAGACAGGCATCACAGCAAGAAGATAACCCATTTACTATGGCTGATAATATCTCAGACCAAATAAGCGAGAAGCTATGATGAACGGAGTCAAGACTCTGTTACGTTTACTAACACTAGGAGACTATGCAGCACACACAATGTGTTAGATCACAAACCTAAAGACACTGCCAGAATCTTGGAACCCAAGTGGGCCAATCATCCAATGCCTTTCAGCAGCAGTAGTCTGATGAGCCTGGAGCCTTGTGGTTCTGGGAACAAGGTTCAACCAAGAAAGGAGAGTTTTGAAGTCGAAATTCATCACTCCAACACAAAAATTTCATGAGGCCCTGAAGCCCACATGGATTGGGACTTATCTATATGTATAGTGGAGATATTTACACAAACCAATCCCACTATTTAATCGTAAATACAATACAAAATATAATAATTACACAGTGTTGTAATACTGTACCAGGAGTTATTTATAACAATTTTGAATCATATAACAAGTAAAGAAGTTTTGATTACTATTTTACCAATGATAATATGCTGAAATGTTTTCACTCATTCTCTGGACCAAACAAACATATCTACCATATCACAGCCTAAATACTGTAAAGTGAAAAATGGCAGACTGTTTATTAATGTGAGATTAAAAAAGAACATGTTTAACCGTGTAGGTGTGGAAGGATGCCAGAAATTCTCTCATCGCCTGCCTTTGCAGACATCTTCTAGCACTAAGTAATCAGGATAACCGTGATTACACTATACTATAATGTGCATGATAGACAATTACAAATGGATGAATAATTTATTGTATTGCAATATCCTAATTATAATTATCTGAATTAAATATAATTATAATTATATTATAATATAATTAAATTTTAATTAATTAATTATAATAAATAATTATAATTATCTAAAAACCATCATTTTCTCCAGTCCAATACCTACCCCACCCCATGGGAGTAGTATACAGAGAAATACTGTAATAATCAGAAATAAATAATGTATGATGATAAAAAACATATACAGTAGGTCTCTCCACGACATGTCTTATATAATATACCTGCAATCTGTTGAGGAGCTGCATGAAGCAACTTGATGCCACCCAAGGAAAACAAGTTAGATTTTTGGGCAGCAGCAGCACTCATGTTGACCACTGTTGCTGTATTGGACAGCTTGCCTGCCGCAATACCACCCGCTGTCACCTATAACAACATATGTTAAGCCTTTGTTCTCCTATGGGTAGAGAGATATTACAGACATTTCCTAATACAAAATTTTGGGTTTAAAATTACAGTACTATACTAAAATGTAAACCAATATTAAATAGATTTGGCCTTCAATAAACTTTCATGGAAGAATTTTTTTATGGAAATTTGTTGAGAATGAGTAAAGAACATACTTGTGAGGTGAGAAGCGTTTGTGTAGCATGTTGCTGGTTAGCTGGTGTGGTGCTGGCCGAGGAGATGGGTCTTGCTTGTGACACAGACGGTGCTGGCAGCCTTGCTGCTTCTCTCGTTGTCAACGTCACTACTGGAGCTCGTGTCTTGCCCTGACCTATATTCCCTATAGTAGATGCAACAAAAATACAATTAAGGCATTTACTAACATACCTGGCAAAGTGCCACTTTGGCCAAAGTCATGTTCTGTACCAATATATTTCTCCAACCCTTTATTGTGTCAGTGTATAGTACCCAACAGAGAATGCAAACACTCTTAGCGTGACCCTGAAATATTTAACGTTCTCTGTCAAGTATTATGTCCCAACAATAACAGAGTTGGATATATACACTGATACACCTAACTCAACACTGCCACGATGGAGTTTGGCCACTTGCATGTTAGGAAATGCCTCAATTACACTGTACACTGATTATACGACTGTGTTCACTTAAAGTGAAAATTTTCATATAAATGTACAGACAAAAATAGAGTAAAATTTTGTACCTGAGGGTAAACTTGTGATTTGTTGAGTGCTCAAAACAGACTCTGGTCCTATTGTTGGTCCAGAAACAGCAGTCTGTAGAACAGACTGCTGTAAATTCACTCCCTTAATAGCAGTACTGCCAGGCTTCCCAAGTGGTTGAGTAGGTACTCTGTTAATTGTCTGGTTCCCAACCTGTTCAAAAATGAAACAATAATTGGAAAAATATATTTCTGGTATCGTAAAATTTAAATTTATAAGGGGTGCTTAAAAAAAGTAAAAGACCTACAGTTTTTAAAACAATGTATCAAACTTATTTTGTATTTGTTGGCAGTGTTGTAGCAACACCCCAGTACCTCACACAGTTCAAATAGTGTACAGTGTGTCCTCACTTGAACGAACAATATGGGGGCGAGGCCGATTCATTCCACCACAGAATTCATTCTACCTGTCAGCCCCAGGCTGTCTCACCCCTCCATGTGAAAAGAACAGAAGTCCTACATCCACTATAAAAAAAAATAACAGAAAATCTATTTGTTATGTATTTATAATTTTGAACATGGCACTGGGTGAGTACACATGATAGAACCACCATTAGTGAACAATTCCATATCAAAATCATAACTATGTAGCTATTGTTGGAAGCCACAAATATGATGTTATCTTGAGGTTATCTTGAGATGATTTTGGGGCTTTAGTGTCCCCGCAGCCCGGTCCTCGACCAGGCCTCCACCCCCAGGAAGCAGCCCGTGACAGCTGACTAACACCCAGGTACCTATTTTACTGCTAGGTAACAGGGGCATAGGATAAAAGAAACTCTGCCCATTGTTTCTCACCGGCGCCTGGGATCGAACCCGGGACCACAGGATCACAAGTCCAGCGTGCTGTCCGCTCGGCCGACCGGCTCCCAGTAATGTAATGGCCTGGATTTCCATAAGCCAACTGTATCAGTCTTGGTACAGTATAATTATTATTAACAAATCCATTTATTATGAATTCTTCATTTTCATTATGGCATTTGATAGAGCAATCGCTTGCAAACAATTTGGGATAAATAATGTTATATGTAACCAGGCCAGGTTAGGTCAGGCCAGGCATACACTGCTAGTTTGAGTGTGTATGTGCCCACCCATCCCTAGGCTCGTGGCAGGCTTCAGTATCAGGGAAGATTATTTTATATCAACAATTACATACTAAGATACATCTAGCAAATAAGAAAATTAAATAAATAAGTTGATTAATGTGAATAAAGAATACACAAAGTATTATACATATAAGTACAATTTATACTCATTATTAATGAGTACAAATGTTGACTGCAGAGAGGCTAGCTGCCTCCCCAACCCCTCTAGTGGTTGCACAATGCCCATATCTCAAGAAGCACATCACTACTAGAAAACATACAAAGACATGCTCCTAAACTGCTTCTGGAATTGAAAAACAAGAGCAACAAGGAGAGGTTAGTGGTGTTACATATACCAAAGCTAGAAGATAGAAGAAAAAGAGGCAATATGATCACCAGATACAAAATAATAAGAAATTGACAAAGAATGTTTGAAAATGGCAACTTCAAGAACAAGAGGCCATACTATAGGTTCAAACTAAGGAAACAAAGCTGTCAAAAAACATTTTGAAAGTTTACTTTTACAGAGTGATAGACGGTTAGAACAAGTTAAGTGAGGTGATGGAGGCCAAAGACATCAGCAATTTCAAAGCACTATACGACTGGGACTACTGGGAAGACGGGACACCACGAGTGTAGCTCTCATCCTGTAATTACTCTCGGGTAATTGTTTCGTTAATTGCATACCACCTATATGTCATCTTGAAAAGTTGGGTGAAGTTAGGCCAAAGTGTCTGTCCAACCTTGGATGGACAGACTTATTTCTTTATAGATATATAGTAGATTGTATTAGCATAAACAACACTAAGACCTATACTGCACTATACAGTACTGTACTTTCAATTGCAAGGTTGTCCCTAGAAATGCCAAAACACGCGAGCCATCAATAAGCAAATCGGAGTCAGAAATACATGTGAATCTTACCTTGGTAATGGAAGAAGTTGGTACTTTTCCCAGAGCCTGAGGTGTGACTTTGGTGATTGTTTGGGCTCCAGGAGGAAGAGCCACTTTGATTGTCTGGACACCACCAGCAGTAGATACCTGAATTGTCTGTACACTGCTGGTTCCAACAGCCCCTCTCACTCCACCCACCTAAAAATTGAAAAAGTAAATAAAATATTACTTAAATTTAAAGGAAACTTAGAGAGATGTTGGATCATCGGGATGATGAAGTCCCTTAAGCCACCACAAGCTCAAAAAGAATAACAAACTTGTGCACTTTACTCATTACAGAAACACACAAGCAGTAAAAATGCAATCCTCTGCTTCTATACTGAAAAACACAGGACAAATAAAAAATGTATGAAACTACTGGCTAACTAAAATTATTAAAAATTCAAAGCAGGTAGTATGAAATATTCAGTAAAATGTTCCAAAATTAAAGGCACAGCATGTGAAAATATTACTTCAGAAAAATAAAAATAAAAATATATAACTATTTTTGTCAAAAATCAAAACAATGCACAGTACTTATGTATTTTATTAAATAGTATGTACTGCAAGTAAAGCTGAGGAAAATCTATGGGAATATTAAAACCCAGCATCAAGAAATGTGACGAACTAGGTGTACAGAGTACATTGAAAGTCACATAGGTGCAATTGATAATGCACAACTGTCAATATAACTGATATGACTAGTGTGAAGGAAGCCTAACCACTTGGGCTGGACGGTAGAGTGACGGTCTCGCTCATGCAGGTCGGCGTTCAATTTCCCGACCGTCCAAGTGGTTGGGCATCATTCCTTCCTCCCCCGTCCCATCCCAAATCCTTATCCTGACCCCTTCCCAGTGCTATATAGTCGTAATGGCTTGGCGCTTTCTCCTGATAATTACTTACTTACTAGTGTGAAGGAAGTACACGACATAATACAGTACTGCACTGGTCAATGTTTGTATACCATTAGATGCACCAGTGCTACAACCAAAACGTGCAAAGCAGCAGGCATGGATGAGCACTGAGCAGACCCTTGTCAATGTAGCAAAGAAAAAGGAATAAAATAGGTCATGTATAGTGAGAATTGTGTGTAGTCAAGATTCATGTGTAGTGAAAATTGCTTGAAGAACGTGTGTTGAAGATCAGGTGTACTGAATATCATGTGCAGTGAGGTATTCCTTCTGGGGATATCTAATAATAATCATGTGAAAATCACAATGTACAATATTCCTATTAAGGATACCTAATTGCTGAGCATCAACTCATTTAAATGAAACAGTCCATTAAAAAATAATACAAATAGTTAACAATTCTTAGGCATATTGTTAACTGAACGCAGTACAAATCTACTTACTCTGACGGAAGTTACTGCCTTCCCAACAGTAGCAGAGCTTAACTGGTCTAACTTCACTGGACTGTCTGGTTTTACTTTGGTTAAAGCTGTCACTTCTTCTGATTTAAGTTTTACTTGAGTTCCTTCAACCTGAAATTAAATTGGAAGCAAAATATGTATCATTTATCAACTGAAAACTTCTTTTCCTTAAGCATTATAAGGTAGCAGACAATTAATTTTGTATATCTATAGATGCAGAACCATGTCAAAAACTCATGCTTATTCTCTAGGGACGAATCCTCCATTTGGATATTAGGCACTGCACACCACAATTACCTACATTTTCTTTCCCTGCAAAATATACTTTTAGTATTGCTGTCAACCCTCCTCTTCTGTAGGGCACTTCATTATTTACTACTTGGATATTATTTTTACCGAGTAAGGTGAAAAGAATATCGGTCTTCCTTTCTCTTACACAAAACATCAGTAGTAACTAAAATCCCTGCAACATCCTTTTTTTTTTTTTTAACAGCTCACTCATCACATTCATCATTAATTTTCTACAGTCTGTCTTTTTCCCATGTATCTGTTCCCAAACTGGTGGGTCATAATTATCCAGATTGAAATCTGATTTTCCTTATTATCCGGGTTTCAATATTTAGCCAATTATTTAGGTAATCAAATCTGATTGATATTATGGGGTAACTAGCTAATTTATTATGGTCAATGTCTTACAAATGGAAGCACTGACTTATGAAACACAGGTTGAAATAGTGGTTAATAAAAGATAATAAAAAGTTGCCTGTATGTTTCACTTATATTTTTAATTTACTTTGTTTTTTACTTAATTCAGCATATATATACATACTGTACAGGTGAAGCTCTTTTTATCTACTGGTCTTAGTATTTACCTTGCTATAACTATGTGCATGAAGAGTTCCCACTTATGAATATAAATTAACGTCAAGAAAATACCTTAATGGGAGAAGAAACAGGTTCCAGAGCAACATTAGGAGGACCCTTCATGGACAAAGGATCCTTAGCCTTTGCTCTACTTTGTCTCCTAGGAGCTGGTTTCTTTATTTTATTGCCACCTGGTCCATTTAAATGATGCATTCGTTCTGAAACAAAGTTACACCATTACACTGAGGAACTACATTCTATCTTAGTCAAAATCTCATAACATAATGCAAAAACAGATATTACAAATTATAATCTAAACGTAAAAATAAACCTGAAAATAAATCCTTACCAAATTCTTCCTCATTTCGGTTGCGGTGTAAGTAAATCCAAAGTTTTCGTGGGGTATCATATTTCACACATGGATCATTTTCATAGTGAAGTCTATCCAGAGCACCAGATACAACACTGTTCAGATTATTTTCTGCAGTTGGACTTGTTAAGGGAGCCAGATACTGAGATTCTTTAAGCAGCTCACATATATCTGATCGTGTGCCTTCCCCATTTGGTAGACGAGCAACAGCATCTCGCACTACAAAATACACAAAAACTTGGATGAAGGCTACATATATTAAAACTAAAGCACTAAATATACTAAACACACCCTTAATATATTAAAAAATACTTATCACTGGCCCATTTCCCACTTACATGGGGTGAGGAGAGATAAGCACAGAGAAAAATAAAGCTTTAAAGTGTAGATGCAAGTTTGTTTGCTTTTGTTTTTTTTAAGGAAGTCAGTTTGTTGTTCTTACGCAAGGTTCTCTTGATACCACAAGCAGGAATACTCACAATCACAGAAGGTCAACCATTTCACCCAAGAACAGTACTGTAGTCATCTCTTTAAATGTCCCTGCTGGGTCATACTGAAGCACATAGATAGTTGAGAATTCTTGATCCAACCCAGAATGTCCTCCAGAATGCTCATTAATCTAAACTAAAGAGCTATTCAAAGTACTGCTCAGCATCAATGAGACCACCAAAAAGTTTTCTCCTAGTCCCAACTGCAAGAAATGACAATGGCCAGTGTCTATGTCTTAAAAGGCCCCATTTAATTTCCCCGAAGGTGATAAAAATTTAAAACCAGGGCAATTGTCAAGACTGTAGTACTTTTTTGGGGGCTCTCCCATGCTGGTACTATATGCATCAATCTGTGGATCCTCAAAGTGTAGTGACCTACAGCAAGTGTATTTACGAGACTGATTTTCAATTCAATTCCTATATTATTCTATAGATAATATAGACATTCCGAGAAAATAAATTAATGATAAAACCATAAGGAATCCATATAAACTTGTTATATAATATGTAGATATAAAGATTTCTTGTTGTGAAAAAGTTTGCTCTCAAAGTGGCTACCAGCGGGATACAGTGGCCAATAACACCATAAATAAAATGACGACGAGGAGTCACAATAATGTGGCTGAAATACAGTATGTTGAATGGGCCAGGGCGGACCGAAACGTCGTCGTCTCTTCACTTGCTAGTGTGTGGTTTGATCAACAAATAAAATGACCATACACCCAAATGTTTCACATTGCAGCTCAACCCCCAAATGAAGATAGCACATAATAATGGTACTAGCAAACAGTCTATACATACCAAATTCAAACTCTGACATGCTTAATAATATAATAAATACATGCTTACTCAAAGCCAAAGAAAAATATACTTACCAAGGGAGAGTATTGTGACATAGGCAGGTCTGTCAGGAACTAATAAGGAATGGCCTCTAGCTTTGTTCAGTCCTGTCTGCTGGGTATAAATGCCTTTGACTGGTCCTACCACACTCTCATAGCCATGCATCCTGATGAAATACAGGACAAATTAATATTACGAGTGCTGTTAAAGTATAATTTAATTCACATTTTATTGCAACAAAATAATACTATTTATTAATAAATTTAAATTGCTAATTTAAATCACTTGAGGAAAATCAAGCATTTTGATCTTCAACACTGGTATTTTAATCATCACCGACTCCCACCTGAACGTGTATGCTTTATGCGGTTTCTCATATCTCAGCTTCTCTTGTGCTCGATACATGTCCTTCTCAGGTTCTGTTGCAGGTTGCACTGTCCATGTGGTGTAGCAGCGTGGGGGTGGAATGATGTCACTCTCCTCCGTTTCTAGCCTAGATCCTAGTATATCATCTTCTATCCATTCACTACTCATAGAAGATCTGCAGATAAAAAGAATGCCATTACATTACAGTCTTGACTTGGAAGGAATTTATTGAAGCAATTATAATCATCATTAGTGCCCTTTCTTCAAATGATAACTATTCCCTTTGACAGCATGCACATTTTAATATGCAGTATATTACATTATTCCCTGTGTGGTTACTATTTCATAATTGTTTATCTTGCTTGTTTCTAGTTTTATTTCAAACTTTCTATTGCTGATGTTCCACTTCACCTGTTATTTTTTTCAGTAGAAACTAAAAATACAATGAATTTTAATTATGAACTGGATTTTGGCAAGCAGGTGGATACTTATAAGTAGACATGGCCAGGAAACTGGGATGGCATAGAAGGCAAACATAAATGGGAATAGTGCATTCATTATATGACACTTCAAAATATCTAATGAAGATTTTGCCTGTAGTCACAAGTGATTATTTGACTGGTTAAAGATGTGTTTTGGTTCTCATTGGTTCCTCCTGAACCTCAAATTCAGAAGTTCCCAAAGCATGTTGAATCTGAGGATATTATTGTAGTTTGACAAAATATCACGTGTTGTGATTCATCCAAGTCCAATCCTTCGGTAATACTTTACTGTAAATACAGTACCACTGAACAAAGCCAGACCACAAAGCCCCTTCCCCTAGACATCCAACAACAGGACATAAAAACCAAAACGCAACTGAAGGATGCACTGTAGGACACGAGTCAGAAGATCACTACCAAGTACCCAAGGAATTACTTGAAAAATCAACGAAAACCCTAGGAGGGCTGCACACCTCCGTCGAGAAAACTTTATCGCGGCCCAAGTTTCAAAGGATAATGTGTCACATAACTGAATAAGTTCTAATCTCTGACTGCCCATGCAACCCACCATGAGTCACTTAGGATTGTGAGGAAGCTTAGGATTGTGAGGAAGCTTGATCAGGATATTTTGTGTTGTATCAGCCCTGTTATATGGAACTGGATGGCACGACGTAGTGACCCAGAGGGTCATTCAGTAGTTTGCAAGGACACTGTGTGGAAATGCTCTTGACACCAATATATGGAAAGGTTTTAGGCTTTGTATAAATGTGCTCTCTGATTGGATTGAGTATTCTCCAATGTCTCACCCAACACCAGTATAAACTGCAGGAGACACTTTGAAAAGTTTTCCAAACTACTGAATGTGTACTTCAAATGACTTAAAATCCTGATTAGGGATCCGTAGAATCTTGCATTAGCAAGCAATCAAGTGGGATGGCCGAGAAATCCTGTAAAGACAAAATATTCCTACTGGGAATACCTAATACTGTACCAGGAAATGTATTTAATACTCACTTATTAGCAAGCCAAAATTGAGCAAGGGGTTCTAAATGACCATCACTGTCTCTTCCAGCACCAATCCACTGATAAACTCTCAGCAGACTCTTGTATTCTATGTAAGGTACGAAGTCTGCAGGCTGAACATCTGAAAAACAAATCAGAATGTCTTGATTCTTTACAGGATAGATTCCTAGAAGAACCATTTGTGATCTTATCTGAATAAGACATTAATCTTAACAAAATCAGGTTTTCAGTGAATACGAAGAAACTTTTTTGAACAATCATTTGGCTGCCCTCTAAGGTAAAATGCTTTTATCATTTGACCAAGAGACACTGAATAGTCCAAGATAAAACATTCTGGTATTTGCATCATCAAAATTTTTCAAGCATACCTGCAGGATCATGATTGGCACCATAACCAGCATAGAGAATTGTTGGAGAAAAGCTCAATCCAGTCTAGATGACCAATAAGTACATTCAATTGACCACCAAAAGAGGGTTTTCGTAAACTCTTGTCTACCTGCCTGGATACCTTGTTTTGGGCTTCCCGTGTTGTTTGTTCCTTCTCTCTTAGTAAGAACTTGGCTTGCTAACTGGCTGCTTAGCGCTTTTGTGGGGTGCCCCAAGTATTTGATTTCTTCAATTTTTTCTGTTTTTTTCTCTTGATGGCTGGTGGTCTACCATGGTCTCCCAGGCCATTTTTTCTAGAACAGCAAGCATAAGAAATATTGCCGGAACAACCGTGGACATTTTCAAGAGGAAACTAGATTTATTCCTCCAAGGAGTACCGGACCAACTGGGCTGTGGTGGGTATGTGGGCCTGCGGGCCGCTCCAAGCAACAGCCTAGTGGACCAAACTCTCACAAGTCAAGCCTGGCCTCGGGCCGGGCTTGGGGAGTAGAAGAACTCCCAGAACCCCATCAACCAGGTATCAACCAGATCTCCCAGGCCATTTTTTCTAGAACATGGTGATTTGGGTCATCTTTTCCTGGGTGGTTTGAACAACTTCCAGAGGTTATCTTCCAGTGCCCTGGAAATTCACCTGAGGTCTGTTGGGTGCCCCAGGGAGAATGTGTCTTGGAGACTATAGAGGTGCTTTTCTGACTTTTAAGGTGGCTTTTCCATTCCTCAAGTGCCTGCCTCCATTTTCTTGTTTGAGTTCACCGTTATGCCTTGGTTCCCTAGTTCTGTTAACCAGATTCCCAGGGTTTTGTCCCATGGAATGTTCTCTGCTCTGACTAGACTTTTATTCTAGATTTCGGGGAAGCACTATTATTTAGCTGAGCTGCATATACATCGAGCTACTACAGGTTCATTAGTTAAATTCACCAGACATCCTAATTTGATTTAGAATTAAAATCCAATATTTAAGAAATATGTTATCTCTTTACATTCAAACTAGCCAAAGTGATAAAATATAATGATAAAAATTTAGAGTGAAAAATCCATTGTTCTTTAATAAAGCAAGATGTAAGGATTATTAAATGCAAAATAGAACAAATTAGAGAAGAACTGCCAGCATCAAATGTGAATCAAAGAAAATAACAGCACTTTTTAAAACCAAAATTTATGAAACACTCCAATAATTATGAAAAACCTTCTGCATACTGAACTACTATTTCTCACACAAAATTATCCTACTTTTTCTAAATATTACTGTAAAAACTCATTTGACTTTCAGGAATTACAAGGTGCAACATCACAACACCTTCATGTTACTCACCTGTAAAATGTCCACAAAGAAAGTTAATGGCAGAAGGGAGAATGTTGACCCAAGACGGGACAAGAGAATACCATTCATTAAGTGGAGAGATGGCAGACTCCTGCCACACTCTTATACTCGACTCTAACTGGGCTCTTGTCATTCTTTGCTCGCCAGTAGAACATATTATATCCCTGATCAGGCTGAAGAAACATATGTGAGTCTCTTGAGTCAACTCTGGAGCAATACAAGCACTGCAGAATGAGAACAATGATTTACTAATGAATATTAACATATTAAAAGAAATAAATGCAACTTTTTAAAATAAATTTCTCCAAATCTATCTATACACTGTACTGTAAGCACTAGTAATACTGTGCTCGAGTTCTCTGGCCATACACACAAACTGTACTGTTCTGTTTGGCGCTCTGCTCCATATTACACACCTACAAATCACCCTTTCAATATACACTACAGTAATATGTATATACAATACTATTTTTATGATTTGAATCAAACTTAGAAACATGATCTAACAAATACAACATACCTATTATTTCTCAGTACAGTACTGTCCAACATATTTAAAACTCGGACTAAGATACTGTATATTATCAGGGATGAAATCATTTAAAAGGAAATACTGTATTTGAAAATATGTAAAATCACTCTGGCTATTAGGCAAAAATGAGACTTGCTTACTAGACCAATTAGTTGAGCTCTGGCTATTAAATATGATATTTCTACATATACAGTATTTATAGAGTAAAGAGAGAAAAGAGAAAGAGAATGAAGACAGAAAAGGTACAACAAAACAGAGGAGAAAAGAGAATACCAAGAGACAGACAAGCAAATCCAAAATAAAATACAAAATTTAAATCTCCCCAAAGTTAACTCACCCAATACTTTCAAGTGCTGCTGTTAATTCTGATGACGTTTCAATTGCAGCCGTTACTTGATCTTCCATTGGTTCCTCTTTTATTTCAACCTTTATATGCTCCTCCTTCACTATGGGCTCCACTCCAAGGCCTCCAATATCTATGTCTTCATTCGCACTCAAGGGCTCCACTGGTTCTAACTTTATTTTAATACCTTTAGCACCAATTCTGTTAAAATGATGATGATTCAGAGAACATTATAGATTACACATAACTGTACTTGCATCAAATTAAAACAAATCAGGTTAATTCATTTTTGTATCTAATATATCTTATATATATAAGGAAGGAAATAGAATAGGTTAAACTGCAAAAATACTACTTGTAAATTACAATTAAAATAAAATGCTGAATAAAAAATAATAAGCACAAATTAGCAAAGTAAGTTGTGTTGTAAAAGACTTAAACGTTCTAACAGCACCACTCTGTGAAATACATAGTTAACATGACCAGAACTATACTGATGAGTACATAATGAATGAACTTTACCTCTTTTTAACAGATGGAGACACAACTGGCGTTTCCTTCTTAACTTCAATATCCTCCGAGTCACTGACCGTTGAAGATGAGGAGGAAGACGACGAAGATTCTGAATCACTTAGAAGTTCACTTTTTATAGTCACTGGAAGATCCAAGTGATTGGAAGAGACTAGTATGGATGAAGTTTCTTTCTTTACCTTAATTTTTTTCTTTGGTTTTTCTAGTGTTAATGGTGACATAATGGCTCTTTGAGGAGGTCTTTTCAACTGAATTTGAGCTCGAGATATAACATCTTGTAGTGTTATGCCTCGAGTATCTAGGTCAACTGACGACTGAAACAGGAAATTGTAATTCCATTAAAAAATGTTTCACAACATCAAAATCACATGAATTATACAAGTATTAAGCAAGTGAAGGGCTTTCATAAACACTTTTACTGCTATAAACATGCATCCAGAACACCAAATACCACAATATTTATACACTTAGAACTTCAACAGCAAGTCATATGAAAGAAGTTTCTGCAGGTTTTGACTGCTGTAGCAGGGCTTCTTGCCTGTTGTAGTAATATACAGTAATGCTGATCTTATAAGCGCAAGCATTTCTTGCCCAAAATGCTGTGCGTATTAGTGGCTTTAGGCATTGTATGTACAAGCTCTATCGAGAAATCCAACGTTATGTTTGTAACTCATCTTGTATGACTGTACTTTTACCTGAATAAACATTTGATTTTATTTGATTTGATAGGTTTTAGGGAAACTATTTGTTTTTCCTTACTATTTTTGTCTTCTATTAGACACAGTATACAAGCAAAACAATAAAAGTGCACATTGAAACTGGAAGAGCCCAGAAAATAAGCAGGTATTCAAGAGGAATGATCATTAATAACCAACTAACAGTAATATGTTCATTGGATTGTTGATGTCAGCTTACCTTTACTACTGAGAGAATGCAATTAATGTTGATAACTAGACAGCAACAACTGGAACCAACTAGTAAAAGGATGAGGGGCATACCTACCCGGCTTTACCCATCTTTTGTCAACAAGGAGCAAGAATTAGCTCTAGGCCTTTGCCTCATAAATATTGTATCCATGGCATTTATACCTCTGATGTTTCAACTTGTCATACTCTCTTAAAGTTGTGAACTGAGGAAGTAGCCCTCACAACCTGTGCTTTCAGCTCATTCAATTTATTTACAACCTAAACTAAATACAACCTTGTACATCTTTCTGGTTCATTTGTGTTTTGAACGTCCATCAGTGCCCGCCCTCATTCTGTTTACCCACATTTGGAATATTGGGCAAATTTTGTCTACCTACTTTATATATTCTCCCTCAGCATGATATACAGTATATTGTTGATCATATCACTTCTGGCCTTTTCTCTTTTAGTGTTGTTAGCATGAGTTCTGTTGATATGTCCTCACAGTTCAGCTCTCCCATTTCTGATACCATCCTTAAAGCAAGTTTCTGGATTTTCTCAATGACAGTCTATCCCATACTACCTCTCATTTCCTGACAATGAAGAGAGCCATACAAGATGACTCGTGATAAGCCTCGACCCATCTTGAAAGATCAGCAGGCTTTAACAACGGAGAGATGTTGACAATTTCATTGTAATGTTCAAGATCAAAATTTCAAGCATCCCCATCTGGCCCAACCACACAAAAAAAAAGTCATTAAAATTACAAGATGCTCAGTCTATAGGTATCAGCTATTGCTGATATCTATAGACTGGAAACATCAGTCTATAGATATCAGCATCGATAGCATTATGCTGATAACTATAGACTGTTCAGATATCATTACACTGATATCTGATATCTACAGGCTATAGATTCCATTCTTAAGAACATCACTCAGTGAGTAATACCAGAACCTTTCACTAGCAGCAGACTTCAAAATGAGAGAAAGAGATGGAAACAGAGAGAGAGAGACAAGGAGAATAGAGAAATATAATTGTACACACCTCTCTTTTACTTCTTCGAAGCCTGTGTCCTGCAAGCATGGCTCTAAAATGATCATCCGTAAGATCTAGTGGGTTACTAGTGGGTGTTATTTTCAGTTCGAGGTCTAGCGCAAGAGAGCCACTACTGTGCGTAGCTCTCACTGGTAATAAATCTGGCGGTAGCGAGCCTTCCAGCCCTCCTAACTGCCGACGCTGTTTTTTATTGAGGGAGGCCCCTGGTCCCTCTGCAATGTTCAAACCACGTTAACAAAATGTCAAACCATTCTTAATAGTTTTATACATATCCTGTGGTATTATACAGGGCTGAAAAATACAATTTATTCTACAGAATAGCATCATAAAAGGCTGCTAGCAGGTAAAGTTTCATAAAATAACATGATGAATAGTAGAAGCAGAAGAGGATATTTGTCAACAAGTAATAAATGATATCTAAAAGACAACAATAAACTCTAAACTTCTCAACTTGCTCTTCATCACTTACATACATACCAGTTTCACGACAGCAGATTTTGTTTTCTATATTAAGCTATTCTCAAGAGTTACCCTCATAGTCTATTAGTGAACATTTCTCCGCAGAAATATCCATAGGTCAGCTTATACCCATTACAACAGCGTAGCTTGAGGACTAATGTGGTGCTTCTGAGATTGAGTGGTAAATATCTGATGGCAAATCATTAATAATATACTGTAGGTATGATATTGCTATGACCTTGGTGAGGGGGATGATAACAATCCCCTGCTCCCTGCACCTGTGAAGGGGACCAGGTTCTGGCTCTGGTCTCTAATAGACCATTACGGACTCCTAAGGCTAATTGTGATTCCCATGTGTGGAGCTATCCGAGTGAGCTAGCTACAGAGAGCCACTATTCAGCCCCTCCTGAAATTGAGGTCTCAGGAACAATTTATTTTAGTCATATGATAGGTTTAATTAGCACATGATTTTTCCAGGAACATAACCTTTGCACAGATCAAGGGACCACAGAATACAAGAAGCTTCAATTATGCATGCACACTGTTAGACCCACATTTAATAATGGTCACCCCCTTAACTTTCCAGGTTTGTACTTGTGATTTGGGAAAAACAACAAACTACCCTAATTTTGCACCTGAAGGCCATTAACTATACTGAACACATCTCAAAATATACTTCAATGTAAAATGAAAACAATGATTGCTTATGTAGGCCTTTAAGGTAACATATTTGTACTGTTTTTAATTAATTTTGCAATAAATTACAACAAATTATTTATACCTGGATATCACCTAAGAACTCTATGACTCAACCAAGGTTTGAACTTCCAATGGCAGGGATCACCCCTGGGGTACAGAGTGCCCTAACCACTTTACCAGCGATTGCCTGCTGGTGAAGTCGTACTCTATATATCATTGAGTGATCCCTAGCAATGGAGGTTTGAACTCTGGTCAGGTCATAAGAGTACTTAAGTGTTTTATGGATAGGGGCCATTCAAGACTTTGTTTAATACCTGGATATATTTCATCTTCTGATGTATCACTTGTATCTCCTCCCACTTCTGCTCGAATCGCAGCCAATTCACGAAAGTAGCGCTTTTTTGTACAATACTCAATGGAGGTACGAGAACTCTTCTTTTTATTATGCTGTAAACAAATGACAAATCGTTAAAAACCACAGTCATAAATTTATCACCTAAGACAACAGAATCAGAGCTTGATCTTTCAAATCACATACAATTATAAGTAAACTAAATTATTTAATGATAAATATTCAAAATAACTCATGTACAGTATACTGTACTAATATCCCATGAAGCTTTATTAGAATACAATAATTGGTATTTAGAAAATATTATTCAGAAATTATGAACACTGCATATGAAAAAAAAAAGTTCTAAGTCAGCTCATAGATCAATTATAACAGCAAAATTTCATTCTGAAACTCTAGCAAGGATTTTGCCAAAGAAATTATCTTTTAACGAACCGATTAGAATTTTACAAGATGACAAATCAAATAAGAGATGGGGAGACACTATACTCCTTGACTGTAAGAAAACTTTTGATATTGCCCCCACAAGCTGGTGTATCTGGAAGAGTGCTAAAGTGAGAGAGGAATAGGTAAGGAATAGGTAAGGAATAGGTAAGGAGTAGGTGAGGAGTATGGAGAGCTGGTGAGGAGCTGGCGAGGAGCACCTCTCAGAAAGGACAGATACCAAAATGGAGAGAAGCAAAGGCAATGAGCTGAGTATCACAAGGATCAGTACAAGAGTCCATCCTGTTGCTTGTGTATATCAATTACCCGGCGTGGAATTAGCTCTTTCGTATTAAGGTTTGCTGACGATACAAAATTAAAAAAGAATCAGAACAGAAGGAAACTGTAATACTGAAGAAAATGATCAAGCCACACTCCAGGTGATTTGAAAAATAGCTACTGGACTTTAACCCAACCAAATATAGTTATAAGGCTATGAACAGCAGTGAGAAGACCCAGACAGAAGTACAATATTATGCCCACTATTATGTCTAGCTTCATGGCTCTTCTTTTCTTGACCTTGATGCACCACCACTAAAATTGTTCCTTTCATCAACCTTGATTAAGGTTTCTTTTACAACAAAAATGTGATAATTAATCCCAAGACTCCACACCACTCAATCTGCCACTTAGTGTTCCAGCTTGAGGAAGCATTGGCAATCTTAATTGGTATTGTATGAAGCCTTATAAGTCAGAGTGTCATAAGGTAAAGGAACCCCTCTGTATTTTAACATTGTCGGGGACAGGAAACCTGTTAGGCTGTTCCTTTAGGACAGCAACTGACCTTCTCTGGGTATTCAACCCACAACAGTCGACTAACTTCTGGGTACTTATTTAGTGGTAGGTGGATAGTACAGGTATAGGCATTGGGTGCAGCTAAACATGCCCAAATGTCTGGTTTTGCCTGGGAATTGAGCTCTTAAGGTTGATATGTCCTGTTGTTTGCCTCAGTTGAGTTTGTTTGGCATTTTTTGTAACCACTTTATGGCTATTCTGGAGGGTTTGGCCTAAATGTGGAGTAGTTTTATGATACCCACTGATTACTCGTTCCAATCCTTGCTTCTGATAAGCCATGAGATGGCTACAGATGCCAGGTGACATGGTACTGGCTTTAGAGTACCAGTATATAAGCTTTAGGGACTTATATTTTTTATTAAATTAATTTAAATTACTAAACTGGAATATGAAGTCTTATAATTGTGTCCCTGCATTATTTAAAAAATTCTTCATTTAGTAGATACATTACACAAGAAAAAAAAGCAATAGTATACAAATAAGAATAGATCTTCCATTTACCAAAGGTGTGAGTCGCGGGATCTTGGGAATGTCATCCGGTGGCATGTTGCTCACAATATCCAGCACCCTTTTTCTTCGCACTAAAACCTCTTCTAGTGTATGATGAAGATATTGCTTCTGCCGGTATCTAAAAAAAAAATGTGCAATTTAGTTTTTGTTTAAAAACTATAGAACAACCAGCCTTGCATCCCCTGCATCACAGAGGTGAGGAGATTGGGAAGGGAACCCATCATTTTAAAATTACTTTCCTGCTAATGGTAAAATTTGACTGGAATCTGGATCCCACACCAGCCAAGGACCTTGACAGCAAAGGTATGGTCATAAGGTTGTGTGGAATATGAGAGAAATATATTGACAACTGAAATACAGTAGTTGGAAGGGCAAAGGTTTCTAAGGAACGAAGATTCAATGTGCTAGTTTTATGCGGGACTACGATAAAAATAAACGATAATGAAAAGTAGAGCGAGCAAATATTATAAGAAAAGGAAGCTATATTTAGTACACAAATGCCATGAAGGCTGAATATTGAGAGAGCTTCTTCATGAATGATATCTATATTTCAGGCAACATAATGGATATTAACACAAGACACAACAGGCTTTGAAAAAGAAATTGACAACATTCCCATACACTCAACTGCAAGTCTTGACTCCTATTACTTCATATTTCTAAAGAAAAGCAAACTACCAAAAGTATGAGCACTCATTGTAATATGGAGGATAAACACACTGGACTTGAGACAGAAACAAAAAAATTATCTACCTGGAACTGGGAAGAATAGAACAAACTACCCACTAGCAAGTAGACAAACTACCCACTAACAAGTAGACAAACTACCCACTAGCAGGTAGACAAACTACCCACTAGCAGGTAGACAAACTACCCACTAGCAGGTAGACAAACTACCCACTAGCAGGTAGACATCAGAGTTGGTAACCCAAACCTCACAAAGGGCAAAAAAAAGAGAAATCACCCCAAATCCTTGTTAGACTTCTCAAGATGAGACATCCTCCTTAGCTACAGGAAAGAAGGAAGGTAACTACATGTTCTACCAGGTAAAGTAAGCAGAAGTAATAAAATATTTATGGAGAGGGAGAGAAGTCTCCTTCCAGTGCTGTATAAGACCACAAGAAATTATTGTAGAAAAAATAAAGGAATCACAGGAGATAAATAAAAATTATTTGCTTAAACCAATGAATAGTAAGCACAATATTAACTTGGTTTCCTTACTGTAGAGTATTGTATCAATACCCACAATATCTTTTAAAATAACTTGAGATAACCTACCAATATTTTGATAAATTCCATATTTCCTCTACTTTGCAGAGAATTACATATTTCACAACAGGCTATAATGTATATTCTATAAAGGGCCCATGAACCTTTTTCCTCAAACTTCCTTTTAAGTAAGTGACAATTGGCATATGCTTTTTATTTAAAAGATCTATAAAAAAATTACCTGTATTCTCTGTACATTATCTTCTTATGAATGGCTCTCATCTTGGAAATTTCAGGGTTGAAGAAGCCCTTGCAGAGCTGTTCATGAAACAACCTGAGTGGTGTTCCATATCTGAAGTTTTCATCCATAAAAAACATTTCTAAAGTTCGTGTTTTCTCTTCCAGGTCATTATGAGGAAATTCTGGTAAATAGCCCTAAGATAAAAATAAATGGAATGGATTAAATATTTAAACATTATGACATCAATAAAATGAAACAAAATGTTTAACAAAATATATAATACTGAACAAGGAAAGGTCTCAAAGTAGATAAGTACAGGCTAATGCCAGGACAATTTTCTTTACATATATGAAAAATAGGCTTTGGCATTTTGTTCCGATGGCGGTTAGTGTGCAACACATTCAGCAGAGCAAATCTTATCAAATTATCTACCTTAACACACTACACTATCATCGCACACTGGTCATTTCATCATGGTTAATGTTCGTATCAATCATGGCTATGTTTGTATCAATCACACCTCCAGACTTTTCCTTCAGCACCCTACTTTTGCCTTGCTTAAAACATTTTACGTCATTACCTCAAATAACCACACACTTTAGCTCTGACCAGTTTTAAAATATCTTTATCATCTATTTAATAACTACATTTAATATAGCTTCTCCCTCACGCTGGTGAAGCAGAGTCTCGAGCAATACTTTATAGCTCAATGTAGTAATAAAGTCTAAATCACACACACACCTAGTATTTAAAGTGGAAATTTTGAGGCTAAAGAAATGCTCTTTATGCTACAAGATATATGTACATGCATACAGTACAGTGTTTGTACTTTCTCCTGTATTCCCATGTCTGTATCCACGTATATATCTCTACACTAGTGTTTGTTGTACTTAGTATTATCCAAGGGTTCCACTCCTCCTGTGGACCCTGGGCTTTGTGTCCCAACACATCATTGTGCTCTAAGCCAAGAATTCTGGGTTCCAGGGCTCTGGGGCTGTTCTGTGCCCTGACCTTGCACTGTGTGCTCTGGCCTTGGGAGCTTTGTCTCTTGCATTCCTAAAGTGGTTGCCCTGGTCTTCTGGGACTTTTGCTCTGTGGCCTTTGGGCATTTGAGCTCTGTCCTCCAGGGTCCTCGTTCTGGCGGGTCTATTTAGTACTGTGGTGCAGGCGATGAGTCACAATAACGTGGCTGAAGTATGTTGACCAGACCACACACTAGAAGTTGAAGGGACGACGACGTTTCGGTCCGTCCTGGACCATTCTCAAGTCGATAGTACTGTGGTCATCCAGGTTGCCTCAGGACATTTCCACTTAAGTTTTCTCTGGGTATTTTCACGGTTCCTGTTTAGCATCTATTTGGGCTATTTGCCCTCAGCCTTTCCTGGTTCAGGCCATTTGTACTGTTTGCCCTGTATCCTTATGGCTGCATGACCAGTGTGTTTCTGGCTGTATTCCCATGCCCCTTGAGCTAGTGCCAAAATGCTAAAATGCCTTGGTCCTTGCTGGCCCTAGATTTTCGGGTATCATGCAACATTCTCTCAAGCCATAGACTTCGGTCATCAGTCCTGCTGCCTCTGGTCACCCTAGTTTGTCTGCCCGTGTCAGCTGGATCTAGGGCCTAGCTCCTTGGCAGGGTGTTATCCTTATTTTTATGGCCACGTGAACCTGCCCCTCTGCAATATAGTGCCCTCCATGTGAAAGTTATTCATGCTGCTGCTCATGTGAAAGTTGTTCATGCTGCTGCTCATGTGAAAGTTGTTCATGCTGCTGCTCATGTGAAAGTTGTTCATGCTGCTGCTCATGTGAAAATTGTTCATGCTGCTGCTCATGTGAAAGTTGTTCATGCTGCTGCTCATGTGAAAGTTGTTCATGCTGCTGCTCATATTTCTTTGTTAATATTTTATTATTTGAAATACTTACTAAACAATACAACATTTTCTAATAAGTATCCCTGATTGGGATACCTAATGGAAATCATGTTTTCTTGAGTAAGTTTTTCAAATACGGCACAATACTAAAATAGTAACAAATAAATCCCAAGTAATTACCTAAGTGTAGTTACAGGTTGAGAGCTACGCTCATGGTGTCCTGTCTTCCCAGTACTCAACCATATAGTGCTTTGAAACAACAGACGGTTTTGGCCTCCACCACCTTGAGTAGGAGCACAAACAAAATTCACACCAGCAGGAGCACAAACAACTTTCCCACCAGCAGGAGCATAAAACAATCACAAGTGCAAATGAGAATGAAATAATAGTCTGCAACATTAGGAAACTTAAAAAAAAAAACTCACTTTATAGTAGAGAAAATACTTTATAAATTACTATTTAATGGTTGTTGTAGCAAAATTTTGCTTAAAGACAGACATATTATATGCCATATTGTAACATCACAAGTTAAATATTGTACAAAATACAAAGCCTAAGATACAAACCATTAACATTTCTCGGTGTTCATCAGTGAGATGATTGTTCCAAGTGTCGGGAGACAGAATTTCAAACAATAATGATATGTCTTGACAGATTTCTGATGGAATTTCTAAAGACACCCCAGAATAGACAACCGTCTCCATGACTTTTCAAATCTGCAAAACAAAATGTAAATATCACTATAAATTTGTATATATAAATGCTACTATAAAGCATGTAGATTTTCCAACATTGAGGAAAATCTGGAAGAGACAGAAGGGTACTGTATAACATTTTCATAATACTGTATTTACTTGAAACAAATTACAACAAAAACCTGGGGTTGGATAGCTTGCGCACACTTACCCCCTCCCATCTTCATCAATGGTCCCAACCTAACCGAACAGTGTGCAATTTTTTTTAAATGTTTAACTTAAACAAGCACTTAGTATATTCTTTTAAATGTGTTTACACTGAATATACTAGAGAAATGACCAAAATAAATGTCTCACATGCAAGACCTTGAAGTCTAACAAAGAAACAAAATTCTGTGTACTATTTCTACCAGTTATCCCAATATAAAAGATGCCTTTAAACATACATTTTACAAAGGGAGACCAATTTAGGGGATATTAGGATATTTAACAAAAAGCTTAGTCAAAGAAAACTGTTTTTACCTCATTTTGAAAAGTGACCAAGTGCTATACTTACTATACTATCACAAGATCATGCATGGTAGGGAGTTGATCTGATTTGCAAGAGCTTTAGTGTGGATGTGAGGTTCAAACCTCCCTCCACCTTATTACACTGCAGAACATTGTGTGACCACCTTGAGGTTACCTTGAGGTGCTTCCAGGGCATAGCGTCCCCGTGGCCCGGGGATCGATCAGGCCCTTGCAGTTGTGACGGCTACTTTATTGTGTTCTTTAAAGGTAAGGTCTTCCGACATGAGTACACCTAGATCCTTTACATTACCTTTTCGTTCTATGTTATGATTTGCCCGAGTTTTGTACGTGGTTTCCGTGCAGTGACAATGTGACACGTGGTATGAATTGGTCTTGGATGTCAATGGTTTTCTTCACATAATTAAGTAATTGTGTTGCTACCCATCCTTACCATTTATTTGATACGAGACGGAGGACCCAGCGGTGCGCTGGAAAGTCTAACTCCTCCTACCCCTCATTCCACCTGTCTTCTTTCCCTCCTCTTCCTCCATTTCCTACCCTCTTCCCCATTTCCCACCTCCTCCCCACCTCTCCCCTATTTTATCCCCTTTCCTTCCCCCATCTCCTTACCCTACCCCCTTCTTCCTCTTCCCCATCTGGCCTCCAGCCTTGAATAGACATTTCAATTTAGAATTACAGTAGTATGTAGAAAAGGTACCAGGCTGCACCTGGGTCTCTTCCCCCCCCCCCCCTCCCATTCTTCCCCTTCTCTACAAAAATTTATTATTACAAAGCACTGAAAAATTATGGTAAACACACCAAATATTTCACAGGGGGGTCACTTATAGATGCTAATACAGTACCAGTATTTCTCAAAGAATTTAACTCAGGTTGACCCCGACCAGCCAAAGTCAGTCTCATACCCCAGACCATTTTCCCTGCAAATTGTCCGGCCTCCAACCTTGGACACTCACTCTCTCTTACATATAGATAGATAGATTAATATTTCCTTCACTAATATTTCAAAGAATATTTCAAAGAAAAATATGTACAGTACATTTTTTGAAGCAGATACTGTACATTGAATTCCTAATCAACCTGCTCAACTAAGATTAGACTCTTCCAATTGCACCTAATTTATTAAAATTGTCATAATTTGCATTAAAACTAGACCTAATGCCAAGTATTAGCACTAATTGAAATCATTTATGCTAATTTTTATGCTAAACATTGCTGCTACCAAAATCACCAATGCATTTTTTTTATTATTTAGCTTTATAATGTTTGTCTCTGATTATAATCTTGATTAGCATGAATAAAGTTTTCTATAAATAATTAACCTATATGAGCAAGTCTCAGACACCAAAATCAGATCATATATTTGTCATAGTACCAAGTTCCAGTTGAGCAAGACTTCTACTGTACAAGTCTGCATTGCATTGTATTACTAAATGTTAACAAAAAAAATCATAATCTTTACTAGCATCATCATCACTACCTTGTTTCCCAGCTTTGTGGCGTTGGGAAGCAAAATCCATAAGAAAAATATGACCAATGTAGAGAATGAATGTTAAGGATACTGTACAGTACTAAAAAATTAGAATTAGGCTTCATATCAATATGAAAAGCTTCTTTTTCAGCAGAGATATTCAATAGTTACCTAAGGTAAGAATCCTGTGTGCCATGGACAGAATTCCCAAGCAGTCAGAAAGGGCATTTTTCAGACACCGGCACCACAGATTTGTTTTTCCTTTTTCTAAACATGTTGCTGCAGGAGTCATAAGGAGTTAGTGTGGTATGTACTAAAGAAAAGCTCAATCCAGCCCAGAATACCCATTAGAGGCACAGTACTTCCAGAATAACTCAAAGCTCTATCTACATTGATACCAAAATGAAAGACCTAGGACCAGAATTGAGGCAACAAAGTTGAAAACAGTATACCCATTTTATTAGCGCTCACTGGGATTATGCTCTGTCACTTTCTTTGTTTGCTGTGGGTGGTACGCCTGGCTTTTGGACTTTATATTTGCATATCCCAGTACTCCTGTAGGGAATTCTATTGCGAACACAATGTTACCAAAATGAAAGACCTAGCACGAGAATTGAGATGTCCAACGTGAAGAGAGTGTACACATTTTATTGCTCTTGTGCGGCTCTGGGCTCTTACTTTCTCACTTCCTCGCTGGGCTTTCAGGCTTTATATGCATTTAGTCTTGTAGAGAATTCTATTGCAAACACATTGATACCAAATTGAAAAACCTAGGACGAGAAATGAGATGACAAAGTGGAAAAGAGAATACCCTTTTCCGTATTACCGCATTCTCTAATGTAATGAGAGGTGCCTTGGGGTGGCGCAGTGCTCTCTTTCTGGGCCACTTTCATCTTGTCGGCGGGTGGAGCGCGCTGCAGTTTTTTACTTTGTATGCATATACTCTTGTTGGGAATTCTATCGCGAACACAATGATGAAAGCCCTAGGACGGGAATTGAGGTGACAAAAGTGAAGAGTGTACACATTTTATCGCTCTTTCGCGCTCCCGGGTAACACGCACTCACTTTCTCTGTTTATTGTGGATGGTACACAAGGCTTTTTGACTTTATATGCCTTTAGTCCTGTAGAGAATTCTATTGCGAACACAATGATACCAAATTGAAAAACCTTGGACGAGAATTGAGGTGACAAAGTTGAAAAGAGTATACACTTTTCAGAATTACCGCGCGCTCCCGTGAAACACTGAGGCCCACCCGGGGTAGTGCGGGTCTCATGCCCGTGGTGCAATAAAGTGCTATTAATAACAAGAAAAAGAAAATCAAATTAGAAAATACTATACCAAAATAAAAATAAAATTATTTGATGATTATGACTGTTGGCTGTATTTACCAGTACTGTATAATGATAATACATCTTGGAAACACACATATCCAATTATGATTACTTCACCATTATTGCCATTATTGTAATTCCACTGTGCACTGATAATATATATTAGAAAACAGGGCACTTCTTTTTCATACATTTCAACCCTTGATAGTTATACGGCCCCAAGAAAAGATGTGGCAGCCAAAGATTTAAGAGAATTGGCTACAAAGACAGGTTATGGGAACTCCCAACCCTAAAGGAGAAGCAGAGGAGATAGAATTATTTTACTACATTCAAAATACCGAGGGAAATATACAAGATGGATAGATACCTTTTATACATTGAGAAAGACTAAGATAAGAGGCCATCAATAGAATCTAGAAATGCAAAAATGTAAGGAAATATAGTACAGTACTCCTACATTGATGGTCAACAAGTGAAATGAATTGAAGAACAAGCCATGGAAGCCACATCCATCCACAATCTCAAAAGAAGATACAAGAACTTGCAAGTCAAAAAAACTATAGGAAAATAAAGACCAGGTACAAAAGAATAGGAATCACTTCCCCTGTAGTCAATGACAGCAACTTTTGAAATGGAGTAACTTTTTATCCAGTGACTTCCTGGCACCATTCATAAACGTGCAGGGTGGCTTGAAAAGATCCCGTGTCACTGGTACAGTACTTTAACACCATGCTGCATGACTCTTTTCGAATCTTGTCTATTGTACAGTGGATTCTTACCTTGGAAAGTAACAAAATGTATAGCTCTGAAAGACATCAATTCATCCTAAATTCCACACTAACCAGGATCACGTAGAAACAGCAACATCACACTTCAGCAAAACATCTACAGCAGTACCGCTTCATACGACTACTTGAAGAATGCTTCCAGTGATTTGTCATCTAAAAAAATACAGTATCAGTATGTTAAACAATTACTTCATCTTAAACTGATTCCCCACCACTTCACATGTGCTGTCAACAACTCAATTTACACTTACTCTAAATACTTGCCACATTTGTCCATAGTCTAATTTTTTCACCTCACTCTATCCTCAAATTTCTTCAAAATACACACCTTTGCCACTATTATTGACCATTGAATATGACCAAACTATTTTGATACACTCTCCTTGAAGTTAAAATTTACAATTATGCCCATTTCTACATCCCATTTCTCAATTTTTCCCTTATTCATGCTGCCCTCTAGCCTCCTCCTTTGCCAATCTTTTTTTTTTTTTAAACCAAGGGTTTTCATTACACCTGCCACTTGCCTTTTCTGATTTACTCCACTCTCAACTTTTTAACACAAACATCTCTCTGTCAATTACAGACACCTGGTATTTAAACCCACTGATCACTTCTAGCACTTCTCCCTTTAATCCTATTTCACAAAGAAGCTTTTCCTTCTCCTTCCCTCTCAATTACTGTGTGGGCCACATGCATTTTTCCCAGTTTTCTCTAAAATATATCAACAAAACCGGGGGATGTCTTGGTTTTGAGACATCCCAAATCCCATTCTGTCCTGCCCGGATCCCCGGGTGCGACAGAAATGTTTGAGCACATTTCCTTTCACCTAATGCATCTGTTGACCTAGCAGTGAGTAGGTACTCAGGAGTTAGTCAGCTTGTTGTGAGGTTGCATCTTGGGAAGGGGTCAGTAATTCAGCTTTCGATGGGGAGGGGGGGAAGGCGACCTCAATACAAGTCTACCATGTATGAACACACTGGCTTCCTGTCCCTTGACACAGTACATTATTATTATTATTAGAAAACTGTATCATCTGTACACATCAAATTACAGTAGTTATCCATAGTAATAAGCCTCTAAAAATATGGTACAGTACATTTAACTTTAACAAAAACTTAAATTTGTCGAACAGGCCATCATGGTGAACAGACTTCCCAGACTGTTCTGTCTCATATTATTTTGAAAATTATTTTTTGGTTATTAAGGTAGATATGGATGAGATTAGGTTAGATTTCATTAGCCTCATGTTTGCTACTCATGCTTAATATGCACCTTCAAATAAAACATCAGGTGTGTATAATCAAGGAGTTGGATTTAAAATTTGATGTTTTACTATAAAACTTTTATAAGTGCGAGACCCACACTGGACACCAATAGCTCTGTCAGTGTGTGTGTAATTACCCAAGTGTAATTACCTAAGTGTAGTTACAGGATGAGAGCTACGCTCGTGGTGTCCCGTCTTCCCAGCACTCTTTGTCATATAATGCTTTGAAATTACCGACTGTTGGTTGTTTTGGCCTCTACAACCTTCTCACCTAACTTGTTCCAACTGTCTACCACTCTGTTTACAAAAGTGAATTTTCTTATATTTATCCAGCAGCTTTGTTTTGTTAGTTTAAATCTATGACCTCTTGTTCTTGAAGTTCTGAGAAATCTGAGTTCGGGAAATCTTCCCTATCAATTTTTTTTATTCTTGTTACTATTTTGTACGTAGTGATCATATCGCCTCTTTCTTCTATCTTCTAGTTTTTGCATATTTAATGCCTCTAACCTCTCCTCATAGCTCTTGTCCTTCAGTTCTGCGAGCCCCTTCGTGGCATGTTTTTGCATCTTTTCCAGTTTGTTGATGTGCGTCTTAAGATATGGGCACCATACAACCGCTGCATATTCCAACTTTGGTCTAACAAAAGTCGTGAACAATTTCTTTAGTATTTCTCCATCCATGTATTTAAAAGCAATTCTGAAGTTAGAAAGTGTAGCATAGGCCCCTCGCACAATGTTCTTAATGTGGTCCTCAGGTGACAGTTTTCTAGCTAGAACCACCCCTCGATCCCTTTCTTTGTCAGAATTCTTTAAAGATTTCTCACATAATTTATAGGCTGTGTGGGGTCTATGTTCTCCAATTCCACATTCCATAACATGGCATTTATTCACATTAAATTCCATTTGCCAAGTGGTGCTCCATATGCTTATTTTGTCCAGGTCTTCTTGAAGGGCATGACAATCATGTAGGTGCCTTATCTTCCCTATTATCTTAGCATCATCAGCAAACATGTTCATATAATTCTGTATTCCATCCAGTAGATCGTTTATGTAAACAATGAACATTCCCAGGGGCAAGAACTGAACCCTGTGGTACTCTACTTGTGACATTCCATCAATCCAATACATTGCCTCTGATTACGGCCCTCATTTTTCTATCAGTTAGGAAATTTTTCATCCATGTTAGAAGCTTACCTGTCACCCCTCCAATATGTTCCAGTTTCCAGAACAACCTCTTATGTGGAACTCTGTCAAAAGCCTTTTTTAGGTCCAGACAGAAGAAGTCAACCCAACCATCTCTGTCCTGTAAAATCTCTGTGGCTCGATCATAGAAACTGAGTAAATTTGTTACACAGGATCTTCCAGATCGTAAACCATACTATCTTTCTGATATTATATAATTTTTCTCCAGGTGTTCTACCCATTTAGTTTTAATTATTTTTTCCAATATTATGACTATTACACTTGTCAATGATACAGGTCTATAATTGAGGGGGTCTTCCCTGCTGGCAGTATATGTGTGTGTGTGCGAGTTTGAAAAAGTGTATAAACTCCCACACACGAAGCCCACTAATGCACTATCTGTATTTGATTTTGTTTTAGGATTTTGAAAGGAATATAATAATAATAATATTTTTGTACAATAATTAGTTTTCACAATAAATATTTAATTTGAGAACTCTTTACTTAACTTAAGGACTGTGGATGCATTTGAAATAAGCATATATGATACTAGACACAAAATAACATGATATAACCTAATCTCAAAGTGACCATTCATCTCAGAAATTGCTTTTTATCCCCTCAATGTGGATTTTTTTAAACCTGGTTACCACCACCAGGACTGAACTTTTCATATACTGTACAGTATAAAGTATTAAAAACTTAAGAGAATTGAGAAAAATTTCAATATGCAGAAACCTAAATGTATATTTAATATATTTAAAATTATGCAAAATTTAAAAAAATACAATCTTGTTGCCATTTAACATATCATATCAGAAAAAAGTGCAGCACTTTGGAGGAGTTACAGAATAATAAACCCTACTTTAACCTAAGAATTGCAAATACATTACATACAGACCCATATGGAGATGAACGACTTGAATACATCGCCATGGGGATTTGCACTATTTGGATACGAAATCTAAATTTTGCTAGCAGTGTTGTTAAATTTCTTTTTATTACAGTATTCTATATCCAAATAGCACTGTGTCCGCTAGACACCGAAATCTGATCTCGGCCGACTTATTTCTTTCTCAAGTGCTGTATCTAAGAACTATTTGCAATTATTGAATTGCATTCCTAAATACCATAAAAAAACACTTACAGTACATAAATACATAAAGTACTGTATATTATACATGCACAGAATAAAAAAAATTACAGTAGCAACCTTCTCAAGTGCCAATACAAAAATTTTAAAATTCAATATGGTTAAGCTGATTATAAAGGATTTTTTTACCATTTTTTGTTTTACAGTACCATTTTTTTATAAAGGATATATGTTTTACATACAAGAGTTTACATTCTTGTACAGCCACTAGCACGCGTAGCATTTCGGGCAGGTCCTTAATCCTAATTTCCCCAGAATACGACCCCGCCGAATTGTTTAACAACCAGGTACCTATTCACTGCTGGGTGAACAGAGGCTACAGTTAAGGATTGGCGCTCGGTCAATCCTCCCCAGCCAGGATTCGAACCCAAGCCATAGTGCTTGCGGAACGTCAAGCGAGTGTCTTACCACTGCGCCACTGCATGGCAGCCACATATATCCTAATTTTAAAGATGACTTATGATATGGACATTAATACAAACTAAGGTGTCTCAGGATTTATATCCTATAGTCTGCCAATATCAACAAAAAGTTCATGACTGAAGATATGAAAACAAAAAATAATTGTAATCAATAACCACCCTTGAAATTATTGCTCACTGCAAGTGCAGCAACTGCTTCACCTGTATCCTGGGTGTTAACATTGTTAATGTCCAGGTTTTCTAGACGTAATTTAATTTAATACTAAGGGAAGGGAACTATCAGGAGAAAGTGCCAAGCCATTACGACTATATGGCATTTGGAAGGGATAAGGATAAGGATTTGGGATGGGACGCAGGAAAGGAATTTTTGCGCAGTCTCTTTGACGGTCGGGGATTGAACGTCGATCTGCATGAAGGGAGACCGTGACGAGATCATCTGGTCCAAATATTGTAGTTGGGAGGTGGGGGCTTTCCTAGATGTAAATTCAAGTACAACACTAAAACTTTGATTTAGGATGGTTTGGATAATAAATGTCTTTACAGATATTCATGGATAACTCCCTCCACTATGTCTTATATACTACTGGGACCAATACACCCCGATATCAAAGGAAGCGATCTAGCTCCGAATAAATCAATCGCGCCAATTCTTAAAAGAAATCACCCCTTCCCTTTACAATATTACAATAATCTATACCAAGAAGGCTGGCTAAAATTGTTCAGCTTAAAAACTTCAATCGTAAAGGCACTACTAATCTTACATTATCATGCACTGTTGTTAAATACAGTGCTAGTAACCACAACAGTTGAAACATCTAAAAGAATGCAAGAAAAAGTGGGTCAGCTTTCTCTATCACAACAAACTTGGGGAAAAAGAGAAACAAGCAGTCCTTAAGCATCACTATCAGACCTGCAGTCAACATAGTTGTCACAATAGACACAACAAGTCAGGTACAATCAAAGTAAGCATATATCTAAACTAAAATTCAGTTTTACAAAAACTATTATTTAATGAAAATCCAAGTTGGCCAAATCTTCCACAAATACTAAGTCATCTGCCTAAAGTTACACATCTTTACAAGCCTAATGTCCAATAAAATTCCAACCAAAACCTTTAAACTAGGATTTATCTTAATATTTGCAACCAGGGAACTTCCCTCAGCCCTCTGTAATAGTCTCCCATACAACACTCGCCGCGTTTTCTTCTAGTCTCGGTGACCGTAGCCAGTCTCGGTGACCGTAGCCGTGTCCAGGTGAGGGCAGGTCCTCCTCACCTTCAGGCAACACCGGTCTCCTGCACCACAGGTCTGACCGCCGCCTGCACCACGGGGCTCCCACACTTCTCCCCGGCGCCATAAACAACATATTTACATGAACACTTCCACTGAATTGTGATGAGACACATTTGGCAACATTGCATGCATTTCAGAATATTCTTCAAAACTTAAAATACCTACAATGTCCAACAACAGGAGAGATGTGGCTTAAAGACCATAAAGTTGAGGGTTTCGGAGTAGCAGGCTGCCGGGCCGAGTCATCCTGTGGGGTGTCGCCACATTCCACCTTCCGCTAGTCCATTGCGAGGAAAATTCAGCCAATGAGCGGCTTCCGAGCTGTCAGCCATTTAAGAGTCTGCAAGCAGACGCACCGCGCGTTACTTAGTAAAAGTAAACATTGTCAATTTATGAACTGAAATTTGATGATGTCTTCAAGGAAGGTTTAATAATTAACGTATTATGATAAATAGGTATTTTTATTTAAACTAATGTAACGCTTTTTATACTATATTCATACTGCCACGTTTGTTTACATCTCCAAAATATCACTTGTCTCAAACCCTGCAAGAAAGGGCATTTTTGTTTATATAAATTATGATATTTATTGAACATTATTTACTCATGTAAGACAAAAGATTGATATAAAATTGCGATATGTATTATTCTTCAAGAGTAAACACACACATACATAATTAAGCCCCTCACAGTCACTGATCAATAACATACTCGAGTCCCTGCGACACGACCACTCATATATTGGTCACTGTTGGCCACACTGTCCCTCACGAACTCACTTGAATTTTGCATGTTAATAATATATATAAAATATAAAATTGTCCTATAGTCTGTCATCATCCTTTTTGTCAAAAGAGGGACTTTCATGATCAAATAAAATAAAAAGCTTTGTCACTAAATCAACTCTAATACCGTCAGGTTGAGGGCCTCAGGGCAACACTGCCAACTAGACATGATAGAGCTGATCTCATCCAAACGTTCAAAATGATGAATAATTTGGAGGATGTTGTTCCGGAGAACTTCTTCAAAAGGTTAGGTGTAACGCAGACATGGAGTAACGGTTTCAAACTCAGCAAGCCGATGTAGGAGTGAAAACAGGAGATGCTTTATCAAACACAGGGTTATAAACCCATGGAACCGCCTACCCGACGAAGCCGTAAATGCCAAAATGCTGCTGAACTTTAAAATCCAGCTTGAAAAAAACAAACCACCTTTGACAAACCACCGGCTTCCTGTCTTCATTGAGGCCACTAAAGTGTTAGTGGCCTCAATGTGTTAAATTCAGGTACATTTATCTATAAATGGTTGTACAATTTATAACTGGTAGTTTACACATTTTAGAAAATACATTATTTAAATAAAAGGAAGCCATAGTAATTGCATACATGTATTCACAATAATTATATACTACATAATCTAGATGCAGATTTAGAAGCTTTATTTGTTAGTAATTTATAAAAATCACTACAGTTGTGACTGGAATGAACAGGTTATAGCCATAGACAAAATTAAATTAAAGCAATGTGAACGATGAGAATAATATTGGCTAAATAAATATCATAAAATTCGGATGACGAGAAGACAATTTGAAGGAGAACTAATATAAACTAATTATATATGTACTAAGCATTTTACTTCAACAGATTCAAGGGCTAAACTGGATGAAAATCACTCTGATCACACAGCTCATGTAACATACATCTGATTTAATAAGGATTTCAAGTGGTCAACACGCCACCTCTTTGTGACAGTACATTCATTATTTCAAATATGCAGTTGGGGCTTCCCTGCTTTCTCTGCTGAGAAGTTGTTTAATTTTATCCTTAAGAGCTGCTACACCATGCAGACGATGAGTTACAATAACTTGGCTGAAGATATGCATGGGCCAGATTCACGAAGCAGTTACGCAAGTACTTACGAACGTGTACATCTTTCCTCAATCTTTGACGGCTTTGGTTACATTTATTAAACAGTTTACAAGCGTGAAAACTTGCCAATCAACTGTTGTTATTGTTATCAACAGCCTCCTGGTGCTTTGGAGCTCATTAACTGTTTAATAATTGTAAACAAAGCCGCCAAAGATTGAGAAAAGATGCACAGGTTCGTAAGTGTTTGCGTAATTGCTTCGTGAATCTAGCCCCTGACCAAACCACATATCAAAAGATGAAGAAACGACGTTTCGGTCCTGGATCATTATTAAGTTGTTTCTTCGTTTTCTGATGTGTGGTTTGGGCTGCACCATTACACCACTCATTCTTAAGTTATATTTCCTACCAACCAAATTTATATTTCTGGAAAAGTTTGAGTGGCAAGTGATAAGCGAGTGGCTGAAAAAAAAAGTTGATTGTGTTTAGTGGATGGGTGATTCACTTCAGCCAAAGATTTATACAATTGAATAACTACCTTATTTTCCTTAAAGTAAATAATCACTTGGACTGGACGTTAAAGCGACGGTCTCGCTTCATGCAGGTCGGCGTTCAATCCCCGACCGTCCAAGTGGTTGGGCACCATTCCTTTCCCCACGTCCCATCCCAAATCCTTATCCTGACCCCTTCCAAGTGCTATATAGTCGTAATGGCTTGGCGCTTTCCTTGATAATTCCTTCCTTAAAGTAAATAGTACGCTTGGTTATTCATAGAGTTTGGTTAGCTCATTTTGGACTGTCCCATTTGTTGTGCAACTTTCAGCGAGTTTAGTTTAGTTTATTTATTATGCACCCCATACCCATCTTGTGGGCGGTAGTGGAAAGGGTTACAGAGGCACATAATGGGCTCAGGGACTGAACCCCACAATTCATTTAGCTAAGCAAGTTACAATCTTGATGAGCTAGTTACAAAATTCAATATAAGTCGTCACATCAACAATGGGTTCGACCTCAAGTACCTCAAGTACAGGTTCTAAATTAAGCAACTGACATATGTGGAGAGCTAGTGTCAAAATTTATATGTTTGTCCTGCACACCGCCCCCCATCCAGTGGGCAGCGGTGGATAGGTTACAATCACTCAGTTACTACCTACAGTTAGCAAACTGGGGATATTTGGCTAAAATTTCTGGTAGCAGATCATTTTGAATGAAATATTGACACATCGCTGGAACATTGGTTATAGAATTGTCTCTAAATTCACATATCTTTTCGCACTCCATCACATAGTGACGGAGGGTGTGCGAATAATTTTGTTGATACAGTTTACATTTGGTCAGGTCTACATCAGCAGATAATGAGAATTCCCAGAGATACTTGTAACCGAGTCTAAGCCGAGCAGTAGTAACATCTAGAAGTCTGCTGATTTTATTGGATGATCCATAGATGTGTGGCTCCTCTTGCATGATAGTATGATGATAGATGGAATTACTGGTGTCAATTTCACTTTGCCTCAAATCTACAAGATCTTGTTGAAGTTCTCGGTGTACTGCTGCTCTCAGATTGCTCATTGACAATCCAAGGTTACACTCAACGGCTCCTTTAAAGGCAGATTCTTTGGCTAACTTATCAGCTCTATCATGCATTCGGAAGCCAACATGAGATGGAGACCACATGAAATGGACTCTGTTACCATCCTTAATAATTTTGTTGTATTTGTGTCTAGCTTCGGACACGAGCATGTTACAGTTATGTCTTAAAGAGTTGAGAGCATTTAAGGATGATAAGGAGTCACTTACAATTAATGTATCAAGTTTTGAGACTTGTACACATTTCAGTGCAAGGATCAAGGCAAATAGTTCAGTCTGAAGGGTAGAGGCCCAGTTGTTTATACGGACTCCCCACTCAAAGTATAGGCCATTGCCCATTGTCAGGACAACTGCACTTCCAGCTGCACCCGTGGTGCGGTGTAGGGAACCATCAGTGTATATAATTTGAGAGAGAGAATGCTCTGTGGACAGAGCATCAATATGGCTTAAGGCGTTGAGCTTTGCCTCAAGACAAAGCTTGGGCTGATCTCTAATTTGCTTCTTGGGTGGAAAGGGAGGGATTAAAACTGGAAAGGGTGTAACCTCCCACGGTGCAGGAAAGTGCCGTTGTTGTTTCTCTTGGTACAAATCATGAACCTGATACATTCTGAGTTGAGTTCCAGTTTTTGTTATCCATTTGGAACAATGCTGATCTTCAATAAAGAAATTCTGGAGGGCTTCTGTGCAAGGATTAGGAAGAGTTAGCCTAAGCATTTTTATACCAATTTGACAGTTAATTTCAGTAACACGATCAACAACGCTCTGAATATTAATTTCCTTTCTCATATTAAGTATCTTTGTGGTACCAGGGCACCCAAGGATTATCCTCAAGGCTTCGTTCTGCAATTTTTCAAGCCCTCCAAGCTTACTTGGAGGGCTATCTTCACTATACACAACTTCACCATCTTCACTATACACAACTTGCAACACAAACTACACTACACATGGACTATCAACATTACTGTAACCATCTTCACTATACACAACTTGTAACACAAACTACACTACACATGGACTATCAACATTACTGTAACCATCTTCACTATACACAACTTGCAACACAAACTACACTACACATGGACTATCAACATTACTGTAACCATCTTCATTAACTACTGTCTTCACCTCTATAACCATCATCACTACCAGGGCACTGCTGGGTTTCCCTTCTACAACCTTCCCTCTCCTACACCACCTCCCCTACCATTCACCACTTAACTTACCCTTCATTACCTTTCCTACCCTTCGCCATCTTCCCTACCCTCATAACCTTCCCTTCCTACCTTACCCCACCTTCCTTCCTCATCACCACCACCTTCACCCTTCATCTTCCCGACCCATCACTACCTTTCCACCCTTTCACCTTTACCTTTCATAATTTTCCCTTCATCACTGTAACTACAGTATCTTCACTGTACTGTACACTGTCGCCATCAATAAATAAACTACATAAGATAAGCTAACATTTAATCATGTTGAATATAGTATGTTCAATGAATCTTAGGAAGGTGTCTAGTATTTAGCAAGATAAATGAAGTTGTAAGTTGGCTTGGAATTTTCACTGATTATGTTGGGGAGGGGGACCCCTAATAAGGGCCCACCCCCTCTTAAAAGTGTCAATAGGACTGACTCCAACCAGCCTATGTCCGTCCCATACTCCAGACCATTCACTCTGCTAAGTTTGGTGAGGCTAGACCCAAGCATCTGGCCTCCAACCCTGAACACATAGGCAGACATTCTCTCTTATATACACACAGACACAAACACATGTCACACCTTCATGTTATCCTTGCTAGACAATACAAAAAAAAGCCTGAAAACTATTTTATAGAGAAGTTGAAAAAGTAAATGCTGATACTGATAGTTATTTTCCTTTTCCCAATTAAAGACTATGTTAACAGTAATAGATTCCAGATACTATACTAAGGAATGGTAAAAATTAAGAATTTAAATGAAATAGAGGTAAGGTAAGGTAATTATGAAGAGAAAGCACTATGCCATTATCATACAGCATGTGAGTAAAGTAATAATAGAACAAAATGGGAAAGCGCCAAGCCATTATGACTATATAGCACTTGGAAAGGTCAAGATAAGAATTTGGGCGAGGGAGGGGGAAAAGGAATGGTGCCCAACCACTTGAACCATCGGGGATTGAACACCGACCTGCAAGAAGTGAGACCGTTGTTCTACTGTCCAGTCCCAGTCATTGCTGATAAAAATACATCTCCACAACCAGTAGCCTCCTGAAAACCTTTGTTATTGTTGACTGTTTTTGGGTGTTGAGAGAGGCTATTGAATCTTTTAATCCATCTAACCCCGAAGCACCTGCCTACCAGGGGGGGAGGGGGGTAGGGGGGTAGAAGTAGCCTAAGCTACTCTATCCCTTTGAGATGTATTTCTTTCTTGTCTCAATAAACATACTTGAACTTGAACCTGCCTACCCCTTCCCTACCTATAACTCCTATACACATGCACACCCCATACACCCAGGCCAACCTATCACAACCCAACTTATTGATATATCAAACTTGTGAAATGAGAACATGAGCTATGTGCAAACTGCCTTCATACATATTGTCTGTGCCTTCATATAGTATAAGTCTGCCCTTTTCCCTTATAATTACATCCATAACATCCATTAAAATATACTGTATACCACCTATACCCCTTCAACCATCCTGCCCCCATCACTAACACATACCACCAATACCTCTTTTATCCCCCTAGACCCTATAACCAATACTTACCATTAACACCCCAACCACCCATAACCACCCATCGACTCCTCTCACTAACACACACACACACACACACAACAATTTTATTTACCACATAAACATGAGCAAAAACACTCCTCCCTTCCTGTCTCCTACACATTGATTTTAGCCAAAAAGCTGGGAGGTCATCCCGGTGTCCACCTTACACTGGTGTCTTAATTGGTGTTATGTTCTAACGGGTGTATGTTTTATTTTTCTAAAATATCTAAAATACAACATAAATACAAAGGTATTTGTGGCCACTAGTAGTAGTGGCCTCGACGAGGACAGGAAGCCGGCGGCTTGTCAAAGGTCTCCCACCCCCCACTTGCTCTGATGAAAAACGTTCAAAATCTGCCTTAATCTTGTTGTGCCAACTCCCGGCACAACTTTCCTGTGACCCAAGACGATATGTGCGCCAGGCGTCGTAACAATCCGGACCGTTCAATACCATACTAATAAATAAATAAATAAATAAATAAATAAATAGTAAAGGACTCCAAAGTCCTTTACGTCAATTTGCTGCAAAGTAATGTTGTTATTTTAGTATCTGTGACGGTTATCTTGAGGTTATCTTGAGATGATTTCGGGGCTTTAGTGTTCCCGCGGCCGGTCCTCGACCAGGCCTCCACCCCCAGGAAGCAGCCCGTGACAGCTGACTAACACCCAGGTACCTATTTTACCGCTAGGTAACAGGGACATAGAGTGAAAGAAACTCTGCCCATTGTTTCTCGCCGGCGCCCGGGATCGAACCCGGGACCACAGGGTCACAAGTCCAGCGTGCTGTCCGCTCGGCCGACTGGCTCCCTTGACGTAGATAATTTTGCTCCACATGCAAGGGTTTGCATTTTTTCGGTGTTAAAAAGCATTTGCCAGTCTTCTGACCATCTATGGAGTTGATGTAGATATCTTTGTAAGGCCTCAATGTCTATCGTTGACCCTGTCAACATTTTCTAAGACATAGTACAAGTGAAAATATTTTGCCTTGAACAGCTGCCAAACAGAATGACAATCTCATTTCTTCAGGATAATGACAACATGTAAAGTTTTCAAAGCCATTCTAAACTTGGCTTCATTCTCGATCAATAATTAGGAACCCCGAGTTCGATTCCAGAGCGGACTGAAATGGTTGAGCATGTTTCCTTTTACCTATTGAGCCTATTTATTTATTTATTTATTTATTTATTTATTTATTTATGCATATACAAGAAGGTACATTGGGATTGTGAGGATACATAATATGGTGATTACAATCTTGTAAAGCCACTAGTACGCGCAGCGTTTCGGGCAGAAATAAAGCATTCATTAATGCTTTATTCAAAAGTAAAACCAAAAAGTTCCTAATTTCAGCCTCATGTAGTCTCGTACAGTGCTTCAAACTCACACTGTATCTTGTGCTACCCACTCCCCGAATGTTAGTCCTTAAGAGACAGCAACTTCACCAGTATACTCAATACCATCACATTTATATTCTATCCCGCCAAACACACACCGAAACTACGACGTTCTACAACGTTCGAACAAGTTTTAACACCTAACCAGTTATAACAACCAATATAGCAAGTTGTAACAACGTTCTAATACGCCATAAACACGTTAAGCCAAAGATGTAACAACTTCATTACAAGTTGTAACAAGCAGAAAATAGACAGTTACGGTTTGTGTTTCCAGGTACAATGTAGTTTTAAATACTCTTACATGTTTATTTATTTAATTTATTTATTTATTTATTTATTTATTTATTTATACAAGAGTTCTTGCAGTCTTGTAAAGTCATTAGCAAGCATAGCTTTTCGGGCAAGTCCTTAATCCAAATTTTTCCTGGAATACGACCCACACAATTCAATTTCTTTCTTTATTATGCACCCCATACCCATCCCGTGGGCGGTGGTGTAAAGGATTACAGAGGCACATAATCGGACATGGCAGGATGTGCAGAATACCCCCGTTGAAAAGCAGAGGTGCAACAGGTACTCTGAGAGAGAACTCTATCAACATCAGAGGTCCGAGACTGTTCAACACGCTTCCACTACACATAAGGGGCATAACTGGCCGATCCCCTCACAGTGTTCAAGAGAGAACTGGATAAGCACCTCCAAAGGATACCTGATCAACCAGGCTGTGACTCATACGTCAGGCTGCGAGCAGCCGCGTCTAACAGCCTGGTTGATCAGTCCAGCAACCAGGAGGCCTGGTCGACGACCGGGCCGCGAGGACGCTAAGCCCCGGAAGCACCTCAAGGTAACCTCTAGTTCGTTTAGCTAAGCAAATAACAGTTTTTGACGCTTGTTACAAAATTATTAATGTTATATATACATGTACACATTCTCATACATACGTGTACATATATATGTACGTATACATATATATACATACACATACATATTTAATCACCCACACAAGTACATACATCAATAATCTGTTGTGCCACAAGTGATTCAACAAGAGGCTCACAACAGTCACTATACAAGGCACTTTACATCTATGACGAGTCACAGTTACTAGTCAGTCTTGCTCCACACCCACCCAACTGGGCGGCAGCTTTACAGTCATGTGCACACACACAATCGTATACCCATTAACTGCTGGGAGAACAGAGGCTGCAGTTAAGGATTAGCGCCTGGCAACCCTTTCCGGCGTGGGTGGGTGTCTTACCACTTCGCCACGGAGACTCAGATTAGTTAGATTAAGGACCTGGACCCGGTAGCTAAGTGGACAGCGCCCGGGATTCGTAATCCTAGGAACCGGGGATTGATCCCCGGCGATGGCGGAAATAAATGGGCAGAGCTGTCTTTCATCCTGATAAATATTTCAGGGTAATGGCACCTATTTCACAGGTAAATAGGTACCTGGGAGTTAGACAGCTGTTACGGGCTGCTTCCTGGGTGTGTGTACTCATCTATTTGTGCTTGCGGGGGTTGAGCTTTGGTTCTTTGGCCCCGCCTCTCAACTGTCAATCAACTGGTGTACAGTATTTCGACTTGGGTGGGATGGGGGCGGAGACCTCGATACAAGCCTAAAGCATATATGTATACATTTACTTACAGCCCCACAACAAAGAAACTAATTGTATTTGTAAAATTATTCAAGAGTTGTGAGAATTAGTGAAAGCTTGAGAATCGTGAGGTTTAGCTTGGTGCAAGTCAGGAAATACTTGCCATAGATCTCAATAGCATAATTCTATTATTTCATATAAATTGCTAAAGAAGGGTTAAATTCTCTTCAGTTTATCAAGTATCTCATACATTTAAGGCAAATGTACATACACTTTTGCCTGCTATTAAAATGAGTTAAATATTAATTTTGGGTAAAACAAATTTTAGTTGGCAATCGTCCAACATCAGCTGATGCCAGGACGTCTGCTACAACAACAAACTGGAATGCACACGATTGTAGGTGACAGTGACGTAGTGATCTCTCCCGGCAAGCTGGGTAACACGTGCGTTGTGTGTGGGGTTGTGTCTGGTGATCAGGGGAATCTTATCAGTGTTGGTACGCGTAGCAATAGTGGCATCATGTCGAGATCAGCATCATTTGCTAAAAGCGAGTCTGCAGGAGCAGAGGAAATGTTGTCTCTCCTGCGCCAGAGTTTGAAAACATGCAAGACTCCTGGGGAGACCAACTTTGAGGCTTCAAAAGCCCATATCTGTGTCGTCATGGGAGCCTCCGGTGATCTAGCGAAAAAGAAGATCTATCCGACGCTCTGGTGGTTATATCGCGATCGCTTATTACCGGAAAACACGATGTTCGTCGGATATGCCCGGTCTGCACTGACAGTGGCGCAGTTGAAGGAGAAGTGCAAGGCTTACATGAAAGTTAAACCTGAGGAGGAGGAGCGCTATGAGCAGTTCTGGAAAGTCAACCACTATGTCCAGGGGTCGTATGATGTCCGCAGAGACTTCGAGCTGCTGGACCAGGAGATGGGGAAGGTGGGCACGCAGAAAGCCAACCGGATCTTCTACTTGGCTCTGCCTCCGTCAGTATTCGATGTAGTCACGTCCAACTTGAAGGGTTGTTGCATGGCCAGAGGAGGGTGGACTCGCATCATTATCGAGAAGCCCTTCGGTAAGGATTTGGCGTCGTCAGCCAAACTGTCCAACCATCTTGCGGGACTCTTCAAGGAGGAGGAGATATACCGCATTGACCATTACCTGGGCAAGGAAATGGTACAGAACCTCATGACGCTCAGGTCAGCCGCTCTAACGTTTTAAATGTGTCTGTATACTATTAACCAGTGGGCACAATATCCACGAGTAACGTTGATTCAACCTTGTATTAACGTTACTCTTGAATAATATGGCCACTTGGTATATTTTGATCCATTTTAGGAGCATTTTAATAACAGGGCCCCCAGAGATTTGAATTATAAGGAATTATTAGAAAGTAATTATTAGAGGTTAGGGAAAGTTACAGTAACGGGGCTAAGAAAATGCTGACCAAACCACACACACTAAAAATTCAGACGACGACGTTTCGGTCTGTCCTGGACCATTATCAAGTCGATTGTGATGAGACGAGGGAGGCAAGGGCCTTCCTCATGCCTCATACATTGGCCAAAGCTCTTCATGCAACAGCCCATCCTCATGCAACAGCCCATCCTCATACATTGGCCAAAGCTCTTCAAGCAACAGCCCATCCTCATATATTGGCCAAAGCTCTTCAAGCAACAGCCCATCCTCATACATTGGCCAAAGCTCTTCATGCAACAGCCCATCCTCATACATTGGCCAAAGCTCTTCATGCAACAGCTCATTCTCAAAACATTATCCAAATCGCACCTCACTAAATATATATATATATTATAGCCCAAGGTAAGCACATATATTTATCAAGATAAAGCCCATGGTAAGTTTTTTACCAAGTATCGAGATCCTCAACAGTTGCCTTGCCCTTGGTATCTATTTATTATTAAGTGAATATAGGCATTAGATGAAAAGAAACGAGCCCAGAAATAGAATCCGGGATTTCCGATTGAGAGTTGAGAACGAAGCCAGCTGTACTACGAGATACCCTGATAGATCAACAAAAAAGAAATGTCACCAAAGGTCTCCATATTTTGGAATTAAACATGGCACCGTGCTGTCATAGGCTACAAATCTTATCCGTGAAGAAAGTTTTTTTTATCCTGTAATTTCTAAAGTACAGCATTAAACACAGTTTGCACATATATAACGAATACTGGTTATCGGAGGCAACACTGCAAAAGTAACCGAAAGTTGTTATTTTATTTTAACCTACAAATAATTCATTGCCCAAACGCTTTCGGTCACTCAGATCTCACGTAGTCGAAGGGTTATGTGATCAGATGCTTCAGGTTCTGTTGGATATTGAAAGGGCCGTACTTTGTGAATGGATTTATTATATTAATTAGTCTTAATATGCACGAACACTTAGCTTATTTGTAAGTGTAAAACAAGCCATGTAAATGTGTAAATACGGCTTAGTTGACACCGGCAGCTGGAAGATATGTTTACCTATAGCTAACCTTTAGTCTGTTTCGAGAGTTCTCCCCAAGCCTGGCGTGGGACCAGGCTTGTGATAACTTGAGCTGTAAGACTGTTACTTGGAAGCGTCCTGTAGGCCTTGCCAAATTGCCGCTTGAAAACCTCCATGTTTGGTGGACGGGTCAAGACCCCTGGGCCTCTAGCCGTAACGCTGGGTATGGGTGCTTCTGTATTGATTTGATTGTATGTAACCTGGGAGAGGTATAATATAACTTACTGTATCTAGTGCAGAACTGTCGTCGTTGTTGTGATAATTTTCGTAACACACAGCGAGTAAGTACACAACGGTTTCCTCACAATGCATATTCTGGCGTCTAGTGTTGTGACCGTGCCACAACGTACAAAATACAGAGGGCTAACCTAACCAGAGACGTACAAACCGAAGCAACACACCTAACTTAACCTACCGAAGCATAGGAAACCTGGGGCAAGATTCACGAAAGCACTTACGCAAACACTTACGAACCTGTTACATCTTTTCTCAATCTTTGGAGGCTTTGTTTCCAATTAGTAAACAGTTAATGAGCTCCGAAGCACCAGGAGGCTGCTTATAACAATAACAACAGTTGATTGGGAAGTTTTCATGCTTGTAAACTGTTTAATAAATGTAACCAAAGCCGTCAAAGATTGAGGGAAGACGTACACGTTCGTAAGTGCTTGCGTAACTGCTTTCGTGAATCTAGCCCCTGGATTTTTGTGAGCCGCTACTTTTCTTAGTAGTTGGGGGACTATGACGTACAACACGAGTCTTATTAGTTGTGAGGAGGTGGTGACTGGAGCCAGTGTTTGTGCGACTGAGGTAGTGAAGATCATAAAAGACAGTGAAGGGTGTTCTCATCTTCCATTCCGGATGCAATTAGCCTACGTGTGGAGTGCTGAATGACCAGCGAGACGCTGTGCTGCTTGTGACGTAAAAGCACTTATTTTTGCTCTGTCATGCCGCTCCGCGGTTTTGATATTCCTGGGCTGAGGCTGCGTGTGTTACGATAGAGTAATTATAATATAAGGCAGATATGATCCCCCAAGCAATATACTTCATCAAGGCTGTGGAAGGGGGTTTGTGCTTCGCCATGCATGTCTGGAGGTGATGGGTGACTTGCATGACGGTAAGGACGCCAGTGACTGGCTAGTAACTAGCTTGGTAGTAAGGAAACGAGTGACTGGTTGATGGTGACTTAACAGACCTGAAACTGGGAGGTGAGGACTGTGTCGATATATCGCGGTGAATGAGAAAACATTACATGAGAGAAAGGGCTTCGGGTGTTTAATGGACAAAAACACGAGAGGGAAACATTATATTAATATAAATGAATAATAATTCCATGTAGCCGGCTTGGCCATTGACTTAAACTATGTATCCCACCCATCATGTAACTTAACAGTATCATAATGTAAGAGCCTATGTATCTTCAACAAACGGACACGTGTGTACGGTAAATATATTATTACCGCACTTGTGAACCAGCTTCAACACATGTGAAGAAACCTTATTATTTCTTAAGGGTCATAACATAGATCAAGGGGCCCAAACACTTACACACTTGAATAGTTTAAACACCTGTAAACCATTCAGTGCTTGACACGTGTTGTTTAGGCACAACTCTCTGGTCCTTCCATCCATCCAAACATATGTCAAGGGACATTACAATAACCATGGAGGTACCGTAGCCTCATGTCAAGGGACACTACAATAACCATGGAGGTACCGTAGCCTCATGTCAAGGGACATTACAATAGCCATGGAGGTACCGTAGCCTCATGTCAAGGAACATTACAATAACCATGGAGGTACCGTAGCCTCATGTCAAGGAACATTACAATAACCATGGAGGTACCGTAGCCTCATGTCAAGGAACATTACAATAACCATGGAGGTACCGTAGCCTCATGTCAAGGAACATTACAATAACCATGGAGGTACCGTAGCCTCATGTCAAGGAACATTACAATAACCATGGAGGTACCGTAGCCTCATGTCAAGGAACATTACAATAACCATGGAGGTACCGTAGCCTCATGTCAAGGAACATTACAATAACCATGGAGGTACCGTAGCCTCATGTCAAGGGACACTACAATAACCATGGAGGTACCGTAGCCTCATGTCAAGGAACATTACAATAACCATGGAGGTACCGTAGCCTCATGTCAAGGGACACTACAATAACCATGGAGGTACCGTAGCCTCATGTCAAGGGACATTACAATAGCCATGGAGGTACCGTAGCCTCATGTCAAGGAACATTACAATAACCATGGAGGTACCGTAGCCTCATGTCAAGGAACATTACAATAACCATGGAGGTACCGTAGCCTCATGTCAAGGAACATTACAATAACCATGGAGGTACCGTAGCCTCATGTCAAGGAACATTACAATAACCATGGAGGTACCGTAGCCTCATGTCAAGGAACATTACAATAACCATGGAGGTACCGTAGCCTCATGTCAAGGAACATTACAATAACCATGGAGGTACCGTAGCCTCATGTCAAGGAACATTACAATAACCATGGAGGTACCGTAGCCTCATGTCAAGGGACACTACAATAACCATGGAGGTACCGTAGCCTCATGTCAAGGAACATTACAATAACCATGGAGGTACCGTAGCCTCATGTCAAGGGACACTACAATAACTATGTAGGTACCGTAGCCTCATGTCAAGGAACATTACAATAACCATGGAGGTACCGTAGCCTCATGTCAAGGGACATTACAATAACTATGGAGGTACCGTAGCCTCATGTCAAGGGACATTACAATAACCATGGAGGTACCGTAGCCTCATGTCAAGGAACATTACAATAACCATGGAGGTACCGTAGCCTCATGTCAAGGAACATTACAATAACCATGGAGGTACCGTAGTCCCTTTACTCATGTCAAGGGACCTTAGAATAACTTCGAAGGGAAATCGTGAAAAGGGCACCGCAGGAATCTCGCCGCGCACGAAAGGTTATCTTGAGATGATTTCGGGGCTTAGCGTCCCCGTGGCCTGGTACTCGACCAGACCTCCTCTTTGTTACACACTCTCAGGAAGCAGCCCGTGGCAGCTGTCTGACTCCCAGGTACCTATTTACTGCTAGGTGAACAGGAGCACCATTTGTTTCCGCCTCAACCAGGTATCGATCTCGAAACCTTAGGACTACGAATCCGAAGCGCTGTCCACTCAGCTGTCGGCGTGATATCAACCTCCAGATCTTTCTCTCTATTTGACTCTTGCAGGATTTCACCTCCCAGATGGTACCTTCTGTTCAGCCTTCTGCTCCCTTCGCTTAATTTCATTACTTTACACTTTCGTGAGTTAAACATTAGTAGCCATTTTGTAGACCATTCCTCCAGTTTGTCCAGGTCGTCCTGTAGTCTCTATCTATTTTCATATGTCTTGATTCTTCTCATATTTTTTGCATCACCTGCAAACATTGAGAGGAATGAGTCTATACCCTCTGGAAGATCGTTTACATATATTAGAAACAGGATGGGTCCAAGTACTTAGCCCTGTGGGACTCCGCTGGTGACATCTCGCCACTCTGATGTGTCCCCCCTCACCGTTACTCGCTGTTTCCTGTTGCTTAGATACTCCCTTATCCACTGGAGCACATAACCTTTTACTCCTGTCTGTTTCTCCAACTTTTGTAAGAGCGTTTTATGGTGTACTATGTCAAAGGCTTTCTGACAGTCCA